GTAAACATACAAACTTGCTTCTGCAATCTGTACGCACAAACTTGAAAAGGAAGAATATGTGAAATCAATATAATTGCATTGTACAAAAGTAAAAAACAAATTAACCAAGAAAAATATCGTTATCATTGGGTTTTGGAGCAACAATATGATCAGTTAAAAAAAGTTACCTCTCTTTTTTGTATTAAAACGTTTTTGGCCGAGTTCTTTGTAGTATTTTAATCTACTCACCCTAGGATACATAGAAAATATTATTGTATATATAAAAGTTGCGTATACGCACTGACATAAAATATCCATTGAGAGATAAAGAGAGAGAGCCATTCAGGTTTAAAAATTTTTGAGAGTAGTGTATGTTATGTAATTGGGGTTGTAAAAGCGGGAATATAATGAAAATGAGCGATTTTTAGACTATAAAAGTGAATATGTGCAATCATATACATATGTATATACACTTATTCGTATATGTGTATCTCATATAATATTAACTACCGAATTGATATGAACTAAAAATTGGAAGTATTTTTATAATTTTTAGTAGTGCTTATTGAATGTTTCTGAAAAAATAATTATATGTATTTATTTACAAACAAACACATATGTATACTTGGATGTCAGCTCCGAGTTGGTATTGAGTTGACATTAGCGTACGAGTTGCATGAACAATTTACTAACTGAAGAGGGGACTATTTGGTTGTAGTATAAAAAGACAGACACTTGTGTGTGGGGAATGTGTTTTCATTCGCATGTCTGCGCACGTATGAAATTTTGAAATTTTATTATTTTTCCGAAATACCTTTTAGTGACTTTTGTTGCTAGCATGTTGTTCTTGTGGCGTTGCATTTGCACATTCGTTTTATAGTTGAAATGTTATGTGTATGTGTTGTTCATGTCTGCATTCTGTCATGTATGTACAAACATATATATGCACATCCCCACATATGTATCTACCTTTTTGCAATATGTATTCTATTTTTACTTGCCGGCGTCATCGTCATCATTGGAGCATTAGCCGTCGCACATAATTGCATTGCCCAAGCATATCAACCGGGTGACTATAGTAGTTGTAGTAGTTGTAATCGGGAAGTTGTCGCATTCGCATTCGGATCTGCCTGCGGTATTGCTCTTGAAAATTCGAAATGACGGCATTGCAATAAAGTAAAAGTCCATTCTTTGGGTGAATTCCCATCGTGTTTTTCATCATCGCAGCCGCAGCTTTTGAAAAAAAAACAAGTTGACGTCTATTCGCTTCACACATAGAAAATCTACAAAAGTTCACCTCAAAAAGTATGCTACATTCGTGCTTGTAAGTAGATGAGTGGCGAAATAGTAAAAGTTTCGCGGATGTGCTAGTTGCTAAATTTCTGAATTTGTATAATACTTGGCAAGATATATGTATGTATGTGTATGTGTGTAAGTTTACAGAAATTTTAATTTTTACTTTTGGGAGACTAATTATGCTGCATTAATGGTGGTATTGGTACGATTACAGTCTATTACAAATTACTAGTGTTAGGTAAAATTGAAGAGGTCGGGTAAGAGCGTCTAAAAAATAAATTAAAGAAATTTAAATGCGCACACCCTTCGCAGCGTATATAAACACCTCTGCAAGGTTATAACTACATGTATGTGGAATTCATTTGCATTTAAAAAATAATTACTCTAATTGCTGTGGATTTCTGACATAAAATAATCCATTAGCCTACAGATACAGATCAGAGAAAAACTGTAGGCCTTTCAAGGTGTTTGGAAAAAAAAAAAAATTAAGTTGCACAAAACTACCGAAAATTGTTTTGAACATTGGGTTTCGTCATTTAGCTGCAAATTTTTTTAATATCATTTTGGCTAAAACTACTGAGCTCTATTCCATAAAAATATTTTAAATTTAATATAAGAAACCGTGTGAAATATCGGAGAAGAGCTAGCATTAATAAATAAAAAGCTATTTTGTTCATACATACATACATACATACATACATAAAAACAATTTTTTCTCTAAAAATAATGAAATAATTTATTTACACAAAGATCATACTGTTTTTAAAAAAAAATCTCTAAAGACCACACAAAAAATGAATAAAACTAAATTTGGTTTCAACTCACCATAATCGATATGCATTCCCGCTTCGTACAAGATCTAAAAAAACCTGACCTTGGAAAGTTGTTCTACATAAAAGTCATTCACCCTTACGAAGCGATATCGGCGTAAAGTAAATGCGGTACATAAAGCCCAACGAAGTAGCTCAAGGACACACAGAACAGCGAAATTCAACCAAAATACCGCAATAGCAAAAAGGAAACAAAAATAATTCATTCGAAATTTGGTCACTTGCACCAAAGTGCATAGCCCCAGTTGCAGCTGTAGCAGCAGCAGAAACACAAGCAACAATGCAAACAAAAACAAACACAATATCAGAAGCAGCATCGAAGCCGGCAACAAGGAGTAGTAGGTCGTTCATCAACAAACAGCGAAATTCCACGGCAACCCAATTTCGATTTCCATACGGCATAACTAAAAGGCAACAACATTACGAAAAGCTGCAAGGATTCAAGGACGAAAGTACATTGCACGTTGCAAGGATGCAAGGCCGACGACATGACGATGGCGACGAGAACAACGGTGTTACGAATGTTGTATAGGTGTTGGTGTGGCGCCCAGTCTACGACATTTCAAGCCAGGCTATGTAAAAGTATACTCGCAAGTACTCGTACAAGGCTCGAAGTTGGTGTGTTCTGGTGAAGGCGACGGCGCTTGAATTGCAACAACTGCAGTGGCCCCCGTCATTGCACTCACATGCGCATATACCAACGAGCATGTAGTAGGCAAAACCGTCAAATCAACATACCCATTTGAATACATGCGTGCAAACAGCTGCCTGTAATCACCATCCACCAAGTGAATTTGGCTATTCAGTAGTTGCAACCGCGTTCGCGACCACCAAGGCCAATCGTCGACGAAACCAGGCTACGATGCCGACGATGGCGCCGACGTACATACAGATAGAAGTGGAAACCGCCCTCAGTAGCCTCTTCATCTACTGACTAGGGTCCATAAAAGAGTCCATCGGATTTTCGAGTGCAAGCTTACACACTCATTTGTACATTCTTTATAAGAGAGTTAGTATGAGGAATTTTGTGTATGTATATGTAAACCAAAGAGGTAAATGCACTTGTCGCGGCAACCTTGCCGGGAAGGGATGCAATGCGATGCATACGCGACTATTACGCCTACGGCAAAGGGTATGAGATGCCAATCTCAATGTTCATGTACGTACACATATTCCTTTGGTGTTTCATATACATATATACATATGTGCATGTATAACGCATATACATACGATGAAATTGAATAGAGTGCATTATACAGAGATATAAGTAAAAGTTTTTTTTTATTTCTAATTCAATTGTGCTATGTGTTATCTTGATGTTGTTGTTGATGTGACGCTGCGTTACAATTTTGAAGTCGCAACACCATTCAAAATGTATGTAGTGAAATGATAAAATAATTGTAAGGTACAATAAAATCGACAACTTAAAAAAAAGTTATCTATGTATATACATAGAAAATTTCTATATATTTTTAATGTGTTTTGACATTAAAATGTACGTTACAAGTCATATATTATATGTTGAATGATCATTGCACTTCAACTTAAGTAAGTTGTATGAAGAGGAGGAGATTGGGCGGATATCGCTCTCTTTGAAGGCAAACTAGTCTATCAGTTTTAAAGGCATTTTGTGAAAACTCGTAAATACTCTCGTTGGAAATTTTACATGCTTTTTGCCGTACCGAACGCGGACAAGTAGAAATTGGTAAAAATTTTTATTGCCTTTCAGCTCACCCAAGTGAGACCTGATCATTCCAACGGATTAATTAAAATATATCCAAGTGTATATCTAACAGTTTAGTGCCGAAAATTTCGATGGGAAACTACTTAATGAAACTTTTGAATCATGCCCTATTAAGCGAGTAAGACCAACTAGTCAGTTAACTATCTGTTTTTATATTTTTACCCAGGCAAAGCCCTACGAGATGGTATTTGCCAGACTGTAATCAGATATGTTTCATTTTAAAATATTATATTATACATAATCATGGCACAATTGTTTCGTACCCGTTTCGGAACTAATGGAGTATCAGTCAGAAACTTATATTACTCAGTCAACAGGTATTTTATTTCAATGTTCACTTACCTTCTTTTTTTTATATAATTATGTAAATACGCATATGTTCAAACATTCTACAATTATTTCCACGAACATTGACCAGTCGCATGACGACGATGGGTAGCACCGAAATGCATTGCAAAATTATTGCATATACGGATGCAAGTCAACTACTCCCTCCCCACAACTCTTCATTACTCTCGTATATGTACATATACATATACATATATATACATATATATATATATATATATATATATGTATATTTATATCTCCATTTTACGATACATTGCTTGGTCGCATGGTATGGAATTCAGAGGCCATCAGAGATGAACAAAGAGGCCTTGGCACCAACATGAGAAGTGTGTACTTGCTTCTGTTATTTGTTGGGCGCACTAAACTCCTCCCTACGCGACTCATTCACTACACAGTTGTCCTTGACCGTGATGCTGAACATTTGGCGATGACGATGGTGCTGCTATATTGCCCATGTTGTATATGGCTGTGTTGTGGTTCCGTAGACGCGGCGGATACGACGACCGTATGCACATTTGTAATGCAAGTAAATTTACTCTTACTGCGGTAGTGTTGGCAACAGCCAATGTCGTGATGCTCAACGGTTATGTATGTTGGGGTAGAAGGCATTGGTCTAATAGGTGTTGTGTCCTGCAGCTGTGTTATCACTGGTTTTGATGTGTGTATTGAGGCCACGAGATCTACGAGGCGACGAAAGTGAAATTTAACTTCGAAGCTTTCAGACATATTTATTTATATATATGTATGAGCATACTCGTATGTGTATGATAGGTAAATAAAACTGTATGTACAGATGAAAATGTTTTTATTGTACTTTATTTCATTTGAAGAGTGCGACACAACAATGAACAGGGTTATATCTTTTCATATCGGGGCTGCAACTCCGTTCAAGAAAAGTCGTCGATAAATAAATTGCTTTAACCTAATCTTCACATAAATTTCACGCGATTAAAAAATAGTAAATATCGACGGATATATGCAGACATATAAAATAACATAGTTTTGAAATTTCATTTTGGACACCATGGTAACATCCACAATAGTTTTCCAGGAAATATTGAAATGTTTCATATCGGGCTCTTTTCCTTTGTAATAAACTCACAGATAACGGAATTCAATCTGTTAATGAATGTAGATATTTGTAGTTAAAGTTAAACTTTTGTACTTCGTAAATTTTCTCATTTAAATTCTTCCTCTCTGATTCTCTCTTTTTTGTTCGGAAAATGCTTTCGGCTGAGTAGCTTGTTGGGGATGATTGCAAACCGAATTTCTAGCATTTACATTTCTATATTAACTCTGCATACTGTTAGCTGTTTTCGGGTGTGATTGTAGAAGATAGACGTGAGTGTTTTTTGACTTAAAATTTACTTTTTAATTTCCGTTCAAAGCGAAAAGAAAAATGTTAAAAAAACGAAACAACAAAGATAATAATAAGAGCAATTTCTACTAAAGGTTTAATGTCGCGACGTCCCGACGGGTGGCACGCATGTTGGCTTGTATTGATTGTGACAACGATATCCAAGTAATGCTCTACTTTATGGGTGAGCAGAAAATAAAACGACAAACATACATTCGTTTGCTTTCGGAATGGTATGTAAACATACTGAAATAATTATTTGCGGTGACGCTTTCGATGTGGATATCCCCATTATTTGCTCGAAGCTCAAAGTACAATATTTCTTTGCATATAAGATGTTGGTGTGTGTTTTATCAGTCAGTCTTAATTTTTCTGCAAAGTCATTAGTTCGCTAAACTCTCTAGTATTTCCCACGAAAATAATTACACTAATATCAACAAGATTGCGAAACATATACGATATGCATTGTACTCGTAGGCAACATTGCTCGTAAGGGCCAAAAGTTACAAATAAAACCTAATAAATAATGACTGCATGATAGTTGGGTACATAAACGCTTTATGGGGACTATCAGCAAAAATATCGAATTAATGGCGGTAGTGTATAAAATGAAAATATCAACTTAGTGCAGAAAAAGTTTAAAAAATATTTCAGATGGAATAAAATACGGAGCAGTAGATTATATATACATATATATATGTATGTATGCATTATGGATACATATGTATGTATATGAATTCAATTAGTAATTAAACAATAAAATAGAGCTTGATGCCACTTTACTTTCTGGATCTTACGTCACACACGATGGCTGTGCGATATTATTTTGAAGCCGTCATCATCGAAGCATCTATGCGTTTGTATAACGCTTTATTTAAGGTAGCAGGTTCACCTGGAGCAATAGCCAGACTTAAGGTTAGTTTACTCGCCTCAAAACCGGAATTTATTTGGAAAATAAATAATATTCCGCGAGTTTATTGATTGTCTTATTATCTTTGTGTAAAATCAATAATTTTCAGCAATTTTGTTTTTTTAGTAAAGCATAGAACTGAGAGCGGTCCTAAATTATTATTATGGACATTTGGGCAATGCGTAAACAAATCCATATGTATGTTTATATAAATGTGCTTATATAAAACACATGCACATTTATATGAAACTGAAAATATATAACACGTTAAGAATTTATAACACGTTATTGGGCGGACACTTGCTCCCACCGGCTTAATGTATTACATATTTTAAAAATTGTCACCATTTGTAATGCATTACTATGATGCTTATTTTTTATTTTTGTATTTTGTGTGTGGTCATGTTTCTAAATTAACTCATTTTGCTCTTAATACATTCCATCACCCAACATAGCACCACGTTTCTCAACTTCCTTTGGCGTTCGTCCTGCGCAAATTTTTCTGCTCTTCAGCAATACTCTCTATTGAGCGTAAACACTCCCTTATAGTACCTACTTGTGTACTTGTGTACTTGCAAACATATATGGTACTTTTATTCTTTTATTAAATTTAGTATAATTATTAGGATACATATTTTTAGTTTTGTTTTCAATTTAGTACTCTACTCACTCTCCTATTAGATGTTTTTCGGATGTTATTGGATCTTGCGGGATTTCTTTCTCTTTTACTCTTAAACCTTAAGGCAGATTACAGCAATGTAACTAGAACGCCAAGTTGCAATACATGTTTTGGGTTTTAAATTATTTTTCTGCCAAAAAGTAAATAGTAATTAGTTTATAGTTGCATATGGCTAAGTATAACGAGTTGGCAGGGAAATTAATAAAATAATGGGAAAATTTAAATTTGGGCGAATATGGCCGAGGGAAATGAGGAAATATTTTGTCAACTAAATAATTGGCACTTGTACCTGCTGAAACGATTTCGGTCGAGCCCATCCTTCAATTTGTGGTGCGTTTCTTAATGTTTTTTCCATGAAAGAGTGGACAGTCATTTATTGTCAGAAATGCACACTAATATTTTAACATTTCGCAGCCAAGAGTCGACTACGTTTAGATTAGCCTTAGAGAAATTGACTTTCTGTAGTTAATTCGACTTAGGAAAATAAGATGAAGAAGAGGAAAACTCGGGTTTTCAATGGTTCATCGATGTTAATTAATTCAGGTGAATTTTCAATATACAAAATTATTATTTCAGTTTTATGTCCTGCCCGATATTGCAGTTGACTGTATGGCAATTATTGACCAGGAGCGATTATATTCTTTAAATAACTTAGTTTCTAAATGCTAATCTATGGCCAATAATTTAATGTAAGCTTTTTTTTCATCTTGATATTAGATCACTTTTGAATCGGGAGTAAAGCAACTTTCCCGAAAGACTGTTAACAAAGGCTTCACTTTTACGCAACATAGAAGCGAACACCTTTTACAACTACCCAAAAACAACGGAATCTTCAAATCGCAATGAATTTTACACCATTCGGCAATCCTTTCCCCGGTACAACTACTATTCCTGGGTTGCCGCAATTCACAACAACAGCAGCGCCCCTAGTTTCGACGGTAACATCGGCGGCAGCAGTTGCAACCGTTACGTCGCAGACTGTCACCCCCCAGCAACAAGACGCGTCCTCTTCAAGCACTCGCTACCAACAGCAGCAACAACCACAACACCAGCAGCAGCAACAACAACAATCAAGCACCAATGTCAGTATGACACATTTCAACCAGCCGACCATACCAATCGGTGCTGGCACAACCGTCACAGCCATCCACGCCAAGTTCCGTACTTCGGGCGATGATCAAGGAGATAAGTACAACGGACACTTGGTGACCATAGACACAGCTGGTGCAAGCAATACACAACAACAACAGCAATATAGTAACATACCCACGTACAGTACACAACAGACGGATGATAAGCGTCTAATAACTGCAGCGATTACATATCCGCAAAATGTGGTTGCCGCCACTACGCCAACGGCTGCAGCAGTTGTAGCCGGTACGAGCACATCGCAACAACAGCAGCAGCAATTGCAGCAACAACAAGTGCCAGCGCCGCAAGAATTAACGCAAGACTTGTGTAATGCAATTTTACAGCAACAAGGTGTGGATACCAAACTTGGTGAGTTAGAATTGGGACAGAATAATGCTAATTGGCTTTGAAATGAACTTAGTATGAATGATAAACTTATATAATATATAATAAATACCTTTGTTTATATGGACTATATTGATTGCTATAGGACAAAATGGATTTTTTTTACCAAAAGTCATAATAACTTATCATATAGATCAGTCAGAACAAGCTTCTACTACATCGTACTCGTAGACCTTGAACGTATTACTAAGTTTTTTGAGAGATCTGCATTCAAACAGGAAAACAATAGCTAATTAAGGACATAATACGCTTGCAGTCAAAATTTACACCGACATTTTAAGAACTCGTTGTTTAGTTTATATAGGCTTATATACTGATTGTGATTGACATTTTTCGTTACTTATATATTTCCGTAGTTCTACAAAATACCTCATGGCAATCGCTAACACCAGGTACCACAGTAGCTGATTACCTCTCCCATCTTCCAGCCAATACACTACCGTTGTCGCTACATCATTTCCTTAAATATTCGGCGGAGACGATCAAAAAAGAAAATCAGGGTGTAGTAAGTATAATAAATATATAATGTATGCATATGTACATATATTCGCCGAGATACAGTTATAGATAAGAAAAACATTTTTTTCGCGCCAACATGTTTTACAGGTTCAAACGGGACCACCCATCGGTATCAATACCTTAGGGGGAACAACAACCATTACAATACCTCAACAACAAACAACAGCACAAATACAACAACAGCAACAACAACACATACATCAACAGCAGCAGCAGCAGCAACAACAACAACAACAGGGAGCAACAACAGTGCACCTACAAGCGAACCCATCGGCCAATGACACTGTTGTAGTAGCCTCAACTTCAGCTACAAGTATTACTAATGCAACGAAAAAGAAAAAACGTAAAAAGCGTCCTAAGGATAGAAAACCGAAATTAAGGCCGGGTGAAATTCGCCTTACAACAGCACTGGATGGCAGCCCCTTGTATTTGTGCCCCGAGTGCCAGGTAGCATATCCTGAGCCTGATTTGCTTGAGATTCACTTAGTAGGACATAATCTAGAAAGACGCTACATCTGCGATATTTGCCAAGCGGCCTTGAAACGTAAGGATCACCTCACGCGGCATAAACAGTCCCATAATCCAGAAAGGCCATATATCTGCACAGTCTGTCTGAAGGCTTTTAAGCGTAAAGAACAACTTAGTCTGCATTTTGTGATCCATTCTGGAGAAAAGCGACACCTGTGCCACGAGTGCGGTAAGGGTTTCTACCGCAAAGATCATCTTCGAAAACACACACGTTCGCATATAGCCCGTCGGGTAAAGGCAGAACTTAGTATGCAGAACGAAAGTGAACATGGGACTAGCATGCTGCAGCCGGTCACACTAACGACAATCTCAGAGGTGCAACAACAACAAACACAATCGACCAATACAGTACAACAGCAGCAACATACCAATCCACAGCAACAGTCTAATCAACAACAGCAGCAGCAACTTCAACTTCATACACAGCAAATGCAACATGTTGTTGTCACACAACAACAGCAACAACAAATGCTTAATTAGCCCAGTGGCGGCAATGATTTTTGTAAAGTCAGTTGAAATTCCAAATCTATTATGAGTATTTTGCTGAAACTAATAATTTTTCGTCGTTTTTGATTACGAAGTGATTATCTGGACATTCATAGCTTTTGTTTCTCTTATAATTTTTGTGCTTGCACGGGCATATTTAATTTCTGAAGACAGAAAGGAGAATTTCATTTATTTACCTTATTTTCTTGCGATAAAATTAATAAAAATCGAAATCAATATTATTTCCGTTTTAATATAATGAATAATATTATGGGTGTATTTTAGACCGATAATGACTTATACAAATAATAATGAACATCATACGCCGCCGAACAAATATAATATTACGTAATACAAAATAAATCAATAGATATGCTGTATGATAGAAATTGAGCTTAGACTGAAATGAAATGGATAAAAAAAACGGAGAAAATTAAGCTGTATATATGTAAGTTTATCGTGGTACGTAACGAAAAGATGGTATTTGTTTTCTAACCTAAAAAATAATAATGAGAGTACTGAATAGAAATTACTATATCACACCACTGCACTAAAATTATTTAGCTTAGAATACAAAACCCGTGGTTGGATGATAAATAAGGAATGTATTTTTGTATGTGTAATGAGAAATAAGTCTAGAACTAAAAGCAAAACATAACAAAATAGTTGCAAATTTTATCAATAAACGAAAATATTCGATTTTAGTATATAAAAGCCTTTTCTTATGTACATACACATATGTATATAAAGTAGTATAACGAACGGACAAACCCTTATGCATTTTTGGGTGTACTTTAAATTTATTTAATTTTCTTTAGTATTTAGATTGTAAATAAAAAAATAAAAAAACAAATGAATAAATAAAACAAATTATATTTTAATATACAAATATTGCTTTTAAATAAAACCTATAAATGAAAATCCTCTAAAAATTGTCTACAGGACTTAATTATTTTCTTCACATGCAGATATTGTTGACATAGTTTTGATTTAAATTAAATAATCCGCAAATGAGATGAGTCCCTATTGATTGGGCTGCCAATAACAAGTGAGTCAAGGTTAAAATCCTCCTACTATTAGTCTTGGCTTACACGCGGCAACTATAATTGACACAGCTTATAACATCTAAGGTTGATTAACATGGAACCTGCTTCCTCTGTCTGACATATCTATCTAACCACGGCGCAAAGCCAATCGAGGGTAGGACACGGTTTGATAACTTTGTAAATCATAATAAAATATAAATTTACCAATACGAAATTGATTGCAGTGTTATTTTCACTCGTATGTGAAACTTGAATATCATGTACTGCATTAGGGAATTGATGAAGGGTAAAAAAGTTGAATGTTCGGCAACTTTTTTCTTTACCTCGCCTCAACTGATTGTAAAGAGATACATTATCTGAACTATTTTATATTATATTTCTACTTATTCACACAAACACACAGCTCGAATATATCTGTCAAAACGGAACTCTGAAGAAAACTCTAATGTGAATCAGCTTTTAGTGCTCTGAATTATCGCTTTAAAACTTGAAGATGACTTAGATGAAGAACTATACTAGAACATATGAAGAGACCAAATCTAGCTTTCGTTTAAGCACTGCAAATTTTCTAATAATTCTATTTACATATGATTTTCTGATTGATTTCTGTTGCTACTTTGGACGAAATGTACCACTTTTAATAGCTTTCCCAGCCAAGTGCGACAAGCTGGCTATGATCGCTTTCGTTTGGTTAAGACCTTAAGTATTTTTTATGATTCGTTGCGTTATTATATTATTAGATATTTTTGAGAAGGAGAAGCCGGTAATAAAGCATGTTCTGTATAGAGCGAATGTATAACGCTCATTATCGGTAAAATTCCAACAGAATATTTTAAAAAATACATGCCAGCAATCTATAGCTGTATAAGGGAGTAGCGCGTAATGCTGGCATGTTTAGTTGAGCTTTGAACTCGGTATTACAAGCATCGACGGCCGCAGTAGTCGAGCGGTTGGCATTCCGTAAAGCCATTCGGAAAGTCCGGGTTCAAATCCCGGCGTCGTACTACAATAACATTAGAACGAAATACAACTTTACAATACAATTGAATTTACGTTCTCTGCTTTCAATCACTAGTTGTCAAACAGAGAACGTAAATACGTTCGAATTCGTAAAACAAAACAGAATGGAAAACAAATAGACATATGGCAAAACTTAATAAAGCCAAAGAAAAAATAAGAAAATTTTCTTCAACAAAACATCTTAAATCGGGCAGTAAACCGATAATAAATGTATCATATAAAAAATTCTTGTAATATTTTATATTTTAAACAATATATTTGAAATATCAATGATTCCTAATATTACAATAAAAACAATTAATGTGGTATTTGTTGTTCAGTAAGACAAAGGCTTGAAAAGTAGGTGTAATTCTAGCATCTGTGAAGTAAATTGAAAACGAGGCAAGTGATGGAATGCTTTTGACTTGCTAAGGGTGTTTTACTCCGTGGTAAAAATATAGCCCATTACTACAAATTAATGCTCTATTGAGACACGAATTCCCATATAGCTAAATATTTACACAATAAAACAAGCGCATACCAAAGTCAACTAATCGCAATAATAAAGGAGACATTATTACGTATTTTTTAAATCAAGCCGATATCTTGGGAAAAATACGCAAAAAAAACAAGTTTTGGTGATTTTTAGCTTCTCCAGCTTAAAATTTACTATGACTATTAAACCGATTACACCATCGCAGAAGCGGGTCGCTTCAGATGAAAAGAAAGAAACAAATAGCTCGAATAGTCATGGACATGTTCATGGATCCCATTCACATTCACATGGTCACACTATAGTTGAACCGAATAGCAATAATGGTCAAAACAGTGGACGAACGAGTGCTACACATGTTCAATGTCGGGCTGGACAGGTAAGCAAATAACAACAAGGCCGAATCTATATCTACATATATTAAATGTATCATTAAAACAATGAAAGCGTGAATTTTAGTAGTGTACTGCTACGGAATATAAAGTATTCCTGCATATTACCAACATGATGAATTACTTTGGTTTTCATATTTAAAAATTTATCCTAACTAGCCCACAAAAAAGTGTTACTTCTTTTATTATCAGTTACCTTCTATCTATTCACGCTCTCCTAGGACATAACTTAGAACATGATTTATATAAAACAAAGATAAAAAAATAGTTAAAACGTAAAAGAAAAACTAATACTAAAAACTTAACTAAATCAGTTAAGCCAACAACTTTTACTACTAATGCGATTTATATCCTTCCCCTTTAATTTTTATGAATTATTCACCTGTTATATTTTCTATATTAACAATTATTTATTATATCCGATTTACTTTTTATTACTTTTATATGTCAAGAGTCCCCAACGGCGTGCCGAATCTTTCGACGATATGAACCGCCACCGTCGGAGTCCTCATAAAAGGTATATAGGAGCTCTATATAATGATGAACAAGGTCTAAATATTTTTTGGATTGTTTTAAATATAGTTCGCGTTCGAAACGTCGGGAGCATCACGAAATTTTGCAAAAACGAGAAAGAGGAGAAAGAGAAAAACTGTCAGCCATTAACATTTCAAATAATTCCATTTCTAATAAATGTGGTAGTCCTCATGCACACAGTGGCGTTTTATCAGGAACTGCAACAGCAATCAATGCAGTTAACAATTCCACTGGGAAAAGTGGACTTGGATCTAGTAGTCCGACTCAGTCAACAAGTACTGGAGGAAATTCTCCTGACCATTTGGCTGCCATTCCCGTTGTACTTGGTTGTCAGAGTCCAAAATCAGCAGCATCCATAACTCAAGTGACTGGTAATTTAATTAAAGCAGTCGAAGAAACATATTCCGGTTACAACAGTGGAGATGAACACCTGCAGCCCAAAGAAAGTGCTATTTCTGCAGATGAGTGGCAACAACGTGATGATCAGTTTGCAAAATGCATGGCAGGACGAGGCTATGAGCTTCGGTCAGTAGAAGAAGACGGTGCTTGTTTATTTAGGTCCATCTCTTTGCAAATTTATGGCGATGAGGATATGCACGACGTTGTTCGCCAACATGTCATGGACTATATTGTAAGACGTTATGAAATACTTTACAAAAAGTGTGTTGATTTCGTCTTTTTCAATTTTAGTGCAAAAATCGGGAATACTTTTCTCAATTTGTTACAGAAGATATAAACAGTTACATTAAAAGAAAACGAAGAAAGGATTCCCATGGTAATCACATTGAAATACAAGCCATGTCAGAGATTTATAATCGCCCAGTGGAGGTTTACTGCTATAAGTCAAGTACGCAGACATACAGATATGTGTTTAGCTTTATATATGTGTATTAAACTTTTAAATTTGCTTTAGCTCCCATAAATATATTTAATTCAGAGCAACTGAATAAAGGTTATGCACCACTACGGTTATCCTATCAGCGCGGTTCTCATTACAATGCAATCATTGATCCATACGATGCAACTGTAGGTGTTGGCTTGGGTTTGTCTGGTCATAAGCCAGAATTGCAAACAAAAGAAGCGGTACTGTTGAGTGAGCAAATGGAGATCGAACAGGTAAGATAAATGTCAAACTCAGTGTCTTCTCTATGATTTTAAACTTACTAAAAGCACATAAGATCTTGTTTTGAATTGCTTTGGAGCTGTACTCTTCGTAACTTGTAAAAGAAAACTTTAAGAATATAAAGTACAAAAAGTAATGCACATAAAAATAATAATTTTAGGACGCATACTACTCTGTACTAATTCAGTTGAGTTCCATCTCTAAATTCCGCTATAGAGTTACAATTACTAGAATTGGAAGAGTTACATAGTTTTTGAATTATTACAGACTATGTTTGAAGATAAACTGAAGACAACTGATTGGGAAGCTACAAATGAAGCTATAGAAGAACAAATCGCACGCGAATCTTACTTGCAATGGTGTCGGGAAAATTTGCAGAAAAATCGTGCCCCCACTACTGCTGCATCTACTTCGGCAACTGTGACTTCTGCTGAAGCTGCCTCAGATTCTGAAGCATCACCATCAAAATATTCTATACAGCGCAATAAGCCGAGTAGTTTAAGCATTACTACCACAAGTAATTTTAATAACAAACTTACGCATACTGTTGTTTGTAAAGCACCACAAACCGTTACAAAGGTAAATACCTTTGAGGAGAATTTAAATGGTATTGTTGAATCGGCCCATCTGACCAACAATTCAAACTCCTCCCCTCCTTTGGAGGCATCAAATTCATTAACACTTGGTGCAAATATCATTTCAACCTCTCCACTTTCCATCGGCGAGCGTGAACTAGATAGTGATGATACAGATATGAGTAGTACCAGTTCCTTAGGAGCAAGTAGCAGCGCTAGTTGTAAAATCAAATCGAAAGCACTTAATAAGCGAAGTGTTACTTTGCGGATAGCTGGAAAGAAACGACGTTGTGAGTCTAACTCTATAAAAAAAGGAAAAAGGTAATTGAGGAATAAAATAATACAAAAACCCTCTCTAGACGGAATTGACTTTACCTTTATATTGACCTTAACAGTGTCGTGGTTACTAATCGCATTGTTGGAAAAAGCCCTAAGAATGAAAATGAGGATGTGATGCAGTTGACAAAAGTCCAATCACGGTCACAAACACCAGAGGCCGAGCAACAACCTTGCACATCAAAACAATCGTGCGCCTCTACATCTGAAAAGAATTTGCAAAATGTTCGTGATAGTAGTGTAGATATGCTATCAGCTTCAACTTCAAAATGTACCTTGCCTTCGTGTACATCAACGTCTCCGAAATTAATTCAATCAGTCAACGAAGAATTATCTTCAAACTTTTATCAAGAGCTTTTGGAAGCTTCATACGCTGCAGACGGTTAGTTAAATGTTGACATCGGTAAAACTCTAAAATAAGTTCGATTTAAATGCTTTTTGTATATAGGTTTTGGGCAGTTAAGTGAATCCGAAATGCTTCAACGTGCTATACAATTATCCACCCAAGACTACATCGATGAGCAGAAGAGAAAATATTTGTTTGGGCCATAAGTTACATGAATACAATTATAGCATGATGTAATCAAAAAGTTTTTCTAAAACGGTTTGAATGATTGTAGGCGTAAACCAAAAATAATTAGTACATAAAATATATCATTAATCGTTGGCGAATTGAGTTCCAATGAAATAAAATATAAGCAAATAAAAATATTCAAATGAAATATAAAATCTATGAAATGCTATATGAATTTTTTTGTAATTATTTTTTGTATTTGTTTTGAGATGTACTTTGAATATATGCTATTAATTTCAAGCACTTTGCATTACTTTAAAGCTTTTTTAAATAAAGAATTGAATTTTTTTCGAACAAATTAATAATATTGAATAACGTTATCTTCCATAAATAAGTAGAAGCCATTATACGAATAATATAGCTACGCGTACCACCCTCTTTATTTGTGTACCTAAAGAAGGGTTTTAGTCATACTTTAGTTCGATAATATTTTGCATATAGACAAATATACGCACTTCATCAGTTCTTTGCTATAACATTTAGATAACTATTTGTGCTTTGTAAATAGTCTGTGCTCCTCGTCTTCGTCTTCCTCTAATCCCGTCAGTGGATACAGCGCCCAAAACTTTTAGAGCTAGAGAGGTGTTGCTAATACCGGAGATATGGATCATGATTAACTGATATGCCAGTCGAGTCGTATATTTCGTACTTCTCATTTGACAGTGATTACCCTGTTCCTTTGGCAGGTGCGCCGTTGGATGTCCACCGGAAATACATAAAGAGTTTCGGCACAAAAACATCAGAATGATAAATTATGATATCGTTCGATGTTACAACAAAACTAACAGGGAAAAATATGATTCAATCACGATGCAGGAAAATGCTACCTGCCATAGACGCATTGCAATGGTGATAATGATTAAGTTTACATTATCTGTATGTATGTGTGTTTGAAAAGCAAATAAAAAAATCCATTTGGGAAAATTTGTTATTGTAAAAAATATACATATATGTATAAATAATCAAGGCAAATTTACACACGCTAGTAGCAAGAATACAAAACAAAAAGCATATGTATTTTGTTTTTGTAATCGTAGTTTCGAAAAGTCAAAACATATTTCTCATGTATTTTGTGAATTTTGTTGAAATGGAAGGAAGAACAAGCAATCATATGATGTGAAAACTTCACCTTTTATAAATTCGCCTTGATAAATAATAAAATAGACATTTGAGAGACTCTACACATATGATATCACCATGTTAGCTTTTAGGCTTGAATTTAAGCACCAAAGACACATTTCTCGTTTCACCTGATCGCTTGTAAGACCTCATCAATAGCTACTGGGGTATGTTTATATGTTCATATACATGCATACATATTAGTATGTGCTTCTATATTCGTGAAGATACAATAGATTGTAGTTCTCTTATCAGTTTCTTTGGCGAAGGTTTTCACAGAAATTATTGAACAATTTGCAATATTTGTTGCCATATATGTACATACATATGAGTGTATCTATTTTAATTAAGATTGTCATGTGCATTTTACCATGAGGTCTTGGTATTTACTCGAATGAATACATATGTACATACATATATACATATGCATATATAAATTTTGTTCACTTCCAATGATCTACATAACTTCGTATTAAACTAATTATGGCTGAACCTCCACTTAGGCACATCAGAAAGGGAGTACTAGATTTAAAGGAAACAGCAACATGTGCAAAAACCGCTGGACAGGACGGCGTACAGACAAGCACTGATCGTCATTCACAGGAGTCACTCAACACCTTCAAATACTCCCTTTCCAAGGATGGCGTGCTCGGAGATAGACCATTTCCACCAAGAGTCAGTCAATACCTTCAAAGACTCCCTTTCCGAGATATCCGCGTGATACTGGCACAACTTAGGTCTGGATACACTAACAGGTTAAACTCCTACCTTTCCAAACCCGACCTCAAATACCCAATTTATGCCCAGCATGTGAAGAGTTTCCACATATGCCTCTTAAGCCGACACATCTGACCTCGTTGATTTAGAATGATTTTAGAGCTGACCCTAAGTGGGGTTAACGTAGATGCTACAACAACAACAACAATAATAGTGAGCTAACGTTTTTGAATACTTTTTGGTTTCGGGTGGAGATGGCTATAAATATGTACATTTATATCTGTATATAGTCAAGAACAGGAAGGATAGTTCAATATTAAGTTGTATAAATATGATAATTTATCAATCGGTCTAGACATATATTATATGCCTATCCACTATCATATACACTAATTATCGCATATTTAGCACAATGGAATTAAACTGGAACTAGTGCACAGTAATATGCTTTTTATTAATAAGTTTGTAAAATTATTTCTGCTATGGACTTAGCAATGCTTTTATAGAAATGTAATAAATAAACGATAGTTTTACATTTCATTAATTTGCGACTAGTAAAAGAAATATGATAGGGAGCTCATCCTAAAATCGCTTCAACACAATTATGTTATTATACGTACATTTTATTTATATATATATATATACGCATACATATATACAGTATATATACATATATACAATATCTCTTGTTTGTATCTTGGGGTCGATCCAAGTTACGTATACGAGTATACCAAGCGGCATTTGCATTGCAGTGCATCCCCACACTTGTATTCCACAATCCACAGCAATTTCAATCTTCATAAATATTCTAAATAAGTGCTCACTAGTGTAATTTAAGTTGAGTAAACGAGTGCAATCATACGTCTACTACTTTAGAAAACAAATTTTCAATATCAACGAATAATACAAAAGAAATTAATTTTTGCAAAAATGATCTACATATGTACGCTCATGCATGTACAAGTATCAAATTATAATTTATTTTTACTCGTTTTGAGAATTTTTGCATATATTATGCGGAAACCGAATAATCATAGTTATCAGTCTGTTATGATTTTTGGGCCATCTAACACCTTTTCATTAAACCTAAGGACAATAGAAATGGGAAACGGTATGTACCCAGTATATATGCGTAAATGATCTCTTGAATAATGATAGAAATACGAACATTTTATACTTTCAGTATTTTTTGTAATAATTTTATATGTTTTACGTATTGATGGCACACTACAAAGAGATACATGCGAAGGACTTGAGGAAGGAACTCGCCTACCTCATTCCACACAATGCGACCGCTTTATTATTTGCAGAACACAACGCATGTACTCGGTTGGACGTTGCCCTCGTGGTCTACACTTCAACCGTCGCCTAGGCGTTTGCGACTTTAAGCTGCATGCTCGTTGTGATACGTATTTGTCAATGCCAAATCCAAAAGCATTGTCGAAGGAAAGTATATATGAAGACAATTGTTGTAGCGGCTGTAATTGCAATTGCAACTCTATAAAAGCCCCCTTTTATGAAACTGCAGCTGCAGATGATATACTATTACCAGATTCGAAAGGCCCATCCACAGGTCCTTCGGGTACTACTTGCAATAATAAAGGCATTTGCGAAAATCAACCAGACGGTGCCATGTTTCTACGCCCCGGATCAAACGGTTACATTGTTTGCCAGTGTGAATGTGAAATTCCAATGTCATGCCCTCCAAATTTAATATTTAATTCAGTACTTAAGGTTTGTGATTGGCAAAATATTCATCCGCACACGGAAAGCACTCTGCCCATTAGAGCTACAACAGTTTCAAAATATTTGCCTGCCTATGACACATCCTCAACTCTATACAGATCTTCAACTTCAAGTTATCTGTCGACTAGTGGTACATCTTCAATGCCATGGGATTCAACGCCAACGAGACAAATAGCAGTAACTACAGATATATCCTCAACACCAAACTATCCGACTACCTCCGGCACAGCCTCAACATCGTCTGATACAAAGACAAAATCTGCGACTTCAACAACAAGTAATCCAGCTGCTGGACCTTCAGGAACTACTTGCAATAATAAAGGAGTTTGCGAAAATCAATCAGACGGGGCTATGTTTCCAAATCCTGAAACAAACGGGTATATAGTTTGCCAATGTGAATGTGAAATTCCTATGCCTTGTCCTTCGGGATTAATTTTTAATCCGGTGCTTAAGGTTTGCGACTGGCCCGTTAGCCCTCCAGCCACAGTAAGCCCACCGCCCATTAGAACTACAACAGTCTCATCCTCAACACCCAAACACCCGTCTTCCTCTGACACATCCTCAACTCAATATAGATCTTCAATTTCAAGTTATCTGTCTTCTACTAGTACATCTTCAATGCCATGGGATTCAACCTCAACGACCCAAATAGCAGTAACCACAGATATATCCTCAACACCAAACTATCCGACTACCTCCGGCACAGTTTCATCATCGTCTGATACAACGACAAAATCTGCGACTTCAACAACAAGTAATCCAGCTGCTGGACCTTCAGGAACTACTTGCAATAATAAAGGAGTTTGCGAAAATCAACCAGACGGGGCTATGTTTCCAAATCCTGAAACAAACGGGTATATAGTTTGCCAATGTGAATGTGAAATTCCCATGCCCTGTCCTTCGGGGTTAATTTTTAATCCGTTACTGAAGGTTTGCGATTGGCCCCGTTCTGATGTTATATCAGCAAGTAGTCCCTCCACTGGTCCATCAGGCACAGTGTGCAACAATAAGGGCAAGTGCAATGGTCAAAAAGATGGCACCCTATTTGCCGATCCCAACACTAGTGGCTTTATCGTATGCCAGTGTGAGTGTGAGGTCATAATGCCTTGTCCGACTGGTTTAACTTTTAACCCTAGCGTAAATGTATGCGATTGGCCTCAAACCTTCCTGTAAAAATATACGAAAATAAAAAAAACATTTGAATTGAGAAAACTGTGGGATGATTCTTGATTGAAAACGATCACCTCAGTAGTTGTATTGGGTATGATGTGGGATGCCAACATCTCAATTTAAAAAGTGGAGCACTAATACAGATGATGCCTTTTTACAGTGTAACAGATATACTTTACAAAATAATTTGTTTACATTTCCCATTCAAATTGATTCGTTTGATCTTTACATTCCACTGTAATATATTTTCGTAAGAATAATCGAGGGGTCTAGTTATTTCTTATGCCAGGATGGGTTGGGTCAAGTGAAAATAAATTAAAATGAATTTGTGTTACAAATCAAATTTTGGCGGTCTTCCGCATGGAAGCCAAATAAACATCAAAGTATATACCATCGCAAATAAATACAATTTACCTACTGAAAATAATAAAAAAATTAAATAGCATAACGAAAAGGTAGATGTTATCATTCGCATGCACTTCGATAAACATCACAGATGCTGCTGCAAGCCCGATAAAGTGCGATAAAAAGATGTTAAACAATATACTTGGTCCCTGCATGTACATACAGAGCTACGCGCATACTAGGGACAGAGATCTTCCCCATTGTAAATAACTAAGAACACTTATAATTTAATTATAATTAAACGCTGTTTCCACCTATATATAAATGGCATGGGACTCTAAATGCACTAATGAAGGTTTGATTCGCGACAAAATAAGTAGCACTTGTGGAGCCTAACTTAAATGTTAAAGATGTTAAGAGGTTAGTTTTAATATTACACCGTGCATGAGTTCTATATACTCCTGAATTGATTGGGCTATCAATATTACAGTTATAACGGTAGCGGTTTTGGTTTTAGCTGCCGAAGGAGGGAACGTATTAGATCCACGATGCTTCCAGGAGATGGTTGGCGTAAGACTCGCTTATCGTACAGACTGTGCAAAATTTGTACAATGTGTGAGCACATCGGTTGGACTCGTGAAACTTTGTCCAAGTGGATTACATTTCAATGCCGAGAGCGAATTATGCGACTTTCCATCGCGAGCTGGTTGTGGTAATATGATATCTTCTTCTACTAGCGCTCACTGCGAATGTGATTGCGAAATTTGTTGTCCGGGTTGTACAAGTGCAATAACACTACCAACGCCAACAGCAGTGCAAAGTCCAGAACCATCTGAGGCCACAAATCCAACAAATTTAACACCAACAGAAGCAACCTCACACGGATCTCCAGCAGTACCAGATTGCAAGCCCACACCTCTTAATGATATATCAACGCCTTCAGGGACCCCAATATCACCGAGTTCTCTCTCTAATACATCTCCTACAGCTATAATTGAAACATCTACTCCATCAGAGGGACCCTCTACACCCACTCCTATAGACAATGTCCCCACGCCTTTTGATTCTCCAACAACATCGAATTCTTTACCAACACCAACACCAACATCATCAGATGGTCCTCATACACCTTGTGCTAATCCATCTTCTGATACAGATGATGCAACAACGCATTCAGATTCCCCAACATCATCAAATTATATGTCAACCCCTAAGCCAGGTAACGTATCTCTAACATCTAATGCTTGTCCAACGTCTACTGATTCTCCAACACCATCAATTTCTCCAGCATCACCTACACCATCAGGCGGACCTCCTAGACCTACTGCTGGTCCAACTTCTCCTACAGACGATTCACCATCGCCTTCTTATTCTCCACCACAATCAAATTCTCAACCAACACCAACACCCTCAGACGATTCGCCAACATCGTACAATTCTCCATCAACACTAACAGTTTCAGACGGACCTCTCACACCTACTGCTGGTCCAACTTCTCCTACAGACGATTCACCACCGCCTTCTTATTGTCCCCCACAACCAAATTCTCTGCCAACACCAACACCCTCAGACGGATCTCCCACACTTACTGCAGGTTCTCCTACTCCTATGGATGATGTATCAACGACTTTTCATTCCCCAACACCATCAAATTCTCCAGCAACACTTACACCATCAGACGGATCTCCTATACCTGCTGCTGATCCAACTTATCCAAGAGACGATGCACCAACGACTTCTGATTCTTCAACACTATCAAATTCTAAGCCAACACCCACACCCTCAGACGGATCTCACACATCTACTACAGGTTCAGCTACTCCTACTGACGATATACCAACGTCTTCTCACTCTCCAATACCATCAAATTCTCCCCCAGCACCCACACCCTCAGACGGATCTCACACATCTACTGCAGGTTCAGCTACTCCTACTGACGATATACCAACGCCTTCTCATTCTCCAACATCATCAAATTCTCCCCCAGCACCCACACCTTCAGACGAATTTCCCACACCTACTGCAGGTTCACCTACGGGCGAAGCATCTACGCCTTCTGATTCTTTCACACCTTCAAATTGTCCACCGACGCCAACACCCTCGCAAAATCCACCTACTAATGACCTTCCAACCCCCACTGTAACAGAAGAGCCTTCTGATTGCGATGCAGTGTGTTGTAACAAAAACGATGGTATTAGTCATATTTTTGAGGGCAATTGCCAGAAATTTATAGTTTGTGTTGGTGGAAAAGAGATTGTGCTTACTTGCTCAAACAACTTGCAATACAATTCGGCAACCGGTGAATGTGATTACCCAGACAATGTGGACTGCCCATGGCCGCAACCACCGCCAAGCGGCCCCTCCGCTGGGCCATCGGGAACTCATTGTGAAAATGGAAGCCGGTGCGTCGGCCAACGGGATGGTACCTCTTTTACCAACGAAAGTAGTGAATGTAGCTCAGATTATGTTGTTTGCCAATGTGAGTGTGAAGTGAAGCGCAGTTGCAGCTCTCCGTTGATGTTTAACGCTAAGTTAGGAGTGTGTGATTGGCCCACGAGCTTCGGTTGCTAATGTAAAGGATTCTTTTGAATTGTAAGACTTGGCCTAATGTACATTGAAAAATAAATAAAAAAAATAAAATTTGAGATATGAACCTTGCTAAATACATACGTTGGAACTGAAGGTAGGTTGGCAATATAAATGCCGTGGCAGAGTAAACAATTTGGAATTATATAAAAAGGCGCCAATTATATGTATGAAAATACTATATACACGTATTTATATTGTATGTACCGCAGTCGCAGTAGCCGAGTAGTTACCATTGCGTACTGCCATTCTGAAGGTCAGGGTTCAAGTCCTGGTACGACCAACATCCTTATTAAAAAAACATCAGCCGTTCGGAGGCGGCTTAGTATAAATTGTAGATCCCTCCATTTGTTGGAAAAACATCAAGACGCAAAGCCACAAATTATAGAAGGAGCTCGGTCGAAAATCGCTTCACCGGCTACAAAGCACTATATGAATATAATCAAGCTAGTGACATCGAATATGGTCTATTGGATGTCACATTATGAACGCGAATTCTAATATAAATTTATGAAGGCTTATTAAATGACAAAAAGGTATACAATTTAGTCCGCCACCTTCTCTATGATGAACTTTCACATCGTCGACACTTTTGTTCAATATATTAGTCATTGAATCTAATGTGTGATGAGTACCCAGCAACCCCTCCTTACTTGTTTCTTTTTAGATTGCATACGATGTATTTTTCATATTTATAGAGCCCAGTAAAATTAATTGCAGATTTGATAACATCGGACTTTGCAAACAATATTGATTTAATAGTAATTTAGGTATTAGCCTTTTAAACATCAAATTGACATTTCGCAATCGATGGACACTCGCATTATAAGTGTTCCCCCGTTTATCCATGGATTGATTTTGTAGTTTATTTAAATTAATAATGGTTGGACACATTTCGCCATTGCAGGGTCTTGACAAAGGTGACGTGTGGCATTGAAATGTAACATGGGCGGACAGCTGCGACGATATGGACGTTGGATTATGCAAACGTAGTATTGTGAACATGAGTCCGATTTGGACAGAAGCGCTCCAGTAGGCAAGCCTTCGCAGATTGGACCAGCGTTGAGATCTGCGACCACCTCGTCGGGGGTTTTTGGTCTCGGCAATAACCAATGAATAACTCGTTTTGTGTTTGTTGACTTGTAGTCCAAATTCTCTAACTGTTGTTGTTGAACTTTGCAGCCCGCCTTCAAAGGATGGTCACAAAGTCCAGTGCGCGAATTAAAATGATAAAAACTGCCACATGAACTCGCTATAGCATTTCCATTGACACATATATAAAAGCCATTACATGAACCAGGCATTGGTATGGTGATACCGCTTTCATTACGACATGTTATCGAAAAACTTCGCCCATATTCCTACAACAACAAAAATAACAGCTACATATATATGTACGTAGTTAGTTGTCTTCTAAATCACTTACGTGATACGTGCGTTCCGCCATAACGCAGCTTTGCAAAAATGCAAGAAAGAATAAAGTTTTGCATAGACGCCCCATAACTACTTCCAAGACTGGAATACAGTTCTTTTGATCAGCTAGATGCGAGATTTTTCTACGATATCTTATATTCAAATACGAACTTCCTATAGAGCTGAGCAACATAATTCCCTATATTTATAAACTTTCTTTGTTGCTTATCAAACACACTGAAAATAAGAATTGCTTGCAAAATCATATCTACATACATTTAGAGTAAATTTGACGGACCGCTATGATGTTCTTTGTAAATAGATTCTCATTTGCGATATTTTCGCACATACGTGTACCCTCGTGCACAAATACACTGGCATGTATGCATAGGTCTTAAATGAATAAGTAAGTGCGTTTGCTTTTGGCAAAAGTTAGACAAAAAAACTTTGAGTAGGTGTGAGCAAAATTCAACTACTTCAAAACAAGATAGATACCTGAAATTATTTTTGTCCGTAGGTCCGACGTCTGCCATGCCTATTTGTGATCAGTGTATTACTCCTAGTCGGAAGGAAAGGTTATAGAAACGTTTCTGTGATAATATCTCTAAAGAAACAGCCAGCGATATTCTAGCAGCGGTCGCTCCTCGTCCTTAGGAATTCTGCCAGAAAGTATCTGACATGAATAATAAGGTCGGCCTTAAACCGCTGAACGCCCACATTATAAATGTACAACTATGTTTTACATACAGTTTGTATGTAGGTAGTAAAACTTAAAGCAATCATACATTGTTTACACTTTTGATCGACAGAAGCGATCAATTCGCTATCATATCTATGGATACACGAATACATATACATATTTACATAATATTATTTAAGATTGATTAGGTTTGATTAAATTGTTGATATTTTGACTTAGTTTATATAAACGTTAGGGCGTCCGTTTTTCTGAGTTAATTTTTAAATTAATATTCAAGGCCAATGTTTTTTATTTTTTACATACATCGAATCGTGTCCAAATTTATCCATATACTTTGTTATTTCTTCTCTTTTTAAATAATTTCTCAACTTCCTTCTATTAGGCATATCTAGAAAAGTTAGCATAATGACTATCCAGCAGATGATTTGAATAGAAATTAAGATATCTTGACAAAACTTGATTTGCAAAGCGGAATGGTATTAATGACTGCTAAGTTAAAACTACAAAAATTGGTGACAACCAAAATAAATGCAGTACGCTTTCAACAAGTGTATGTAGAGCAAAGATGATGCGGAGATAGAAAAGTAAAAGTGGGCAGTGCTTACCCTGTCTCGAAGTTACAAGGCTGGTTGAGAGAACATTTGACTTTAAGAATAATAAATGATCCTATAAAAAATACTAATACTTCGGCGGGAACCGAACATCAAATATCTACTTAGCTGATTTTTATATTAAAACCACAGATCCGTCAAAAAGTCTGTTATCTAGCAGGTAGGTATATTTCTGAACTTATGTCAGCCATATATGTAAGAGCTTTCGTTTCCACTAATACCAAAACCTCCACAAAATTTTTTTCTAACGGTCACATGTGAGGTATGCACGAGGGTGAACTTGATTCGATTTCAACCAGTTGCATTAACGTTCATAATTGTGAAATGTTTGAACCAAGTTGAACCAAACTATCTGTAGAGAATACTAGAGAATACAAATGGCGAAAGTATAAAGTCAAAATAACTGTTTTTTTAATTTCCTACTATGATACAGGGATCACCGCAAAACGCCTTTTTCAAAGACGTCCTGGGTAAAAAGCCAGTCGTTATCTTTACAAAAAATCTAAGCGAATATTATTGAAAGAATACTTAATAATGTACGAATATTATAATATATTCTCGCTGTCCATGTTTCCTCCAAAATATTTACAAAAAAGGGTTTCCTCGGGCGTAAATGAGAGTATTCGTATTATAATATTGCTGGTCACTCGTACAAAATGTATTGTAATAAAGCTTTTATCTTTAGTGTAACAAAATAAAATATATTATAACTCTAAGCTTATTTGCAATAGCGGTCACAAGCCATAACTTCGGAATTCCATAAAAGACCGTTGCCACAGGTATGCACCGATGCGAAGCCATCGCATTGAATAAATTTGTGGCAGTCGAAGGGGTGTCTTACATAGTCTACGCCCGGCGTTCTGCATAAGGCCCTCAATTCGCTCTGTTCGATGTCGTTAATTGAATACTGTGAAGCTGGCCCTAGTTCGGCTTTTGGAATTGATGGCCGTGCTGCCTCAGTCGGTATCATATCAGTTATGTATGGAGTTTGTGGCCATATGTAGGTAGGATTTTCACAGATGGCAGTTTGTGGTGAATCGCATTGCTCTAACACGGAATTCCAATAAAGATATGATGGACATCGCATCGGTACACATTTGTAGAGCTTGTTACAGTCTGTTGCATCTTGTTTGTATATAATCTTCTCTGATATGGGAAAAGCTCCGCCATCGGTTATACTTGTTGGATAGAATTCATTGGGAATGGTGCCGACACATTTGGCTTTGGTAGGGTAATCACAATGGTAAGTCTGAATACTCCAAAGAAATCCGTCTTCACAATACATGGGGTAAGCGTAACCATTTTTGCATATATAATACTTTCTACAATCGGTGGGGTTAGGCAATTGTAATGGATGCAGTGGATCATCGAAAAGAGGGCAATCGGGATGCCGAATTGGTTGTTCAAGCTGAAACTCTGTGTTGAAGTAATTATTTTTAATTTTAACGTACTTTCTTACCATTTCCTCAAGAGCAACAGCTGACCAGACACATAGGCTAAGGAACACCAATAGTTGTTGACATGCTTTAGGAACAATGTCTTTGCCAACTGAAAAAATTGGAAACCAAGAAATCCCTTTCGTTCAGAAAACATAATTAATATAAAATTTACTCACGCATTTTGAACTTTCCTAGATGTCGTAGAAGGTACAACTAATATCTTGGTCTTATAAGCGTACCACTTTATATAGACGATAGTCTTATACTGCAGAAGAACATCAAAATATGTCGACATATATTCATGTGTATTTATGGTATTTACCCTAGCCTCTCTTAGGTGATGCATGGAATGCAGTGCGATTTTACTGATAATCGAAGAGGTTTACCTTGAACTTATAATTAATACGCTTCAAAGTATACTCATTTTATAGCGAGCTAACCCGATGAATAAACTTATTGCTGCCGGCTATGAATGTGGAGCTCATCTGGTAAACATACAAATGCTATTAAGTACAATTTCAAAATTTAGGTTGAACATATTTTCAGACGAATATAATCGGTGTTAAAAAACACACAATTGAGTACTTTTCGTTTTTCGAATACAATAATTTTTATTTTTCAAATCGAATTTCTGTAACTATATATGTATGTATGTACATTAATATGTACATTAAGCCAAAATAAGAACCACTGCAATTAGTTTTTTCTAAGAAATAATAGTTTAGAGAAGACATATTTACACGAGCTTGTCCGGGAATTTCATTTATTGCGCCTAAAATTGTGCCGAACGCAACACTGCGAAAATAATAGAGTTTTATTAAATACTCAATAGATAGAACTCAAAGCTTACTGAATCACATGAGCTACACAATTATCACTTATTGAGTGCAAGCAATAATTACAATAAATGTTGCTGGTACGTATTTCCAAATGTTTAGACACGGTTAAATTTATGTATGGAATGATCGCGGAGCGCACCATTGGTTCAGGCGTATCATAGGCTAAACTCTAACTTCTCATAATTATTTCCCAACGTTTGAAATACTACATATAATTGGCGGCCGCAGCAGCACTAACCACTCGGCTTTCGCGGCCGCTCTGCTCAAATTTAAAATCTAATCGTCAATATCCCAAGGAAAGTTTATTGCGGAATACAATATCTCTCAACTTTTGAATCCAGCTAACGTTCTAGGGATGAATAGCCAATATATAGGGTTATATAATAACGTCTCGTCATAAGAGAACAGTCCGATAGTATTTAAGCTCACGTCTAAAATAATTATTGAATCATCACACGAAAATAAAACTAGAATTTCGGTTCGTCTTAACACCAATGGTTAAGCAAAACACAAATTACACTCTTATATATATATACATGTGTCCAAATAAAAGTAATGTTGGTATAGGTACAAAGGTAAGGATGTTTTCTTAGCCACAAAGATTAGAGAGTTTGCAGTTTATGTCATTATTGAGACTTGTATAGGAAGCGCTTTTTTCAATTCTGAATGTTTTACGTGTCTGCATTTCATACATTCCATAAGGACAGGGATGCTAGCCTTACTGTTTGCATAAGACTCTTAACGAAATCAATTTTGTGTTTGTTTATTCGGAAATATTATAATATTGTTAGCTTCTATTCAGCAATATGCCTAATTTATAGTTAGTATATTTAGCCGCTATAGCCGAGTGGTTGGCATTATGTATTGATCGAACCAACACCCAAATTATAGAAAAAAAGTTTTTATAATTGTCGTCGGCTTAGAATTGCATGAGCTGAAAGTTTTCAATGTTAATAATAATTGTACAATGATTCTCCCATTATTTAATAATTCATTTCTAATCACCTCCTTATCATCTTATCATCGCTATCAATGCGATTCATGACACCAGCGTAGAAGTCAGTTTCAAGAACATTTTAAGCAAGGTGTGGCTTCTCAAACAGATTTTTCTCACAAGAATGATACAAATTTGAAAATCAATTAAGAAACATTTGTTCGTACATGATCTTAAATTTGATAAAGTTTAGAACAAGTAAAATTTGCAGTTACATTTTGTAAAATCTTTGTAGAAATGCCAATTTTTAGTCAAATATTTTTGTATAAAAACATGACAAAATAATGTATCGATGTTACAGTCTTATTTGTGTATTTGGTGTAAACAAGCATTTTATAAAGAAAAAAGGCACAAGGATAGTTAGCTTTTGAAAGTAGGATTTCGGAAGCTAGAATGAGATGTAAGCATTATCGTTCAAAACATTTCAATTCCTCACATATTAATAAAGGAAATTTTGTAAAACTTTACAGTTGTATTAATTGCTGTGATTTTCTTGGCCACAGCTACACTTTGTAGCGCAGCTGATGCAGAGTGTAAGTATCGCAAGGCTCGTAATTTGGCACTTCATTGGGCCGATCCGACCGATTGTACGCGTTACTATCGTTGTACAAACAGAAGTGTTAAAAGGGAAGTAGTTTGCGCCGAGGGAAAGGCTTACAACCCAAAAACCGGAAAGTGTTCAAGTAATAAGGAGGGTCTATGTAAACTGACGTTGTTGGCGCCACTAGCCGGGGTGAGTTTCAAATAAAAATATTACAGACATGGAAATCTATTTTTTATTATTTACATCATTAGGCAATCAATCCGTGTGCCGACGAAGTTTCAGGCACATACACTGCACAACCAGGGTATTGTCGCAACTTCTACATTTGCAATAATAATCAAGCTTATCCTCAGGTTTGCGATGATGGTAGCCTTTTTAATGCTACACTCTCATATTGTATCCCAGACTCCGACACCAAGTGTTGGCAAAACAAGTGCATTGGTAAACAAAATGGTACTTATCTGCCGGACCTATCCTCATGTACCTCATTCTACGTGTGTGCTGGTGGAGAAACTACTTTACAGAAATGTGATAGCGGAAGTTATTTTAATAGCTCTAGTAATATTTGCCAACCAGACCCAAACGGAGATTTCTGTTGGGAGAATTTGTGTGCTGATAAAAACAATGGCGATTTTGTTAAAGACATAAATGATTGCCATAGCTATTATGTGTGTGCTTCAGGACAAGCTGTTCAGCAGTATTGTCCTAACGGCAGCTACTTTAATTGGTCTGAGAATGGATGTGTACCAGGTGAATGTCCATCAGATGAAACTACTACGGAATATCCAACGACTGAGACCCCAATATCATCGACGGAGTGTAGTAAAGAAACCACGGAGCCTTCAACTACAACGCAGTGTACAGAAGTCACAACAGCTGCCCCAGAGCCACCCTGCGAATGTCCTGGTGGATATAAGGAAGGCGAATCGATTCCCTTTCCCAATTATCCAGAGAATTGTGATAAATACTACGAATGTTTGAATGGAAAGCTCGTAGAAAAGGAATGTGGAGTGGGTAATCGCTTCAATAGTACCCTGGGTGCTTGTGAACCTGATACCGACCACGTCTGCTGGCCAACCACCAGTATTCCTTGCACTGAAGTTACAACACCTACTCCTGAACCAACCTGCGATTGTCCTGGTGGTTATAAGGAAGGTGATTTGGTTCCCTTCCCCAATTATCCGGAGAATTGTGACAAATACTACGAGTGTTTGAATGGAAAACTCGAAGAAAAAGAATGTGGAGAGGGTAATCGTTTCAACAGTGCTCTCGGTGTTTGTGAACCTGATACCGACCACGTCTGTTGGCCAACAACCAATATTCCTTGCACTGAAGTTACAACACCTACTCCTGAACCAACCTGCGATTGTCCTGGTGGTTATAAGGAAGGCGATTTGGTTCCCTTCCCCAATTATCCAGAGAATTGTGACAAATACTACGAGTGTTTGAATGGAAAACTCGAAGAAAAAGAATGTGGAGAGGGTAATCGCTTCAATAGTAGCCTAGGTGTTTGTGAACCTGATATTGAAAAAATCTGCTCGCCAGCGGATTGCAGTGATCGTAACACCAAAGCTGGTTCGCACCGAGTTAGACGAAGTATTGGGAGCGAAGCAGTAGCGCCAGAAACGGGCAATAATACTTGCGTTGAAGGGAAAGTAACAGAACATTTCACAGATTGTAGAAAATATCATGTTTGCGTTAATGGCGGACTATTATTACATGATTGTGGTTTTGGCAATTATTTCGACCCAATTATGCTCACATGTAATATTGACATTCAGAGAGTTTGCATTTCTAATCATGAGCCTGTCAATATAGCAAATCACGAAAATAATATTGATCATGACTCAAATGTAGAGGAATATAACACTATTCATGTATTTGAGGTGTCTAGTTCTGAAGGAGTTGGTGAAAGCATGAAATCGGTAGATATTATTTCAACATCAGACTGTACATGTCCAGGCGGCTACAGAGAAGGAGAACTGCTACCATTCCCCAACTATCCAGAAAACTGTGATAAATATTATGTTTGTGCGAATGGAACATTGCAAGAACATGAATGCGGTGTTGGTAATCGTTTTGACAGTACTCTTGGCGTATGTCAGCCTGATACCGATAATACATGTTGGCCAGCCGAATCAAATTGCACATGTCCCGGTGGTTATAAAGAGGGAGAACTATTGCCTTTTGCTAATTATCCGGAAAACTGCGATAAATATTATATATGTTTAGAGGGAAGACTTGAAGAACGCGAGTGCGGTATAGGCAATACTTTTAACGGTAGCCTTGGTGTCTGCGTACCTGATTTAAATAATGTTTGTTGGCCAAATATATGTAAAAATCAAACTGATGGTACTGCTTTGGGGGACCCTACAAATTGTACCTCGTTTTACCTCTGTGAAAATGGAAAAGGGCAGGTTTACGAATGTCCACCCGAAAAATGGTTCGATCCAAAACATAAAGTTTGTATAGCAGATTACAATGCAACTTGCATTAATCCTTGTAAAGACACCACGGGTATTACATTCTTGCCCAACCCAGACTGTTCAAAATACTTTCTTTGTAATGATGGCAAAGCTTACGTTGAGACATGCCCTAAAGGTGGATTCGACGTAACCTTAAATAAATGCGAAGAGGATGCTGTTTGCGAGGCTACAATGTGTGTGGGTAAAGATGATGGCACCACTTTCCCTATGGCCGGCAATGACACTAAATTCTATTTGTGCCTCGGTGGGGAAGCAGAGATATATGATTGTCCTTCTGGCAAAACGTTCAATGACACATTTGGCATTTGCTTGGAACAACCTAGTGTAAGTAAATGAGACATTTTATTAATTGGCATTTATATGCCAGAGTTTTGTTTTTGGCTTATTTCATTTTTTTTTATTTGTGCAGTCGCAATGTAATCAGACTAAATGCAGTCTTCTTAACTCGGAAGACAACGCTTTCGCACCTGTAACAGACACTGATGATTCCGCCTTCTGTTTGTGCCGTGATGGAGGAGCCTTCTTGCACCACTGTGTTGATAATTACACATTCAACGCTGCTATCGGTGTTTGTTATTCGGTAATAAGATATTATAAACGGCAATTGTTAAGTAATTTAGATAAGAAATTCTTTTCTTCGCTTATTCAAGAATGCACCTTGCGATCCAGAGGTGTGCGATGCTTTACCGGAAAATACTCGTTCTCAAAATCGTAATGATACACACAGTTTCTGTTTATGTGTCAGCAAGCAGCAAGTTATTGTTGATTGTCCAAATAATCAAACTTATAATCCGGTCACGCAATTGTGTCAAGAACTGGACGTAAGTGGAAAAGAAATTAAAATTATTTGTAGGTTAAACGCAATATGTACTATTTTCCCACCACTTCCTTGCAAATAGGATAAATGTTCTCCCACTTTTTGCTTTACTGCTCCGGAGTATACCACTTTCCCCGCCTTAGACAACAACACCGAGGGTTTCTGCGAGTGCATCAGCACGGGCAATATATTTAAACTGTGTGGGGATGGCAAGCAGTTCAATGCTAATATAGGAATATGTCTACCAACAACTCAAGAGGCTTGTAGTGATGCACTTTGCGTTGGTAATGCTGGTATGATTTTTGGGGCTCTTGGTGATCAGCACGCATTCTGTTATTGTGCCAGCGATGGCGTTGCAATAAAGCAGACCTGTCCGAACTCTGAGATATTTAACGAGACATTGTTGATATGCGAAGCTGTAAGTATACATAACTTTCCTAACCTAATTTTTTGAACTGTGCATTTAATATTCAAATCTCGAATATGCGCCTTGTAGACGGGTTGTGATGGTCAAATTTGTTTGACAAATCCAACTGGTCCATTCCCGGCAATAAATGAGCCATATTCGTTCTGTATTTGTGGAAGCACAGATCCGAGCTCCGTGACAAAGCACTCTTGTAGCAATGGCACTCGATTCGACCCGTACTACTCTATATGTAAAGATGTATGTATTCAATCTATTGTAAATATTTCACAGTCGAAGGAGCAGATATTGATTACTACTTTTTTTCAGGACCCTTGTGATAAGAACTTTTGCTCTGTCGCAACCAATGACGGTGTTCCTTATCCAGCCAATAATTATCCACAAGGATTTTGTGTGTGTACAAGTGGCGTGCCCACATTGCATCTTTGCTCTGAAGGCTCAGTATTTAATGCAGCTAAAAATATATGTGAATCAATGACAATTGTGAGTACAATATTCCAAATCTTTTTCTATTTATACATAACGATTCCCTTTCTATTAAATTTGAATGATTCAGCTCGAATGTGACATAAGAGAGTGCGCTAACGCTACTGCCGATTACACGTACCCCGTTGCAGCTAAAAATAATTCGCATGGTTTCTGTTATTGTTTCTCACAAACAGAAGTAGAATTCTTTCTCTGCCCTGATGATGCTTTGTATGACCCTCAGCGTGGAATTTGTGGTGTGCGTGAAGAGCCCACGGAATCTCCAGTGCAACCTGGGGATGATTGTACATGCCCGGGAGGTTATACCGATGGCCAAGTATTACCGAATCCTACAAACTGCCGGCTTTATTATGTCTGCAACCACGGTCGCCTACAAGAATTCGATTGCGGTCAGGGCAATTTCTTTGATCAAGCTAGCCTAACTTGCCAGCCGTTGAACAGAAACCTGAGGCAGAGTCAAAATCAGCTTAAGCGCTCAGAAGTGATACCGGAGAATAATGTAAGGTCTATGAAGGTTTTAAAAGATTTATTTAAAAAATTTACCCAACTCTAAGCTTGCGCAGAAGGCTTGCCTCTTTCAAAAAATAATTACGTGGCACTTGCAAACTTGTAAAACCATATAGAAATTCCACTTGTTTTATACACGTGTTCATAACAACTCAAAAAATTACAATTTATTGACACTCTATCGACAATCATTGAATGAGACTATTTAAATATACTTAAGTATGTACGATTATTCGCCAATAAAAATATTGCTAATATATAGCATAACTCATTATTTATTTTTTAATGAGAATACGGAGCACTGAAATTAAGATGGTGGGCATAATTTATACCTAAACAAACCAAGTTTTTATTGTACTAAATTACAGTTGAGAATATTATTGTTTCTTGAGGCAAGCCTAGATGGCGAGTACTTTTGGCTGATGAAGTGTAGAAATGTCCTAACTGACACCTTTCAAATTTTACAAAAAAACAAAAACTTTGATTTGCACAAAAAGACATGATATCTGATTTGTTAGAATAGTATTATGTTGTAAAATGGAAAAACTAAAACCGAAAAAAGTGTTTCGTATAATTTAACTCACCACTCATTGTGGGGATATGATTTTGTATGATGAAGCTTATAACATCTTAAAGAAGTCATAAAAGATTTTGCGAAATATGGGTTCCAACGTGAAAAAAAACCAAAAGCTTTGAAAAAAGTTCAGTTACGGCATACATGCAATTCATCAACAAAAAAAAACCTAGAAATTAATAAAAAAAAATATGTATTGCTCTCTATAACGTAGAATCTGTGTGTAGAAAGCGACAAAAAACACGTTCACTCTAATTGCTCGCAATATGAAATTTGCATAGATGGCGTTTGGACACGTCTTACCTGTTCAGACGATAGATACTACAATGCTGATCAACGAAAATGCCTAGAACCACGAGATGATACGGTTTGCATATATGCGCGGGTGAAAAATATGCCAACCTGCAACACATTAATGGAGCAACGCACTACAACTAACAGAGCGCTGAACTGCACCCAATACTACCGCTGCAGCCATGGTAAATGGCGATTAAAAAGCTGTCCCAAGCATCACTTTTACGCAAATCACTTGAGTACGTGTATTCGAAGTTACTACGACGATGTTTGCGCAGCGCGGCAAGAAATGGAAAACGATTTTGCGATGGCACAAAATTTAAGTTCGACTAGCTCGAAATGCCGTCACATGGCAGTACGCCGCTTTGAGCAAAATTGTCGCAAGTATCTTATGTGTTTGGAAAATAAATGGTGGCACCAATTTTGTCCACTTGGCATGTACTATAATAATACTTACAACTACTGTATGCCCAACACAGATGGACAGTGCTCTTTAACGAGTAGTATAAAAATCAATATAAACTCACAAATGGAATTTGATACAGCGTCTTGCGACTTACAGGGCGCTTTGCGTCCCTCAGCCTTGTCTTGCGATCGGTTTTATGAATGTCAATCGGGATCTTGGGAATTAAAGAAGTGTGCTCGCAACCAATATTTCAATGCTACTGAAGGTTTATGTTTAAATGATAAATTGAAATTTTGCCTTCCATCCAATGAAGTCAATTGCACTGAAGGTGAACGTCGCGAGTTTCCATTCAACTGCACCGCGTATGAAATATGTGTAGATGGCAAATGGCAACGGAATGATTGCAAATCTGGTTTTATGTTTGATGATATATTGAATATATGTACAATAAATGATGGGAGCTGTGCTGAAAATGGTTTGCGAAAAGTTTGTCAAAAATGGGAGGTCAAACCGCATTTACTCTCTGAGAATTGTACTCAATTTTATTATTGTTTTCATGACAATTGGAGCCAAGGTACTTGCTTGAAGGCCCACACTTATTCTAAAGAGTTAGGCGAGTGTGTGCCAAATGCTGCTAACGAAAAATGCCAAACCTTCACCGAGGAAGAGAGTTTATCCATTGTTATAAGCTCAAATTTATCCGTTAAGTTAGAATCCGGAGACAGTATAAGTACGATCTGCCGTGATCTCGAAGACGGTAGTATTGTACAACATCCATATAGCTGCTTACATTTCTTCATTTGTTTCAGGCAAGTGGCAATCACTGAACAGAAATGTATTAAAGGAAGCTTTTTCGATGCAAAACTTAATTATTGTCGTCCAAATGATGGTAGTTGCCTAATACCTCTCAGTGGTGTATGTGAAAATGCCACTGACGGTGGGAACGCTGCACATCCGAAGGATTGTAGGGCATTTTATCAATGCTCCACTTTGAATGGTACTGAGTTACTCTATTGCCCCGAGGGCGAGTATTATAATACTGCTACCGGACAGTGTCAAATTGATCAGGGTGAGTGTCGGGCCTTTTTTAAAGATAATAGCAAATGTGCAGGTGTAGAGCACGGAAAGCATATAGCACATGAACGATTCTGCAACATTTATTTCGCATGTGTACGTGGCTTGGCTATACCAGCTATGTGCCCGTCCGAACAGCATTTTAATCCGGCCGTTGGGAGTTGTGGGAGTGATGTTAAACAAAGTTGTGAAAATGAAACGCTGTTAAATATTGTTAACGAGCTTAACCCAATTTATGGCTGTGAAAATTTAGATGATGGTCATTACCTTCCTGACATTACAGATTGTACGAGATATTACGTTTGTTCTAGAGGTATGAAGGTGGCGAAACGATGTTCGTTGGATACATATTTCGACAGTGAGCAGAGTCTTTGTGTGCCAGATGATAAATCCTGTCCATACATTGAGAAAAAGCAGCCCAATCTTCTTTTAGCACCACCAGATCCGTCTATATGTGAAGGAAAACATGGAACAATCTTGCCAGAGTCGGGTGATTGTAAAGAATTTTACGTGTGCGTCAATGGAAAGTTGCGGCATGAGCGATGTTACACGAACTATTACTTCAATTCGTCACTTATGCAATGCCAAAGGTATCATCTATACGACGACAATACAACACTTGGAGACGCTGTTAGTGGGAGCGTACATGAATCTAAGATAATACAAAATGGACTGGAATGTAAAAACGAGCCTTTAAATAATACTCAACTGTGCTTTCAAATGCCTCAACGCTCTTCTCTTGCTGAAGAAGGGGACTGTCGGCGGTACATTAATTGCAACGATGATGGTCAGGCAGTAACCCAAAGATGTCGCAATGGCGAAAGTTATGACAGCTTACTTGGTTTTTGTCGACAAAACGATGGCACATGTTTACTGGAGAATGGCCAGAGAGTTGGCGTATGCAAAGGCCGGCATGGAGAGCTAGTACAAAACTCAGAAGATTGTCGTGGATATTTTGTGTGCATACATGGACAAAAAATAGCTGGTAATTGCAAGAAAAACGAATATTATGATAAGATCCAATCGAAATGCATTGCTGATATGGATAATCAGTGCGGCGAAGGTACCACTCAAACGGTCCAAACGCAAGCAGTGGTTAGTATGAATTGAAAGTAGGTCCATTATTAATTTCCGAAATATGAAATTATTATTTTTATCTTACATCTTTTTAGTCTTGTGTTGGCCTAAGCAATTCCGTACTTTATCCATATACATTCGATGAATGTCGCTCTTACTTCCAATGTGTGAATGGTATACCAAAAGTGCAAAAATGCGCCGATGGGCTCTACTTCAACGTTACAATAACACGTTGTGTGAAGGAAATTTCAAACTGTTACGCACCTGTGGTAAATCTAAAGCATGCGACGGAAGGAATAGTGCATCGGAAAGAGAATGTGAGTTTTAAACCAAAACATAAGATACCTACATACATTTTAAATTTAAATTAAATATAATTTCATCATTGGTTGCTGTATATTTTAGATATGTGTTTCTGTATGCAAAAATAATGCTTTTACCTATTTACAGATTTGCGATAAGGCATTACCAGGTCACCGCTACGCTAATCTAGATGATCACTGCCATTCTTTTTATGTTTGTGATGAAGACGGCAGCGCAATCCGCACTAATTGCGCTTTTGATGAGCTATACAATGCTGAAACTGGAATTTGTGAGCCTTCAAGTCAAGTTGTGTGCAAATGGAATTCACTTCCTTAAATCAACAAATATATATGCTTATAATGTTTTCAATTTTCCATATGTCTAATAAATAAGTTTGATGACTTAACAATATTCTCTGTAATCAAGGAAAGAATTAATTTACAAGCATATGATACCGTAATGGTAGACAAAATAATTTCTTGAAAAATATGGCAACCGTACTTTCTCCTATTATCTCCCACCTGTTGATGATATTGTATGCACAAAAGTTAAAAGCTGCACGTATATACATATGTTTACATATATAATACATACTTATTTGTATTCAGATATATATATAATGAGTTGCCACTTACATACATACATATGTACTTTATATTGTGGTTGTTATTGTGTAGAGTCATATTATTGTCTGTTCAAGCCGATGTGAAGTGAAAATTGTTTAGGGAAGGGTGTCGTGCAATAGTGAGAGCACCAGCCAATCATCAAAGAAGCGTTATGAAGAAAATGCTCAACACGAGTGCGAATAGAGAGTAGTCCTGAATAATCACTTAAAGGTATGCCAAAAACCAAGAAAAAAAGAGAGATAGCGTAAGGTCAAATACTTGTTATTCCGTTTGCTGTGGATCGGATAGCATTCTCAATCATGTTTATTTTCGGAGCTCTCCCTCTAACAATTGGTATTGTGCGGCTTCATATAACTCTTAATTGTAGAGTTTGTTTTCTTTGCGTCAAGAAAATTAAAGCTGCTAGTTCCACAGTGTTGTAAAGAGTAATAGAGCTTTTAAGATTGTGACGACAACTAAATTTACCATAATGGATGGAATAAATTTATTATATTTAGGCAATCATATTTTTTTAATCTAACATTATAATAAAGGCCACATTATTTTATAATAGTTATTTCCCTTAGTGTGAAACACTGTGCTTTTGATTGCAAATAACAGATTTCGGCTAAGACTATTTTAATCTACCCGTAAATCCTTATTGAGCTTATGTAAAATTAATACAAAATCTAGGGCGAATACTCGTAGTTCCCAAGTACTTATTTAACTAAAAAGTTTTAATTTTTTTAAATATATGTAGTAAAAAAAGCAAAACTTTTTAGTTAAATAAGTACTTGGGCAAATACGATGTAAATATATATAAATATGTATATATAGTACATGAATGCACATACACGTATGTATATGCATGTGGGTGTTCAATTGTTTGTACTACATAGTATACATATAATATTAAAAGTATTCAAACACTGTATCCATATATATGTACTTGAACACACAAATATACATAAAACAAAGTCTGTGCGACAGGAAGTGCAACAATGCGTATTGACCATTCGGATTATTGTCATTCATCGGTTCGTTGTCCGTCGCAACGGTTGTGACTAACAAAAAATAAAAATTTCGAAACGGAAAATGGGGTCATGGATGTGATTTATTGTAATGATATAAATTAAATTATATAATAATATTCGTACATAAAAGCAGTCTACTAGTTTATACGGCTAGATGCCAATTTTTCGAAAGATAATGGAAAAAAAATTAAAAAATGTGAAATCCTAATTTATTTTAATAATTACATTTACAGTTAAATAAATCAAGTGAAATACATTTGTGCCGCAGCAAAAGTAATAACGGACTACTAAAAATAGCGTAAACGCAAAAATATTCACTGCTTAACTCAAGGTCAGACCTTATAACACTACATGCAAGTATAACTATTTATTTATTTAGAAAATAGTAATTATATTGAAACAATACTGAGGATTGTATTTTTCTTAAATAACATAAAATAATAAGCAGCGAATAACAACTTCCGAAAATCATTTGAATCTAAATACTTATAAATTTAGGCATATACTTATACATATTGAAAAACACAAATGATTATTGAATATCGCTCGCTTTGAAAAAGCAAGTAAAATAAATTTATTTTTATTAAATAATTTTTACAATTAAATTTTCATTTACATATATGTATGTGCATTTGACAGGGACACTTGTCAGTTATGTGAAATATTCTCACCACGCATTATGTAAAAAAAAACTTATTGTACAATGCATGTGATCTGAACCAAGTGGCCTACTATTTACCATTTATATATAAAAATGTACGTGTGAGTAACTCAGCCGCAAAGTATGCATTCATTCGTTAAACATGTTTGTATATAAACAAGATAATATGATACCATTTGTTGGGTACCACGGCACTCTTATTTATTGGTGTGAAGGTGCTTTTTTGTGAATACTAATATTCGTACATATATATATTCATTCATATAATCAATAGGCATGTTGAGCATTGTCTTTTTATATCTCAACACTTCTACATATTATATATTAGCGCGACTGTTTACATGGCAATGAGGAGCGGTGCGTATAAGCAACATAAATAGTTCTAGATTCAAAAACTGAACAGTAACTTAATAACGGGACATAATTTAATATGGAGTGTATTAATTCGAGCGGTTTTTTTTTCGAAAACTAAGACTTTATTGTGAAAAATTTGTTATACATTTAATGTTTAAAGTATTGCCCATCGCAAGCTACGATGTTTGCCCATCTTTCTGGCAGTTTGTGGATCCCATCCCAAAAGGAGGAGGGTGCGTATAAGTAACATAAATAGTTCTAGATTCAAAAACTGAACAGTAACTTAATAACGGGACGTAATTTAATATTGAGTGTATTAATTCGAGCGGTTTTTTTTCGGAAGTTAAGACTTTATTGTGAAAAATTTGTTATACATTTAATGTTTAAAGTATTGCCCATCGGAAGCTACGATGTTTGCCCATCTTTCTGGCAGTTTGTGGATCCCATCCCAAAAGAACTTCTCCGGCTTGGAGGTCAAGAAAGAATCGAGCCAATTTCTGATACCCTGTTCTGAAGAGAATCGTACTCCGGTGAGGGCATTCTGCATTGATCTGAACAAGTGGTAATCGGAAGGTGCTATGTCTGGGCTATAAGGCGGGTGAGGTAGAACTTTCCACCCACAGTTTTCCGAATAGTTTTTAACTAGCCTTGCAACATGTGGCCGAGCGTTGTCATGATGAAAACATGATTCGTGTCTGGTTGCATATTCTGGTCCTTTTTCCGCCATGGCCTTTTCAAACGAATCAATTGTTTTCGATAGAGGTCCCCATTGATCGTCTGACCCGATTTCAATAGCTCGTAATAGAGAACACCCTTGTGGTCCCACCAAATACATAGCATAACCTCGGCACGGCTTTGCCGTTGATGTCGATGGTTGGCCGGGCTTCACATACGATCTTTTGCGCTTTGGGTTATCATAATGAATCCATTTTTCTTCGCCAGTGACAATCCGATGCAAAAATGACTTCTTTTGGTTTCGTTGAAGCAACATTTCCGACATGCAGAATCGACGTTTGACGTCTCTGGGCTTTAATTCATAAGGCTTCAAATTTCTAAGCTTCTGACTGAATCTTAATGACTTTAATCGTCTGGAAACGGTTGCTTGTTCAACTCCTAATACTTTTGTAAGTTCTTCTTGCGTCTAGCATGCATCTGCGTCGAGTAATGTCTCCAATTCTTCGTCTTGAAATTTTTTTGGCTGTCCGTCGTCTAAGTTGAAATTGCCACTTTTAAACCGTGCAAACCACCTATGCCACGTACGCTCGACTAAAGCATGGTCACCATAAACGTCCAGTAAAATACGATGGCTTTCGGTAGCACTTTTATTCATGTTAAAGTAATGAAGAAGAACTCTCCGCAAAAACACTTTATCTGGTACAAATTTCGACATTTTCAAATGAATGAAACAAATTGTTGTTCACGCTAAAGCAAATGATATCTACTGAAAACGGCGCAAAATGGCAGTACCTTTGAAATGAGTATAGCCCGAGATGAACACGACGCGTAATAATATTAGTAGAACCCTCTCCTAGAAAACCGCACGAATTAATGCATACACCCAATAGTACAAACAATATTTATATTTACTACAACAATCTAAGCCCGTCGCGTACTGATCGAATGAATCCACATTAAGAAAAGGCAAAGATCAGACAAAAACCTCGCGGCGGGCTCATCACCTTCTATTTTATTATCCATCGGCTCAACCCAAACTTAGCCCTCCCTAACTTGTTTATAATTTTATTCGTTATCCAATAAATGCCTTTTTTACCTTTTCTTATATAAGCGTTTATCGTTTAGGCATATTTTCCAAAATTAGGTTCAAATATTTATGATTTATAATAAATTGTTACCGGTAAAGTAAATTTTATTACTTTTGTTTGACATCCGAAATTGAATTTGGTATTCTGGTGAACTGGTTACAATGTTTGAAAAAACTTTGGCAGCACTGCTTTTTAAGTCCATGTCAAATTACATTTGCCAGTTGGTAAAGTAAAAAGAAGAATCTTCATATATATATTTCCATTTTATTTGTTGTTTGAAAGCAAATAAATAAATTTTGTTACCTCCACAGAACAGGCCAGTTAAGAGAAAAAGACCAAGTGTCAATCACCCTTATCTGCCTCTGCCTTATTGCATCTCACGCCTTTTTTCTTTAGAACAAATAATTTATTCTGTTAATTACCACACTCGCTTATGTAAGACATAATTTTAAACTTGAATTAATTCTTTTGGTTGAACCACATGCAATGTGTACCTGTGTTAATCAAAATTTAATTTGTAAACAATATGATCTTATTATATATTGCATTGCGTATAATGTAAAACTTTGATTTTTGACTTTATTGCTTTTTAAATAAATTTAATATTGCTATCGAAATGCATATTTTTGATTCTTTTAATTAAAACTTTATTAGCAAAGGTTAAATCTTTGTATTTTCCATGGATATTTTTAACGAACAGAAAATAAGTACCATATAGTACTTAAGCGGGATAATTTTAAGTGCTACAAAAAATATGCATCTTTAATTTTTGGACTTAACCGGGTTTGACTGTATATACATACATATATGCACACAAAGTTAAAACCACTTAAGAGATGTTCGGTGGAGCCGCCTTCAAAAGGCCAAGGGATTTTTATGTGGACCATTACAATGAAAAATACTTATTGTTGATTTGTCATTTTTATGTAAGCTAAAATACAAATTTAAATAATACACTCACACACACCACTGTTTATTTTGCATATGAGAGGTATGAGAGTCATACATAATGCATGTCGATCATACCCAAAAACTGAAATGCAACGCTCCTGTAGAAGGCGCTTGAAAGTGTTTTTCATTCCATTGATAATCAAAAATCAAAATATATAAAAGATTATAGTAAATTATAGATTAATGAAGGTGTTATTAGTATTGTTATTCTTAACGGTTTCTCACTACCCGCCAATCCACTTAAGTATCGAAAAGTTGAAAAGAAATAAAACATCAGCAGATTTTAAATAACTAACTTAATAATTGTTTAAACCATATTTCCCTTTTGAGAACTTAAATGGATTTAAGTATATGTATTTAAATTCAGAATTGCAAAAAAAAAGGTTGAAATAGTCTATAACTTCTTGAGATGGTTGCAGGCTTTTCTTATTCGTAATTATTTGGATGTTTTATTTCTTTTTTTGTTTTAAATACAAGCATGAGCTGGTTTGTGTGAATATTGTAAAGAACTGTATTTTTAACTTTATTAATAATAACATATAATAATACCATAACGAAACTTATTTTTCGTAACCTTCATTGAAATATCGTCATTCAGGCATAATCATGCATGTAACAAATATAAATGGGTGTTTGTCGATCTTTGGAAACAACTTCAACCACGTTGACACATTAACCTAATAATGCAGTTGGTCGAGTTATCACTGATGTCGAGAAGCTTAAATAGAAAAGTTTTATTTTCCAAAAATAACTAAAATATGCTCTATAAATATTATATTTGGCTGCGTGCAGCACCAGTATATATATGTTACGTCAATAATAGTAATACGACAACAGTGATTTTCCAATGTCGATTTAACGCGCCCAAAATGTAAATATGTACATATGTATGAGCTTACACGCAAATGTATGTATGTATGTCATGACGCGCATGTAGGCAATTGGCTTGTTATGACGTTGTAGTAGGATGTGATCTATAATGGAAAGCGCGTGAATAACTATATGGGTGTTTAAGCTACTATTTGCTTGTGTCCGAATTGACATAAAACAATTTATGTTACGCACGTTTTCTCATTTCGTTCCTAATGAAGAAATATTGTTTTGAACAATTATATTTCAGAAGTCGAGTAAATGAGAAGTTTCAAAAATTAATTGAACAAAAACATGTACGAGAGCAAGGACAATTTTAATAGTAAGAGCTCTGCACACGCTAAGTATAACTGCGAACATATTGGAAAATCAACATATGATCATGCTTTGGATACCGAACCGAGTGCTAATAAACATCATCTTCAAATACGCATAGATAGCGTCGATGATGAGAGCACCGCACCAATTACCGAATCAAATTCACATGAGGACCTCATATCGAGTAGTGAGCGCTTTGTCGAGACTTCACGAGACTTTCCACGTAAGTGTTTAAGCATCTCAAATATTGTAGTATGCAGAAGGAACCTCTACATGATTATTAAAATTTCTGTAGGATTTTTATCGGTACCTGCTTTACGTAACTGCCGTCCATACTCCGAGAAAGTGGAGAAACGTCAAATTTCATCTAGTCCAGCCAAAAGTGAACGAATAGTGCGCTCTCATCTAATGGAGGGAAAAATACAGACTAGACGATTAAGTCAGGACAGTGGTATCGTTTCAGGTCGCCTGTTTGCCGGATTGGTAAATAGAGGACAACTCGCAAGAATCTTTGACCGCCTCTAGAAATTCTGTTTTGATTGTTTGACTTTATTTTATCTTTTTGTCCATTTTTAGGAAAACACATTCCTTCGTACGGTGGCACCTACTAAGCACTTTACAAAATCCTCTGATAATTTGTATAATTTTCTCATAAGTGAGGCTGCTACAAGTGCCTATAGCCAAGAAAAAGAAAAACAACAAATTTCTAATGAAGAGCAACGAGCAACTGAAGAAAACTCACCGGATGAAATATCATGCACACCCATTCCACGCGAATCACAGACAGTATTGCCAAAAACTTCGTATACCGAAAAATGGCTGAATTCGACGATGTCGCGAGCTTTTGGTTATCTAAAGTCGAATACCATTGCTATACCACTGCCTACTCATATTGAAACAGATTCAGCAGAACCAAGTCCAACACAAGCTTTTGGGCCGAAGATTGTAAATGCAGAAGATATTCCTGGTACAGCAATGCGACGAGGACTCGACCCTTATTTGAGTACATCACTTGTTGGGTCAGAGCAGTCGGCTTTTGATAAATTGACAAATGACCACACCGAAATATTGAGCTCTACACATGCAAATGTTTTACAGGATCAGTTCGGCTACAAACAGCTATTACCTGTGTCCCGTAAAAGCGCAAAAAGTTCTGTGACTGAAGGTAGTTTCGTCGACAGCCACAGTTCTAGTCGCAAAAGTAGCAAAAGTCATAGTATGGGTGGAGATGAAAATGATATGCGTCGCATTAGTAAGCAGGATAGAGAGGTAAAGTTATGAGTTGATAAATGAAATACTAAATAAATTGAATTTAGGGTCTCGATCCCGAATCTCTCATGTTTCGAGATGGACGTCGTAAAGTCGACATGGTGCTGGCATGGGAAGAAGAAGACTTTGGTGTAATGACAGAGGCAGAATCCCGTAGACGTGACTATCGACGTTGTTTCATGGAAAACTTGATTAAAGAAGGCCTAGAAGTTGAACTCGAAGATAAAACACAGTCTTTCAACGAAAAAACATATTTTTTAAAAATTCATCTACCTTGGCGGTTAGAAACGCGACTTGCAGAAGTAATGAATTTAAAGTTGCCAATCAAACGATTTATTACAATATCGGTGAAGGCATCATGGGTAAGTCAAATACGTATGCAAATACAATAAATGCTAAAACTTGGTACGAATGTGAAAGAGTAATGGAAGATAAGGTAGAAAATGACTCATGCCTTGCGATTTACTTCCTTAATTTTTTCAAAAATCTCTGTGGAAAAAGCATTAAATCTCGAGTTGTTTCTCAAACTCATAAAAATTCAGCATAGACTAACCAATTGGCTTTAAGTACGTTAAAGTAAAATTGAATGGATAAACTTTATGACATGGATATCATATTTGGCATTTTCGCAAGCATATAATAAGAATTTCATCTATCCTTAGGATGATGAAAACGTCGTCGCGCGAAATATGCATTATTGGAAAGCTGTGTGGAATCGACTAACGCGCAAAATTCAGCTCGATCAAAGTGTTATAGAAGGCGAAACAACTTTCAAGGCGGCTACTGCCAATGGCAATGCCGAGGAACAGTAAGTACTACTCGCACATATGCATAAGGATATTAGGCGACCCGTTTAGGTTGATTATTCTTCTTACCGTATAACAGATTTATTGTCAAAGATCGTGCCACTGCATATACCAGCGCCCAACGTTCACTAATGGTTATGCAAGTACTTATTCGTACACCATTTGACGATAGTGATCGCGTCGGTATTCGTCGTTTGCTTAATGACTCCACTTATTTGGCTTGTTTTCCTTTGCATGAAGGCCGCTACGATCGCCCTCATTCTAGTGGCGTTTCATTTGACCGCCGTTTGTTATATCTGACATGGGCACACCCTTCGCAATGGTATAAAAAGCAACCATTGTGCTTGGTTCGAAAATACTTCGGTGACAAAATAGCACTTTACTTTTGTTGGCTGGGATTCTACACTGAAATGCTCGTTTACCCAGCAGTAGTAGGCACATTGTGTTTTCTATACGGCCTTGCATCGCTAGATTCAGAAGATAACACACCCAGTAAAGAGATTTGTAATGAATACGGAACGGGAAATATTACACTCTGCCCGCTGTGTGATAAGGCTTGCAGTTATCAACATCTGTATGAGTCATGTCTGTTTTCGCGACTAACATATCTCTTCGACAATCCATCTACAGTATTTTTTGCAATATTCATGTCGTTTTGGGGTAAAAATTAAAACTAGTGAGAATCGTTCTTTTCAATTACCATTACCGTTATTTCCCACAGCAACAACTTTTCTGGAGTTATGGAAGCGTAAGCAATCTATAATTGTCTGGGAATGGGATTTACACAACGTCGAATCCGATGAAGAAAATCGTCCGGAGTTTGAAACAAACGCCACCACGTACCGTATGAATCCCGTAACGCGAGAAAAAGAGCCTTACATGTCTACATGGAGTAGGGCAATTCGTTTTGTTATCACCGGCAGTGCTGTTTTGTTTATGGTAAAACTCTTTTTTGATATGCTTTTTTTAATATATTCAATTGAAAATTATTGAACATGTTACAGATTTCTGTAGTGTTATCTGCTGTTTTGGGTACTATCATATACCGTATTTCGCTAGTTTCAGTCATTTACGGTGGTGGAGGGTTTTTCGTTAAAGAACATGCAAAATTGTTTACAACTGTTACTGCGGCTTTGATAAATCTGATCGTTATTATGATATTGACAAGAGTAAGTTATTACTTGGCTAGTATACCATGTAAAGCCTTACATTTTTTATTATTGTGTTTGAAGATATACCATCGTATGGCCATTAGACTTACGAATTTGGAAAACCCTCGGACCCATACCGAATACGAAGACTCATATACTTTCAAAATATTTTTCTTTGAGTTTATGAATTTCTACTCTTCGCTTATATATATAGCATTTTTCAAAGGGCGATTCTTTGATTATCCTGGGGACGATCAAGCGCGTCGTAGTGAATTTTTCCGTCTCAAAAATGATATTTGCGATCCGGCTGGTTGTTTATCAGAACTATGCATCCAATTGGCTATCATTATGGTGGGCAAGCAGTGCTGGAATAATTTTATGGAGTACTTATTCCCGAAATTCTACAATTGGTGGCGACATCGCAAGCACAAAGCGGCTACCAAAGATGTTACTCATTTACATATGGCCTGGGAGCAAGACTATCACATGCAAGATCCCGGGCGTCTAGCTTTGTTCGATGAATATCTCGAAATGAGTATGAATAAAACACATTTTATTCGAAATTATGTTTAAGAATAAGAGATAATTATTTCAATTTCAATAGTACTCCAATACGGCTTCGTGACTTTATTCGTGGCTGCATTCCCTTTGGCTCCACTTTTTGCACTACTCAACAACGTTGCCGAAATTCGTTTGGACGCATACAAAATGGTAACGCAGGCGCGAAGACCTTTGGCGGAGCGTGTTGAGGACATAGGCGCATGGTATGGCATTCTGCGTATTATCACTTATACAGCAGTAGTGTCCAATGCTTTCGTAATAGCCTATACCAGCGATTTTATTCCTCGTATGGTCTACAAATTCGTATATTCCAATACGAATACACTCGTTGGATATATAGAACATTCGCTATCAACTTTTAATACATCCGACTACAAAGAAGAATGGGGAGCTACAAGCAACGAAAAAGATCCAGATGTATGCCAGTATCGCGGTTATCGGTGAGATAAATAGTTGAATGGTATTTGGTAAAATGGTTTATTTCAACTTATTTATAATTACGAAAAGTAGCAACGGCCCACATGATCCCGAGCCCTATGGCTTAAGCCCACATTATTGGCATGTTTTCGCAGCTCGCTTGGCTTTTGTTGTCGTTTTCGAGGTAATTATAAGTTAGGTTTACTATGTATTTATGCTACAAACGATTATCCTTTTTAATTTTCAGCATGTAGTATTTGTTATAACTGGCATAATGCAGTTTATAATTCCTGACATACCCGCCGAAGTGAAAACACAAATGCAGCGCGAACAGTTACTTGCAAAGGAGACTAAGTATCAGCACGGCATTAAGCGTGCACAGCAGGGAGATAATCAGGATTTATTGAGCATCTTTCGAGATGCGGGAAGCCGTAGTAGTGGCGCTACTCTGGGTGCAAGCGGGTTTGTTGGGCGCGGTAGTTGGGCGCGGCGTTTCAGTCGTCTAAGTGATGGTTTGGATGCACACGTAGAAGTTGCGGCAAGACCGCGGCGCTCAGTTGAATCGACGGTGTGGGAGGTTTCTTGACATGAGGAGGAACAGGAAAGCCATAATCCAACCACATTTGCCAAAAACTAAGATATGTTACAACTTAACAACCTGATCTTTAAAATATTGGCAACAAGTGCTAAAAAATTAAAGTTGATTTTAGACATTATAAAACTTAAATAAGGGTATTCGCGGTCTATTATTATATTGGCAATAAAAGTAAAGAAAAACTTGGATAAGCTTTTTATTAGTACCCAGATCCTCTGCATATGCATCTGGCCAAAGGGAGTATTCTGATATTAAATTATTATATTTATAATTCCTAGTAATCATGCAATGAATCAAGCTGATTAACACCAATACAGTTACAGTATTAAAAATTTGCGTTAAAGTCAGCAAACATAAAGTTACTGTACTGTAGCAGTGGTGGTAAAACGTAGTGTTTGTAAGTATACTTTTTCATTTACATATACATATATCACTTCCCTGGAAGAACTTTTTTTGTTCATCTTTCTCTTCTGAGTACATACAAATTGAAGTATAATGCAGTTGAACGGATTATCTGATTTTCTTTGTTCGTATTTTCGAGTAGAACGCCATTTTTTTTATCGTTTTCTCCGCAGCAGATAGAAGTAAAAAATTTATGATGAGGGTCCTGTACAAGTTGTGGTTATAATATAATGTCGATAACCTAACTACTTCATTTTTCATAACTATTTACATTGTTTTTATTCAAGGGTACTCCATATTGTACAGAAAATTCTGCTAATGGAGGAGGTTAATTAGAATGGACGCTTCTCATCTTTCAGCAGTAGCACATCTCAAAAATATTCAACAAACTGGCACAACTGCATTAAGATATTAATAACATTATGATTCGAATATTATTTTTTAATTTTACTTAGATGTCTTTATACTTCAAAGAGCTGCGATTATGACGGACGCGTTCGTGGAGCTGCGTCACAATTAAATTCTTCTGTATATGCGGTTGTGCTTAAAATATTTGTGTACCATGTACATGATTTATGTTAAATATTGAGATAAAGACTGAATCTTAATATTGTTTGTAAGTATGTATATATGTATATAAGGAAAATTTTTGTCAAAGCTGATTTTCTTCGGCACCAACGCTGCTGTGTTTTACAAATGTGAGCATCACATTTGTCATTTCGACCTCAAGAAAGTGATGGGACGCATTCCTGACATATGTTAGCTCAAATGAATAGAAGCGTTCTTTTATGTTGAATATTATCGGATAATCCGTTCAACTGCATTCTCTTTCAGTTTTTATCTACTCAGAAGAGAAAGATAAACAAAAAAAATGTACATATGTATTTGTGCTGCCCGAAATCGTGTGAGTCTATTGTAGAATCCGTCAGCCCGTTCATGCACGGCAGTCAATCTCAGCGGCTTCTTCAATACTCTCTAATATTTCTTGCATTAATTCAACTTTCTGCAAACTTCATTATCTGAAATATTTATTAATAATTGGATACATATCCACATATATATATATATGTAAATGTATATGTATATGTATGCATTCATGCATTCATAAAATAGTAAAAACTCAAATTTCAATTTCGAAACGTATGGCATTTATTCATTTGAAATTTAAGGCAGCTACAATCAGTTCAAAGTGAAAAACATGGAGTATGTACATAAGTTAGTTTACCTATGTATTCGTATATTGAGTTATTTCAAGAGCATTAGATTTTCCAAAAGTGGTAAAAGCTAAAGATCGCCCTCGTAGCTATGAATTCTTCAAGATCGATTTGATCTGACTTAATTGTAATCAATTATGCTATGATCCAGCCGTCAATAGTTCTTTTTTTTTCCCTGGAACTGGAGAGCACCATTTGAAGTTTTTTTAGTTTCAAACTCAACACCAATTTTCTTCCATATGTTGCTTTCTAAAAAGCATTTTCCACCAAAAAATAGTTTAATTATTTTTATGTATTATGCATTCAACCATGCATAGATATACATATGGTTTTTCTCATCAAAAATATTAATAGATTACCATAGCAGCAAGGCAATATTTATTCTTTATTGTTCATTGCGTTAGGTACATATGCATTTAAACACAAAGATAAAACACCTAGATAAAAGTTAAAAATCAAAAAAGCATTTTCAAAAATGACGAAAAAGCTTGCTTCCGAAGATATTTTCTATGACCATTTAACTTTAGGCTTAATGGGAACACTTGGTGAGTTGCTCATAATTTTAGGGGATCTAATATATGTACATACGTATGTTCGTAATTTAATATAATAAATATGTAATATTTTCTTAGCTAAGATACCACGAGTGTGCAATGTTCGCTGCGAACACCGTAAGCCATGTGAGAAGACTCAGATTGTAAATTGGGAACAACGACACACTATGTATTTGCCAGAAGACATGAAAAAGTTTTATTTATCTTCAGATGGATTTCTATTACAGTGGAGCTATCAGTATGCCCGTACGATTTTATAATTTTACGTTAGTGCACAAGTTTTAAAATAGGATTCACTAACATTCCTTTTCCAGCTGGAGATTTGCGACGTGTTGGTTACATTCATATACCACCTCTTCAGCAAATAACTTTGTTACGAGAGAGCGTTGAACCTTCCAGTAGTTCAGCAACGGCAAATACATCTGCTGTTTCTCTTTGCAAAAATTTATTATCAACAACAAAACTTTCTGCACAGTCCGAAAATTCTGGAGCAGGCCCGGTGGTAGATGATATGGTAGGTGCAGTTGGGGGTATCAGAATTGTCGATGAAGTTGGGACTAATACTATTGGGACGTTAGGTACTTCATCACCATTGCCGAAAAAGGATCGCTGGAGTAATCCATTACCTAATATAACAACCAAGACAAAAATATTTGAAATAAATAACGTCAATGAAGTAGCCAAAGTGTGTATGCTTTTTGAAGCGAATAGCTGTAACCTTCCAAAATTCTACCTCTATGAATTGAACACAATGAAGTGGACATTTCTATCTGACACATTCAGCGAATATTTACGAATGGCCATTGCTCATTTAGGTTTGCCTTATTGGGAGCTTTGTTTCTCCAACATAGGGCTACCATCATGGACAGAGGTTTGTGTCTAGTTCATTGTATATGTATGTTTCAGTTCACATTCTTTTTTAATATTCTAAAATAGCAATTATTTCTGTTGCTGGCGCCACATTTATTAGAGGACTATGAGCCTCGTCAAGACCGTCAAGTTAATCCATCACCTGAACATCCCTATAACATTATCGATTCATCAGTTTTCCGTATTAAACCAAAAACATCTGTGAAATCTGCTGTTTCAAGAAAAAATGCATCATAAATAAGGTTTCAATGCCTCCTTTAAATATAACTGCTGAATTTTACTATATAATTTTATTTTTTGATTATACATATATTTTCCATTTAAGTTATTTTGGATTAATACAAAAATATAATATATATACTATTCCTATTTAGTAAAAATCAATATTTTGGTTTTCTAAATCAGCAAGCATTTTATCACGAATTTGAGGCCGTGGATCCTCTTTTATATCTGTCGTAATCGCTCCAGCTTGACCCATTAAAAATTCTAACTCATCAAGTGTAAGTTTTTCACCACGCAATTCCAAGGACCCAATATATTGTTTTTTTAATTGGCCTTCATGATAAATGAATATTGTTGGCAGATTTTTTTCTGGAAAATTAGGTATACACGTAGTAGCAATAGAACGCAGAAATTTCGTTTGTGGAAATCGTGCAGCTAGCTGTTGCATATGGTGGTGTATTATAGCGCAGAGTGGCACACCATTAGCATATAGATGTAACACAACCCAAATACCATCTCCTGCTTTCGTCACTTCACTTACATAGTCCTGCCCAGAAATCTCACGAACCGTGCCGAATTTCGCCTTGCTTGCCAAAGCTCTCATTTCCGCAATGCGACGCTTACGGTATTCTTGCAGTACTTCTTCGTCTTCCGAGTCCTCCAGTTCATCCAACTCATCCAATGTCATGTCGTCAATTTGCTTGGAGCCGTCATTTAAGTCTGTACGCTTATTTATTGCATCGTCGACCATAGCTTGAATTTGTTCCTCAGTAATTTCAGCCTCTTTCTGTTTGGGAGGAAGAATTCCTTTGGCACGGAGCACATCATTCCACTCAGTATCCTGATTAGGATCCTGCACAGAGCGAAATAACACACAAATTTAGAACAGATCTTACAAAAGCTTTAAACAGCATGTAGGGAGTGTTATTTTTAGACGCTTATTACCATATTTGGGCACGAGCATAATGTACTACAAGTAGCGTTTAAAGACTTACCTGCATAACTGATTGCGGATGCTTTTCGTATTCCGCCGAACAGGAATGCAGTATTTAAGGTTACCTTTCTTTAATATTTATTTTAAAAAAATTGTATAAAATTGCAAATGCTGCAGTACACACACTGTGAGTAATCTTAATGAGAAATGTCATTCCCCTATTTCTTATACTTAAATTTTTTGTACTACAGTGCTGCCAGCTCACAGAACTTTGTGTAAACATGTCTGTGGGGGAGATCAATACTGTATTATAACAATTTTCAGATCGTTAATATGGCTTAGCCATAATTCAAGCGATTTCGCTAATTTCTACACATATTTTAACATTTCATTATTCAGTGCAATTATTCTAATGATACCCCACATCTCGTAGTCAGTTAGTTCTGCTGTAAACCCCTCGACAAATCGCCTACTAAAGGGCGAATATTTTGAAGTTGTCAGCGCCATCCACAAAGTATTTTTATTTTATTATGATTAAAGTGAAATAAAGTAGATCGGGAAATTACCTAAACTATACGAAAATAAAAATAAAATATAAAAAAAAAAAAATTCATTGTAGTGTTTATAGATACTGACCACCTTGTGATTCTTCGCAACTGAATGTTATCAAAGTCCCGTTGAAGAGCAATGGGAACATCTATGAGTCGGGCCGTCCGTAAGCCGTCTTATTGCGTAACAAGGTTAGATTTCCCATTTAACAAGAGAAAAGTTTGCTTCATCATAGTCACCATTTGTTGAAGGAACTATTGGGGATATGACTGCGCTCATGTATCACATGATTGACCATAGATCATCATGTAGAATATGTTAACAACCATGGATACCATTCCGTTGCCGATTATTGCTAAAACTGAGTTAGAGAATCGCATAATCGGTAGTACAAATGGCAAATTGCAAGTTTGCGATCCGACAAATCATGTCGACAAAAATTACGAATTACACCACTGAAAGAAGAGTATGCTACCATAACAGAAGAAAACATAAGTACTCCGCCCATTAAAAAATCTCTTAATTGCCTTCTTTATATATTATTTTAGGGTTGTGTTATTTTATAATAATACCTTAGAGCAAACAGAAAATACGATAGCCTGAAATTTTTAATTAGGATTGGATTTACTGAACGAATTTAAACGAAAAATGATACAAAACCAAAACGAATTGCAATTATTATAAAGAAATACGTAAATAAATTAAATTGATTAGAGAGAACTACAGAACTTAATTTGAGTTTACTTTTGATCTATTAAGTGCATTTGGAATAAGATATTACAAAAATTAATAATTTCAAAAAAAAAGCTTCTCATTTCGATACATACATATATCATTATATTCACTTATACCGTCCCTTTACATGGACGTTTAAGTAATATTCGTAAGATAAAATTAAACATAATAGTATTGATGAAAAAAGCAATATCCTGCAAGGACAACACTGTAACCGAGATAATTAACTTAACTCGCCGTTGGAAACTTGTTACATGGTTGAATTATTGAAGTCTTACGTGCAGGCACTGTTTCCGGGGTAGGTATTGCTTCGCCAGTAGCTACCTTATTGGCAAACACCTGTTTAACTCCACCGCCTTTCTGCTTTGCCATTTGGTAATCACCGGAGTCAAAGAATTTTTGCTAAAAGTTTTGGTGACTGTAATGCTTACCCTTATAAGATAACAATATTTACTTTTACTTACACCTTTCTGTAATCGTTTTTGAAGAAAAGCTGAATGACCTCCCGGTCCTCGGAAACCAGATGGAAACTTCGATTTCAATTTCTCTTCCTCAATTTTCTCTAATTCTCGAGGGTTTATCTAATTTGAATAAAGAAAAATGGAAAGTAAAAGTAGGGCTAAGTTCGAATGAAACCGAACGTTAGACACCCGATGGTTGCCTTTGTTCGAACAAAGGTTGTGATTGCGCACCTAGGTCTAACAGTTTTGGTATTCATTATACATTTAAGTCAATTATGTTTCGAATTTGGTTTTTACATTACATATGCAAAGATGAATGACAAATAAACAGATAGGTACGAGTGGTAGATTTTAATCTGTAACCACTTTCATATTCACTGAAGAACCATTTTCCCCTCATTAATGTGAAATCCAAAGACTATATGGCTAATATCGCAAATTCGGAATTTTGATTAGAAATGGCAGAAAAGAAAGAATTGGAATCTCTCTTGACATCCAGGAAACATCAAAATATAAGTTTATACACAATAAACCTTTGCTCGGAAAACCAAATGTATGTATACCTAAACCAATATTTTAAATCATTCTGTAAAAGTTAAAGCCATACGTATGTCTGATCAATCTCTACTACTTCAAGCTTTTAGAAACCATAGCAAATCTAATTTATTATGTGAACACCCTTCAGCCGGGTACAACGGTTCTTTTGCGTTATTCATAAGGATGTACATATATAAACATCAACAGTAACATACTTGTTCCTGAGAATCAGTCACTTCTTGAGGAGTGGTTGGTTGGCTAGAATCTTCTGCAGTACTCATAATTGCTTTAATTAATTCTGAAAATATACAATTATATGTAATAATGCAACAAATGTAAATTTAATAATGATAGTGCTACACTCTACATCAAAAATGTGCATACAAATTTAAGTATTTCAACATCGTCTGCATATACATCAAAAATCATAGACACTATTATAAAATTATCGACATTTATATGTAAATTTACAGCCCATCACGTGCTACTGCAACACTCAAAATAAAACAATTGGAACAAGGACTACGACTTTAGTTTATAAGAAAACGGTAAGAAGTATGCGATGAACCATATAAATTAACTACATATAAACTTTCATTTAATGGTGGTCAACATACCTGGATGATACAAGACTCGTTCGTAGGTTTGAATTTATTTCTTCTGCACTCCTTGTTCGTTTTGCTTTCGACGGCTACTTTTTGGATGCTCCGCTGGTAGCCAAAAAAAACTGCACAGCCGTTGATTTACCACGAAATGCAACGCAAATGAAGCGGTGAAAACAGCGCAAATAACGGACCCAACTATTTACTTTGACACTATTAGAATGAAATTGCCCCTGATCAACTAGCGTTTTTATATCAAATATCTTTCAACTACAATATAAAATACAATATGCAAACAAGAAGTTATTTCTTAAAAAAATTTTTTCTCTACAATTTTATTGGCTAGTTCCGACTCAGGGTTGTAGTTACACCGTAGACTTATGCTGTGTTGCCACTAAATTTAAAGTGTTTACCTAAAATCAAAAGACTTCTTATGACGACTGCCTTACGTAAACTGCAAACGTGTTTGCCGACACTTAAATACGGAGAATTCATAATTAATAGAAGTCTTCAAGTGGTAGCAGCTCTAGATAATATAAGGAATTATATCAGCAAAACATTGTTTTTTATGTCTTAAGGTGTTTACACTTCAAAAACGCTCTTCGTACTATCATTTTCATGTGCATCTGCATAAAATCTTCAAATCTGAATGCTTAAACGCCTTTTCTGTAGAGGTAACAAAATTTACCTAGGTATTAAAATTTACCATTCAGTAAATTTTGTTACCATTTCGTATTCTGAGCTCACTGTTACGCTGAAAATTTTGTTACCAGCGAAATTGAAGGTAACAAACATATCTGCTGTTAGATTTTCTGTTGTAAGTTTGAGAAAAAATAAAAAACCAAAATGGGTAGGTATATTTTAGGTCTGGAATTCATTGAGGATGAAGAAAAAAGAGCAAAAAGCCGTATTTTAAAAAGTTTTCAAGACTAAATAATAGCCCTTTCATTTGTAAAATAACATTTTCATTCAGCTTTTTTTTTGTTGTCCAAGCATATTTTCCATAATTAGGTTCAAATATTTATGTTTTAATAAACAAATTACTAAAATTTTTGAATTTTTTTGTGCACCGTCTTCTATTTCGATGTAAATATTTTTCTTTTTACTTTAAAAAAGTAATTTAACATGGACGAGAAAAGCAGTGCTGCCAAAGTTTTTCAAATATTTTATACAGTTCGCCAGAATACCAAATTCAATTTCGGGTGTTAAATGTAACAAAATTTCCTTTTCGGTAACAGTGAGAATAGACCTGTTAACATAATTTCCTTTTTTAATAATTTGCAGATTCTATTCCCTTCTTATGACGGTTCACAAGTGTTTGCGAGCTAGTTGCTAGTTTAATTCTGTTCACATACACTATTATATGCAAATAAAAATTATTATTATTTAAACAGTTTTGCAATAGTTATCAAAGGAAATATATAAAGAATTATAGAAAATCAACTCTGAATGATAGTCAAAACGGCTGAATGGAATAGTAGTAGACTTCGCAAAGGTGACTGTTAGTACTTTCTTGAGCAAGGCCCTAACTGTTTGTGGTACAAACATTTTACCAAACCATGTTACCATTTATCACCGAACAAAGCTATAGTTTAAGTGTACTATAGTTTTATGCGATGAGAAATGTCGATGCAATTTTGCCTCACCGAACGCAGTTCAGTAAAATTTAGTAACAATTGTTACAGCCCATCGGATTAGGGAACGGAACATATATCTACTTAGTTACTACGTTTATGCTTCATTCCTATTCGAGAAGATTAAACTTGCAAGCATAAGCACTTTTTCACCACGAGTTAAGGCGAATACTCGGGTGATTATATACATTTTCTCTACATATGTCGAGATCGGTAGAACAAACGCAGTTGAAATCAGCTGATTTGCATTCAATTTGATTGATGTAGGGTTTCCGTACTTCCATCTTTTTGCCAAAAATAAATTAGTTTAAAACTTCACTAAGTTGAGCTTGGTAGTCCTAATATTAACTCCATTCTGAATTCAACTCGGTTAGATCATTTCCGAGTAGAAATAAAGAATAAATGTAGTGAGTGTCACTCAAACTATTACTACGTTTATGCTTCATTTCTCAAGCTTAGACACTTTTTCGCTACGGGTTAAGACGTCTATTCGGGTAAATTATACACCTATATTATTATGTAGAAGTGTTAACTCGGTAGCATTAACGCAGGTCGAGTTGATATCAGTTGCATTTAACCTGATTTATACAGATTGACTTTTGTCAAATATATAATTGTTTATCTAAAATTTTACCAAAATTTATCAAAGCTGGGCAGCGCTTATATTAACTCCATTCTGAATTCAACTCGAAGAGAAAATTTGTCATTTATGCCTGTAGATTAACCCGCGTAGATATGAAGCATTAACGTTATATTATATATATATTTGTTTTCTCGTGGCAGCTACGCAAACTACAATATAGTGGTGAAAATATTACGGTCATGTTGAGTAATCTCACCCTGATTTTAAATAAATAAAAAACAGCTGATTTGCTTTTGTCAAACGTTCGTCATTTCTGGTTGAGGAAAGAAATTTACAAAACATACACAATTTTTTCATAGTGGAAGGAAAATATATTTTCATGTTTTCTCTCTTTGCATAAGAAAAACAATTATTGAATTTTAGAAGTAAAAGATGAGTTCCAAGGATAAAGAAATTTCCAAGTCAAAATTCAAATTCTTTATGAAGAACGCAAAGGGTGCTTCGGGTAAGCTTCTGCCATTCAAAGTGTATTCCTTAAGCAAGTTTTGACTGTCTTTATATGTAGGCGTTACATGTGAGCGTTCTTTGCGTCCGGAAATAGAGCGTGAGTTGAGACCGGAGTTAACAACTGCCCAACGATGCAAAACTTTGTCAGAATTGCAATTACAGAATTTGAAACTAGATGAGGTAGATTTTTATAATTGCCCAAATTGATTATTTAAATAATTTCATTTACATCAGGCTTCAATAAGAGAACTATGGTCCCTTACTAAAGACTTGATTATTCCGAATAAGCCAGCAGAATGCCGTCAGACGGCATTAACTTTTTATAAGAGACTAATCCGTAGTCAATATAAAAATTTGAATTTGCTGCGCCAGCATTTTTTCCTTGTTATACAAAATCATGAAGTTGACGAAGATCTGAAACATCGCTTGGAACTGTTAGATACGTTAACAGACAATGGAAAAGACATACAGAATTTTGAAGAAAAGGTATGTTCCACTCAATATTCTCTTATTGTTAAGGAAGTAGGAACTTATGTTTGTTTTAGATTGGAAAATTTATGTTACAATGGATACCGGCTATAACTGAAGCTCGTTTACTCCGTCCCTTTTTGGATATTTTGGGCAATATAATTAAATTTAATGCTTCACTTTTGGACAAAGATATTGTTGTTGGCATCGTTCAGTATGATTCTTCTTGTGTTTTATATTTTAAATTTACCTATTGAATGACACATATTTTTTCAGAAACGCCTGTAATTTAAGTTGTACCGAAGAGGACGATATTGGGTTGCAGTGCCTAACAATACTTGAAATGGTCATGTGTTATACAATATTCCCAAGCGAGCCATTGACACAATGTGTTTTTACCTTGTGCCGTACGGTTAATTGTTCTCTGTATTGTCAAGCATCATGGAAGGTGAGTTTTACGCACAATCACTTAACAATATTTATTCTTAAATATATGTATGAACATAAGTATTGGGACGATGGCTTTCTCGATTATCTTTAATTGTTCATGATGAATGTATGAATTTTCCTCAAACAACAGGACCGTAACTCTTCCAAGTTTACTTGAAAAAATAAAATCGAGAATAGTACCAAAAAAGTGGTTACTTTTATTTTTTTTGATAGAAGTACCAAATATATTTGATATTATAATAAGTCTATATCTATTTTTATTCACAACTGTATAAATTTTGATGACAATTTTGTGTGTACTGATGGGCTTGTATTTAGAGCAAAAATTTGTTTGTTTTCATTGAAATCTTCCTTTTTCATATTAATATTTTCAGAAAATTTGATTGCGGCTTGACTAAATGGCGCCTGTTTAATATTAGTAGAACTAGAAACTTCTCGCTGTGGGACTAAGCTGGCGTTGTCATCAGTTACACGAAAGCCAGCGATATGTTTTTTTTCTTTTTTAAGTAGCATGTTATTTTTTTTTGATACTTGCTCAGTGTTTATCGGAATTCCCAATTTTGATTCCGTACCCAATATAAAATGTTTCTTCAGTGTCTTTTCCGACGTTTTGGTACAAATCCCACTTGCATCCCATCGGCAAAAGTGCGCCTTTGTATCGTAAAACGATCCTTTTGGACAGATTTTAAGAGACACTTTTCCATTTAGACATAAAAAAAATTTATCGCAATAATTCTTAATAGATATCAAACCAGTTACGTTATTTGTAAATTGATCGCATTTTTCTACTAAGCCCGATTTATTTAAACTAATTGTGGGTGCTTGAAGGCATATTCCAGTTAAGTCTGGCAAACAACTACTGACTTGTTTGTTGTAATATTGACCGCGCGGACACCGGCGTAGTTTGGCTTTACCATCTAAGCACATATAGTACGATTCACAGTCATCGCTGTTGTCTATGGTGGCATAAGGTGGCAAAAGACAACTACATTTGTGGTCGGCGTTGATGGTGACTGGCTGACAACTGGAATATTTCTTTGAAAAGTATTGACCTTTCGTACAATTCTGTACTACAAATTCTTCATTCTTACAAAGTAAAAAAGCTTCACAATTTCCCTCGATGTGGCGAACATTGTGAGATTTGCACTTAGTTGTTGATTGTTCCATTGGACATTCTCCTATTTTACAACGCTTTTCTTCTCTATCAAAATAGAAATTCGCCGCACAATCAAATTTCTCTGCCTTTCCATTAACACATATCCAAAATTGATGGCAATTCTCTGTGTTGGCGACGATGGTCCAACTAGATTTCGCTTCACATACGTCATTAAGTGCTCCTGACTAAGACATCGAATAGTAATTTGTTGAATGAAATGTATACAGGATTGTACATATTTATACTCAAAAAAGATGCAGCTCATTCAAACTGAAGTTTAATTTCCTAACTTACTCACATTAATTTTACTTTGGTCAGCATGATTTCTTCCAAATGTTTGGCATATAATAGCGGAAATACTTGCGATTATTAGTATCACTGTTAAAATCGTGCTTATTTAGAAATTGAATCTTCAGTGTGGTATTATTTACTTACAATTCATTTTAGTAATACATCCACTCTACTCTCTTCTGCATATAAAATTCGCTCAAGTCTGTCAATATGCTTTTGAACGATGTTAATTTCAACTTATAGTTAAAATTATTGCCACTGAACGACAGTGTTAATTTCGCCGTTGCTTTTATTTCAAAAATGAATTGGTAATACAAGGAGTTGCACGGTTTATCAGTTAATTTTGGAGCAACATTCATGTACTTCCGTTCACAGAAATGTGTTTATATTGTATGCGTGCAACAGCAATGCAATTATTATTAACTTGGTTCTCTTCACAAGTTTTGGTTATGTTAGAAAAATGTATGTGTATTGGAATTAATATGTAGGTAATCTTGTGTTGTGTTGTTGTCACATGAACTGTTTTGATTTTCGTATTAATCAAAACTGCTTTATCTGGTATATTGTCGGCTCTTTTCAAAGTCAAGTTAGTCAACTTTGGTTGCTTATGTAATTTCCTCATTTTAACAGTGTTTTTTTTATATCAGATGGTTAAATTACCAATTGGAATGTTTTAATAGGTACTACCGATCTCATAGTTTCCGGTTTTTAAAATTATCATTCCTTCTAAAGTTGTAGAATATGTATTTTATATTTAGGTGCCTAACCTGCAAGTTTAATGACATTTTTATTTAGATAATGAAAAATCTACTGGGCACACAGTTGGGATATCATTCTATGAAAATGATGTGCAATATCTTAAATGATCGTAGTCTCTATGGTGATCAACAATTGCTACGCGGCGCAGTATTTCATTTAAATATGAATATATTCGGTTCGAATGTAGTCTTCCAAGTGTCGCCAATGTTTTATGCCTCAACTGTTCTCACCTGTTTTTTGCATGTAAGCACACAAATAATTAAAACAATTATACATCAATATTATATATTTAATGTCTTAGGCATTGGAAAGCCGTCAAGTTATTGTGACTTTCGAAGTGATACTAAGTATAAGACGAGTTATTAATTACTACAAATCGGAAATATCAGAGATAATCTGGGATTGCATTTGCGATACAATGAATGCAATCATCGATAATATTGAGTATTATGGTGAGTTAAAACATACAATAATAAAATAGGAATGAATGGCACGCTGAATGAAACGCTGTCTTCTTTCTAGAACGTATTAATATAAATAGAGATCGTCTTCATTATTTGCAAATAAATTTTCATGAAAATATTGATTGTATTGAGCAACTATTGTACGATGATAAAACTCCGATACTTGCAAATATCAATCGCATATATGATTTAATTGAACGCGTATCGGAGAATCGCCCTGAATCTTCTGTACTCAAACTGATTGAATACCGCTCGACAAAAGTAACTGCCACTCGTCCACAATGGCTACAAGTTCTTAATGATTTTATCAGTCGTTTTTATAAGATGCCAAATACGAATGTACGTTTGAAAGCCATTCAATCGTTGGTACGCATAATGGCATTAAGTCGTTTTAGTTATGAGGAAGAAATTCTTGAGCGTGTCGTTATCCCTCATTTTTCACAAATATCAAATGAAACAGATTTGGAAGTTCGGGTAGCTGTTTCTAATGCATTGGTGGATTTTGCACGACACTGCGACACCAAACGTTGTGGTGAACTATTGGATATATTAGAAAAGCTTGTTAATCGACCGTTCGAGCAGCAAACCAATTTTAATGAAACGATAATTAAATCTGAAGCAGATATATTGGATGTTGTGACTGCAGTACAAGGCCTAATTGATATATTTGGTGTTAAGCTGCATCGTTTGCCTTCAACGCATGCCATTAAAATTTTTAATATATTGATTGGTCACTTGGAACAACATTACGAGCGCCCAAAAGTTTATGATAATGGGCGTATTGTGCGTTTGAAGGTAAATATTATATGTTTTGATGCCATTTACTAATATTTAACGCTTTGGCAGATTTTAAGGTGGATTTTGCGCGCACGTGCCAATGTTTCCTATCATATTGGCTACCCAGATCCTGAAAACGGCGATATCATAAAGTTTAGTGCATATTTGGGTATAGATTCAAGTCTACCACTACAAGGACACCAGCATACAAGACACCAATTACCAACTCACGATTCTCATTTTACAACAATCTCGATACGTAGAGCTTGCAAAATTATCGTTAAATGCTTAGACACAGAGCGAGGTGAGTTGAATTTAATTCAATCAAAACACAAGTTTTAAGCTATTTCCTTCGTCCTTGGTTTATGACTTCACACGTAAGATTAACTGACTCACTCGTCTTGTTTGTGTAATAATTATCAAGCATAAAGTTCCTAATTTTTTTTTCAGTAAATGACGATTTGTCACGATCCTAAATATGTCTCTACGAGAGAAATATAATTGTTTTTCCAAATTTTTTCCCTTCACAAGATAACCAAAGCCATTAAAAAACTAATATATCACCGATATTAAGAATTACAAATATGCGCATACAAACCCTGAAACATTTGTTTGATTGATTTTATTGTGAAGGACTTGTAAACCGAGTTTAAAGATATAAAAGATGTCAAATAATTTGTATATTTGTAGATTATGAAGTTTTACAATTGGTTATCAAAGAGCTACCCAAAGTGTTGTGCAATAAAGCTCTTATTCAAGGCAACGATATTGAAGCATTAGCTGTTTCGTTGTTCCGCATTTTTCAAGACGTCAATAAAACTCTTCACCTCAGCTACACGCCAACTAGTGATGAGGTGAATGCATTATTTCTTCCCGCAATCGCTTCTTTGGTCATATATCATCACAGTATATCACCACACCAAATCAATACGCTAATATTAGCGCTTTGCTCCGGGATATTCTCAGGCACAGCTAATGTTTGCATCAATACCTTAACGACGATGATTCTTGAAATGCCTGACACATTGACACGTACATTGGCTGATATACTGCTGCAGATGAGCAAAATGTCGGATACAACAATGGTCGCAATACCCGTTTTGGAGTTTTTATCAAGTAACAACTATATCATAGTTTCTATTTTATGTATTTATTCTCTTTTTCTAAATTTTTTTATATATCTTTAGTTTTGAGCCGAATGCCGAATCAATATTTCACGAACTTCATTCCACGGCAATACATGTATGTATTCGCCATATCTTTGCCGTATACCAAACCCAATAGATATGATCATTATACTGTATCGTTGGCACATCATGTTATTGCTGGTTGGTTTCTCAAATGCAAACTAGAGATGCGTAAAAATTTTGTTACCTATATAATATCGGTATGTTTATATAACCGACTAATATTTATAATTAAATCTAAAGCTCTGCTTGTTTCAGTCAATTCAGTCCAATGCTAGTATGCTTTACGATGACATTGACAAGTTTAAACATAGCATACAGCGTCAGGACCTCAATAGTTTAAATGAGGATTCATCGAATCGTAAGCGCAGTACCAGTTTGACTGAACGTGGTAGTCGTAATACAAGTGTACGAAATGGTTCAGACATGAGACCGCCAATTAATGATAGTCTAAAAAGTTTTCATGCAGAGTTAGCTGAGACTTGTATAGATTTCCTAGCCCGCCATACTTTTTCGCCATGTTCGGCATTACCGAAACGGTGAGCTTACATTGTTAAAAGTATATTTTTGGAAAAATAGTTCTGAAGTATAATATCACTAAAACTTCGACTTATTCTCGCCTTATATATTTTTAGCTTGCCTGCAGTGGAATATTTGTTAAAAGACGGCTTCTCACAGACATGGGTAGTTGGTCACAATCTAGTAACAATTACGACCTCGGGTTGTCCAACTGGTCCTATACGCAACGGCCTTTGCGACCGTTGTTCTCAAATGGGAAAACATCCCATTGCTGGCAACAGCTTGACAGCGAGCAAAAGTGATTCAAGCAGCACAGCACCTCTGTCACCAGAAGCTAACAATACACAATCCACGGCCGTTGCATCGACTATTGATCGACGATACACAAAAGCAAGCCTTCAGTATAGTAGTGGAAACGAATCTGCTGGTAGTACTGACCTGACTTCTTCTTCTTCATCTACTTCTGCTGTGGCAAATTCAAACATAAATTTAACTCAACGACAAATATCTAATAGCTCAACTGCTTCGTTAGAAGCTCTTTCACGCCGTGGCTCAAATCCAGAGCCCACGGAAGGAGCAGCCGGCGCCGTTACCGGCAGTACCACTTCTTTATTGGGTGGAAATTCTCTTTCGACAACAAGCATAAGTGTCTCTCCGACACAACTCCAACCAGTACAGCAACAGATCTGTATACGTTCATGTACAGGCTGGGCCGAAATTTTGATACGTCGTCCTACTGGCAACATATCGTGGATTACGCGTATACAAAATCCTATAGCCAATGATTGTTTTGGACAAGATTTGCCTTTTAGTAACATAGTTTCACTCTTTCTTCCGACAGCCCATGGCGGTGTATTTGGTCCGGATTACGTCCAGTCCGCATTACTGCCAGAACCGCCGACAGAATGTGGAGTAACATTAGCCTCAGCAATAGCTACCAGTAAATCTACATTCGGTGGTGCTTCAAGCACTTCTATAGTCAATATGGGCTCAGGTCCAGACCATGATGGCCCAGTACAGTCGACCATTAGTTCAAAAATTGCAGCGGTTGAGCAAAAGGCAATTAGCGTAACTTCTAAGACACGTGCTCTGCAACGACAGGAAGAAATTTCGTCGTCGGCAACAATGCCATTGCTGGTCGCATCATTAAGCACCGCTGCTATCGACATACCCAAATCATTAGCCAGCAAGCGTGTGGGCGGTAAAGAAGCTCTCGCTGATAGCGTAAGTGATGGCGAAGCTGATGATGACACAATGCAAATTGCGGGTGCACAATCGCGTGCTCGAAATCCAGTGCGACGTGTTAATTCAAGCCCAGAAATGAGCTCTAGCTGGCGTCAGGCTTTCTTGGCGGCAAAACCAGCGCCTCTTTCCGCTGAGTCAGTAAGAGTTAAGGGAAGTAAATATTCTGCCAGCCTCCAAGGTCTCGAAGAAGTTCATAAACAACAACAGCAACATCAACAGCAAACACTACAACAACAGCAGAAGAAAAAGAGCGTACAGTATTCAAAGGATATGCGTGTCAGCTGTGAGGCGATTCCTGAAGAAATTGCCGGGTTTACACCACCACAGGCCCAGTCTGGCGAAACACATGTCGATATATCCGATAATACAGATGCTTCTGCTGCTGTGAGTTCTGTCGCAATAGCAGGACAACAACTTTTGGCAAACAGCACTGCCACTATAGCACTGCCTCCTAAGCAACACTCAGCGGATGATGTTAGTACAAGTGCAAGTATGGCCATCTCTTCGGTACAACAGTCAACATCAAGCTCTTCTCTGAAACTGAATGTTGCATTAGATAAGGTCGTGGCAAAGCCACCACATTCTCCGGTAACAGTGTCGGTACCCCAGTCACCACGATTGGACAAACCGCCGCCGATTGGTATACAAAAAACCGCCACTTTCACAAACGTTCAAACAACAAGTCATCAAGGACTTGCTAAATCAAGCAGCAGTGGAGGTGGCAATACTAATTTTACCGGAGTCTCTTCATATCTCGGCGGAGGTGGAGGCGACTATGGTAATAGTGGTAATGGTGACGTGATGAGAGGACGTTCTAAAACCATCTCTGTTGTACGCGAGGTAAATGGACGCTCTCGTCCTGCCACCTCCAATTTTCGCAGTTTTAACAACAACTCCAAGCCATCTGTCAATGCCAAGCTGTGTATGAATCCGAGCTTTGTGTTCATGCAACTCTATCACACAGGCCAACTCCAGGTTACAGATGTACCCATCAAAGTCCCACAGGAAGAAACTAACGTACTTACAGTGCTGGACTTAGCGCCACCTTTCGAGACACACAAGATTGGTGTGCTTTACATTGGCCAAGGGCAGTGCAACAATGCTGTTGAAATTCTGCGTAACTCGCACGGGAGCATGCGTTATGTGGAGTTCCTTAGCCACCTTGGTACACTTGTTAGTTTAAAGGAAGCAGAACAGAACAACTTGTTTGTCAATTTGGACAGAGGCGGCGCAGATGGAAAATTCACATACGTGTGGAAGGACGACATTGTCCAGGTGAGTTGACACCGAACACGTACCATCCAATCTTCACTAAAAATTATTATATTGTCCTCATTCAAGGTTACGTTCCACGTCGCTACTTTGATGCCGACCAAATTGCAGAAGGATCCTAATTGTAACGAAAAGAAGAAACACATCGGCAATGATTTCGTCAAAATTGTCTATAATGAAAGCGGCGAGGAATATAACCTTAACACAATTTCGGTAAGTATTTATTACAAAATATACAGTCATGTGTTTGAAATAACTCTGATTTTTTACTTTTTAGGGACACTTTAACTATGCATGTGTTATTGTAGAGCCTTTAGAATTAAATAGTAACCGAGTTTATGTGAAAGCTCGTCCGGAAATTTCAAAATTCGTTTGCCACCCAGAACCCAAAATTGTATCGGATCAGAGTGCGCCGTTATTGGCGCGACAACTGGCTTTACACGCGAATGTAAGAGAATGTGTTTATTGTCATACCTGCATAACCTTACATATTTTGTTTGAACTCTTTAATTTAGCTCGCATCTCAAGTATACCAAAGTTTGCAAAAGAAAAACCCATATGCTTCCAATTGGCTAGAACGCTTACGAATAATTAAACGATTACGCACGAAGGTGAGACACTTTTAGTAAAAAGAGATTTTCGTAAATTAAAATTAACTACATATGTATATCATATTATTGTAGCTAATTGAACAACAGAATAATCAACATCAAAGTGGAGCGACTTCTGGGCCTGATGCGGAAGAGCACGCAGGCGATCCTTTAAAAAAACAAAACACTAACCGTGATTTTACCAAATACGCTTAATATTGTTAAAATTGAAAAGAACGCATAAATAAAGCAGCGGTAATTGTTGTTACTGAAGTATAAGCGTGTAATAAATATTTAATCTTTTTACACTAAAGTAGTAAACAAATAAAGTTAATCTTACCCAGTAAAGGTGTGTTTTAAAATGTTTTAAATAAGAATTAATACTTACATCGAAAGATCTGCAGCTAACTTTTGGTTATTTTACCTTTACTACTTTTTCTTATTTTTGTGTACATTTCCCTTTTTACTTTTCAATAAAAATTTTTTCATTATTTACCTTTGCTTAAAATATGTTTAAATAGGAGGTATACCAATAATTTTGATTTTTTTTTCAAACCCTTTTTTTTTTTTAGAAAATTACTAGTAGTTATTCCATATCTTTATTAAAGATTTTTCACTCCTGGTGGCAAATAAGATGCAAAGTTACTATTTTGCCAACGTCCCAGTGATTTCATTTCAAAACTGAGTTTACAACAATGCAACGAGTATTAAATTCTCTGTTGTAAATTTATTATTTTTTATATGTAAATATGTATATTATTAATATTATTGCTGTACTGGCGATGTCAGTATTTTTCTTATTATATAACACTTTTTAGAACTTTTCCACGCCATCATTTTTAATTCAAAGTATTTGCATCTAAAGACCTAGTATACTAATTATATTTTGTACATCCACAAATAATACTACGTGTATCTCCAGTAATTAAGTATTGTATTTGCTCTATTAACAATTATGTGTATGTTAAGCTCAAACGGAAGAATCTAAGACTTATACAATTGAAAACAGTTATTTTTTTATGCATTTAATAATACTTGTAAATGGTGTTTACCAAAAGTTCTTTTGAATGAATAATGTACGCGTATCTGCTTAAATAAGATGAGAGTTCAAATTCGGAAGGCACAGTTATTATTCCATATTTAGAGCTCTAATCACCATTGAATAATTACCCCAAATTCTTTATGGAACATGAAAATTCTTTAAACAAAGCTTAATTCGATTAAAATTATTATTCAAGGCAATTTGTCATATGTATGTATGCATTTACTTTTAAAAAAGATGAAAATGTGAATTCGCCAAGATCGTTATTTCAATGTTATTAATATTTTTGAATACCTACAGTAAAATGGACATATTTATGCATTTTGGCTTAAAACTATAAAATATTAGGAAAAAGTTATATTTTTTTAAAAATTCTCGAGTTCGCGATCGAAAAAATTTCAAGCAGCGAGTCGTTCGGAGGCGGCATAGAATCAAATGTAGGTACCTTAATTTGTTGGAAAAATATCAAGACGCGAATCACAAATTGGAAGAGGAGCTCGCCTGGAAATCGCTTCAGCGGTTACAAAGCTCCAACTAAATGTTTATATAAAATATATTTTATATGTTTATATAAAATATATTTTATATGTTTATATAAAATATATTTTATATAAAATATATTTTATATATTCTGTACCAATAGATAAATTTCATATGGAATTACACAAAATGTTAAATCACCCTTTTCACTTCCACTTTAATTGTAGCTCATTGTAAGTCCAATAAACTGAAACTCTCATAAAACTTAACCTTGATTTTGAAAAAATTAAAAAAATCAATATTTTTTTGTATACAGCAGAGTTCTTAAATAACAAAATATGACTGGCTGTATAATGCTTTTTTATGTTTTTGAAAACAAATAAAAATTGTTCTCTTGCGTCCTCAGAGTAGGAATCCTTCGAAAACAAAATGAACGAAATAAAAAATAGTAAAATTGTTTTCAAAATATTGATTTAATATAATTTGTTTTCAAATGTTATGATACACGTCAGTAAAATTACCAGTTTCTTTGTACATATGTATGTATCAAATTTGTGTATTTGACTATTAATGAAATAGAAATGCGACTTCTTACCGTTTAAGGTACTCATTTTTATCTACAAAAAGAAATATTAGTCTTTTTTGCCACCAAATATAACATTTTGTTCTTTCTACGAATGATTATAGATTCCTACTATACGTGTATATAATGCTTTCTTTATAGTTAGTTGTCCAAATGTCATCAGATAATGCCAGTATTTATTGTATTTATATTTAGTAATTTTTTACATGCATATACTCGTATAGTAAGTAAGTAAATACTTGCTTTCATTGAATATATTTATTTATACAATTTTTGTTATCCGACTAATATTAACAATAAGATATAATATGTTTGTAGGTACACAGAACCGTTTTTACACCACAGGTTTTGTACTCATAATGATGAAGGAAGGGTTAGCTACCGAATATGAGTCAACCTTGGCGGTGTAAAAAGGGTCAGGCGTAACTCTAATACACAGGCTAACAATTTAAATCTTTCTATTTATTCATATATATATATATATATGCCATTTATAACAAGATAATACCTACAGTACTAATGCCTACTTATCTTCGTACTAATAACAGTTTTGTTAGTATTAAGTAAAGCCCAAATTTATTTAAAATAAAATTTTTCACTTACAAGTGTATGTACTTAAATATGCTCTATATTATTTTGCTGAGTGTATATATTAATATGACTAATGTATAAGCTATATATATGTAAGTACACTGAATATAGTACTAAGTTCACAGCTGTAGGCTTGTGGAAGGACACAAGTGAAAGGAGACTATCAATGTATTGTATGCGTATGTATGTAAGTACAAATACGTGATATCAGGCTTTGGTTGCGTACTCTTTAAATAGTTATGTATGTATGCATTGCAGAGTCCTACCGACGATTATATGCATGTTGGGCTTGTGATGTTTCGCCTTTGATTTATCAGTTATCCGGCATGTATATATATTTTGATTATTCTTTTATTAGAATTAAATACAAAAAATCGTTGCTCGTCTTGCAGTTGTTAAAACTGAATTGTTTAACTCTTTTATTTGCTTTTAGCTTCTTGCTCGCGGTGCTGCTTTGTTCGGTATGTCCTCCAATCATTATTCTTTTGCATGCGATTTTTCTTTTTAAATTGAATATATTATATATAATACAATATTAAAACTTTATGTAAATTTACTAAAAAGGTGTCTACTATATTCTACTTCCCTAGTTTTTTACTTATCCCTTTTTTGCTTTCATATGCTTTGGATTATATATAAATTTGAAGACATTTTGTTAAAAATAATTTGAATGCATTATGGATATGAGTGTTTGACTAAAATATTTTACACGAAAATCCTGCGGCAACACCACGTTTTGGTTAAACGCCACGGCCTTTCTAATACTATTCAATAAAAATTTCTATGTTTGCGTGTGATGGCATGCCATTGAAAACAAATCAAACATCCGTTTCATTGCTGGTAGACAACTGCTGTTGGGAAGAAACATTTGTTAAATTATCATTAGACAGTTGTATTGTCGTTGTTTCCGGTTCCGCTGTTGTTGCACTTTCATTAGGGCTCTGACATTTATTTTGATTGACTCGTTGCGCCTTACTACTCACTGACGATGAGATTGCGGAGGTTGAGACGTTTCGTGTTGTTATGCTATTGGCTGGGGATGTTTTGTGGGGCTGATGGGAGCAGATTGATGTTGCAGAAGTCTGGTGTTGTGGCCAGTTAATGCTATTTTGTGATGTTATATTGCGAGTTTTGACTAGCGGCGGATTTTTGGTGGAGGTAGAAAAAGCCATGCCACGTCGTAGAGGTACCCTTAAAAGTAAAAGACAAATATGTACATATGTATATCCAAGAACGTTTGCAAATTTTTATTTAGAAATCATTAGTTCTGGAAAACTCACCTCGTTGGACTGGGCGGTGGATAAGAAACTCCTCTATGGCTAGGCGATAACAATACATTGCCCGAATGACTTGTGGTTCCGGGCACCAATAGAGTGTTATTGCTAAAATTATAATACAGATTACTATACATTAAATCCCTAAAACATACAGTTAAAAATTGAGCTTGTTCAAAATTACTTATGTATATATGTACTCGTAAGTACATACACGTATGTATATATTTAGTGTGTTCGGCGAGCTGCAATTGTTACTGAAATTTAGTTTTTGTAGAGAAAACGATTCACCTCTCAATTTCGTTTCTAGATAATATGTATTGTCATTTCTCACCGAAGAGAGCTAGCATTAATTCAAATAATCGTATTGATTTCATTTACTGGTTCTAACTAACAAATTATACTGGCAAAACATTTTAGAAACAATTAAAATCTGTTCTGTTATATAAGATCTAGTAAAGTATATAAGACATTATATACCCGATAGAGGGGTAAATAATATAGAAAAATTATTTGAACGACTGAATCCAGCATAATCTGTTTATGTGACTCGAAAAATACTTGACGATAGGTAATCTAACAGTTTCGGGGTATCATATATTTATAGGGATTTTTTTCCAACAACATATTCTTCATATTATTACAAATATATATAATATTATACTTACGTATGAGTGTGGTTCAAGTTAAGGTTCGGTAGGCTTTGCCCGAGGTGATTAAGGGGCTGCACGGAGAGTGTATTCGCTGTTGCAGTGTTTATTTTGAGTTTAAGGGGAACTGCTTGCAGGTTTTTGCCTTAAAAAATAAAAAACTTTAGAATTTAAAAGATAAACTTACTCTACTACTAACCCATCGAACCGTCCTCACTGGATAAAGAATTGGTTTTCTCAAACTCTACTGATATATTGCGTGAATCATTCCACTCTACCGAACCGCTATGACTGTTATTCGCACTCGATACATGACTACATATAGACGAGTTCATCGGCGATTTTTTCACACCCAGCGAATCAACTGGACCAGCACTAGCATTACTTCCGCCGAAGCGGAAGCTATCCCAATGGCCTGCGCCTTGCTTCAGTCTCGTGTAGATCATTTTGGCACGTTTCAATGAATCGCACCAATTTTTTGCCTCCGAACATTGTAGTGTAAATGCAGTAATCGCTACTTGAAATTCATTTTGGTAAACACAATTTAATATATTATTGCTTTGCTGTACGACAAGTCTATCGGTTAAATACGGTTGACGAATCACTTTTAAAGAGCCGAGGCCACGCTTAGCGATCGCTTTACACACGAGCAGCATATCGGTAAGCAAAAAGCAATGCACGTCTGATTTGCCAAGGTTATCCTTAAATTTGTGATCACCCTCCATAAAGAGGTGGCGTACTTGATGGGCGGCGCAGCCCTTCATCGGAGCACACAAGTCAAACATTTGACTATACTGCTTTATCATTTTATCTAAGACTTCATTGTTTGTATCCTTTTTGTGTAAGAAGAAGAAAATATACACGTTGAAATATTATTGAGGAATTTTAGTACGTTGAGCTCTTCTACTTACCACCACATCATAAGATTCGATACGCGCCATAACACCTTTTAAACGTTCATTTTCCTGACGTGTTGTCAAATGGCTGTTTACACTAAACACGAAGTTCTCGACTGAATGGATCTGGAATCATTGAAAAGTGAAACAAATAATAGTCTTGGTTTTATGTTGAAGTTATACCATTGAATCGATGGCCTCGACTTGATCCGCATCCGACATGTGTTTTTTTATGGCTGCCAAAAGCAGACTGTATTTAGTCAATCTTTGCATCGGTCGCACCAAGATATCAGCTAATCGAAGTCGATTGCATAGCTTCTGGGACTCACACCAGGCCAAATAGGAAGTAAAGAGAGCATTACTTCGATTAAGCTCCTTACAATAAAACTGACAAGTACTCTGCTCGGCGCAATATTTTTTGTACGGTGCAAAAATAGAAGCGAAAGCAACAAAGCCCTGATGGAAGAATGTAAGATGTAGCGGTTCATGAGTATTAATGCTATGCGCCACCATTGGGTAGAGATAAAGTGTCCAAAACTTAAGATTTGCTTCGCAAATATCGCGTACATTGGAAAAGAGTCGATGTTGATCGACATCGGTTAGTAGGCGTTCTCCTTGCACCGCCTCTAAGCAGGCGAGAAAGAGCTGAAATAAATGATAAATAAGGAAAAAGACTCAAAAATTCGGAGGAATATTAGCAGCAATAATACTTACGTCTGTGACGGTTTGTAGAGCGTGAATGTAGTATACCTCGGTCGTTACTAGCTCCCAAATCGCTGTTTGTATACGCGTTTCGTTGTCATTCATGGCTGTACTGTCAACGAAATCTTTCCACGACAAATGCATATTGTCCAAATAATCTAAAGCCGCGTCGAAATTCGGATGATCGAAATTTAGTGAGGCTGACTTTTGCGGTACACCACTCTTGGCGTAACTGTTAAGTAGTTCACATAATTGACTTTGCTGTGGATTTTTGATGCCGAACAGCCCAGACCAGCGTTGTTTTAGTTGCTTTCCTGGTACTGCCGCTTCACTAGTCTCTTCGGTTGAAGCGGAAGAGAGTAACCGTGGTGGACGAGTACGAGAACCCTAAGTGAAACCCTTGATATTTATTGTTCTACAGTGTAAATTGGTAGATCTTACAAAGGATGCAGCCTTTTGCAGTGTTTTACGACTGCCATCGCGTTCGGTTATAGTCAAATGGTGTCCAGCCAAGTTTTCTGCATCTGTATTTTCATCCAAAGAACTTGCTAATGGTGAATATGCTGTTATATTCAAAAGGGAAACCATTAATAACACAATATTCACCACAACCATAACTTTAAACGTTTTCATTTTTGTGATAAATATTACCCTCAAAACCAAAACCAATTATCTTACCGAAATTTCGTAATACATATACTATAATGGGTTTAAAGTTAGGCTTCTTTAACATGATTTCGAGCGGAAAATTTACCACAATGGATCACGATGAAGTTTTAAGTAATCGCATTCTATGTATTTTAGCATATTCAAAAACAGCAGGAAACAAGTGAAACGTACCTGGTTCTAAGAAACTATTAGGTGGGTTATTGTCGGTAATGGCGATTTGGGAGAAGCTCAGATTACGTCGTTTCAGTGCCTGGCTCAATGCGGCGCTAGAAAGTAAAAAAAAATGGTTTCACGAAATCTCGCCTTAATTATATAAACAAATTTTACTTACTAAAGTGAAACGCCTTTAGTTGCAGGTATAAATTCTTCCTCTTGAATCCCTTCATCCGTACAAAAACTCACCGAGAAATATTCTGAACTTGAAACCTATAATCGACACAGTAAGAAAATATTGTAGATAATAATACAATATGAAAATGATTATTTTATTTTTATATTGTGCATATTTTATATTTTTCAGGTCTTTCATATTGTTCATGAAACAAAATAAAAAATATTTCCCATTTTTTTTTTATTAAATAATAACTTAATGACTTGCTCATTCGCTAATAGCTTTCAACTTAATAGAGATTTACTGTTAGATTTGGCAAACAATTCCAAACTGAAAATAAGTAGATAGAGAATTATTAGTTAGTTATACTATATTTAAAGTTGTGGTCCATAATCAACAATTAAGGCATTATGTCACTCGATCGACGTCGATCGATATACTGAAGGGCACTTGCTTCTCAAAAATTATATCGCACCATCTTTATAGGTAAGAAATTCTCTATGTACATGCACGTACTGTTTTTTCTTAATTAGTTTCCGTGAGAAATACGGCAATTTAAATGATACGTGTAGTAAAAGGACTGGGAATGCATTTCTTGTTGCGTGAGTATTGGAATATATTCCTTTTATCTCTTAAAAGGAATCACTTAACGAAAAAGGAAAACAATTATAGTGAAAAAGAAAACAAAAACACCATCGGCTACGAAGAAAACGAATTTTCACCACACGACACATCTAACAGCTAACTCACCTCACTGCGTACTAGCAGTGGCTTTTTGCGTGGTACAAATTGTGATTTTATCTTATAACTGCTCACCGACGCCATTGCCGTTGAGATTGGAACATGAGTGGTGGAACTCGTGGTCACATTCGTCGGCATTGGAGATGAATTCATCGAAGAACAAGTTTGTTGATGCTCTTGGAGGATAACTGTGGTGGGCTTCCCGCTCTGAAATTGATGCGATTGCAAGCAGATATGTACGTACATATGTATTCACAATCGAGTTTGCGGGAACGTCTAATATGTTGACACTGTTGCATAAAAACAACAGCGTAATAAACTATTTGGGGGTTTGTTTGGCTAATACAGGCAGTTCAAGCGGCAGCACGCGGGATAGTGTACATGTGTGCGTTTGTTAAAGTTTTTTTGAACGATGGCTAGTGCTTCTTAATGGAATGACTTATAGTTTTGCTCATTAGTTAATAGAGTTTAGATGCTGATGGTTGAAGCTGCCTGGAAGCGTGGGTGACAAGACTATAAGTGTACTATTAACACAATTGAGAAGCTAGAAAAAAATTGAGAAAACATACACACATTCATATGTATAAATGAAAAAACTAATGAAGTAAATTCGTAATAATTTTCTACTTATTTAATTTAACAGCTGTGTCCAAAGCTTTAAATATTACTTATGTACCTAAATGTCTTTACATCAAAATTTACACATATGTGCATATGTGTGCGTTTGTGCGGGAAATGTAAGTTTGTACAACTAAAGACGCAACAACACCGAACTGTATCCACGTTCCACACTCGCACACACACTCACATACACACACGCACACACACAGCCAAGCTGACATGCTGGTGAAGCACGTAATAAATGCCTGCTACGCTGCCATATATAGAAAAAGACAAAATACGTCTCGAAGGTCCGCATGGGTACGTCTGATCATACAGGGATGCGTGAATGCTTCAGGAAAAAACGCGTTCAAAAGAAGTAAGTCGTCAAGTTTCAAAAAACTATGTGAGAAAGTAAATGAGAACCCATTAGGTGATGCGTACAAAACCGTAATGACGAAGATTACAGGAAGCAGAAGCAATGCCCTATCCTCTCAGAAAATGTAGTAAAAGCGCTCTTCCCTACGCATGAACCACAATCGAGTAGAAATATACCCCCAGTTGTGGAAGCGTATACAATAGACGAGAAGGAAATAATTAGAGTGGCAAGGAGTTTCGGCAACGCAAAAGCGCCTGGATTTGATGGGATCCCAAATAAGGCACTTAAAATTGCCATCAAACATAAAATAAGGTCTGGTTCTTCTTCAGAAGCCTAACAAACCGGCTGGAGAGCCTAGTGCGTATCGGCCACTTTGTATGATCGACATGATGGCTAAAATATTGGAGAGGCTGATCTGTACACGTTTGGAAAACCATCCAGAAAGTCATCTGGCCTATCTGACAGCCAAGGAGGCACCGGTCCACCATAGATGGAGTCCGCAAACTGACTGACATTGCGGCCAAGGCTATAGAGGGTACCAGATGGATGTGTGGCGAGAAAAAATATTGCGCATTGGATGTGAAAAATGACTTTAACTCGGCATATTGGCCGCACATTATGAGGGCATTACAGGAAAGAAATACTCCAGAGTATCTGCTGAGGATAATTAATAGCTATCTTTCTGAGAGACAGCTATTGTATGATTCCGAGTCAGGGCCAAAAACTACGTAGTGACAGGAGGCGTAGCGATCGGTACTGGGTCTGTTGTTATGGAATGTGCTATATGATGAGGTGTTACGCCTATCGCTACCAAAGGAAGTTCATATAATTGGCTACGCGGACGATATCGCTGTGGCGATTGTTGAGAAAGAGCTTACTCAAATTCAGAGCACCTGCAATGAGACCATAACAAAAATTATGGACTAGCTCATTACGTCTAGGCTATAACTTGCTGGAGAAAAGGCAGAAGATGTTCTTATCACGAGCAAGAAAAAACTTGAAGTGGTCACCTTGGACAGGCGGCCTTAGCGACTACGGTCCTGGCGAGAATCATGTCCAACATAGGTGGCCCTAGCCATAGTAGTATACTGATGTATGCAGCTCCTAATGGAGAAGGCCATGCATCAAAAACATGTGCCAACAAGGCAAATGCAGTTTTCAGGCTAAGCGCCATTAGAGTTGCGTGTGCGATTAGGACGGTGTCGCATGAAGCGGCCAGCATCATATCCGGCATTATGCCGCCAGATATAATGTCTTCGGAGCACGACAGCGTGTAACAGCCGACAAGCGTAAGAAAGAGAGACAGACGAGTCTCGACGAGTGGCAAAGGAAATTTGACACGGTAGGCTCATTAAGAACGTACCAGCCTGGATAGAGAGAAACCACGGAAAGACAGACTACCTGACACAGTTCTTGTCAGGTCATGGCTGTCTCAGAGAATATCTTCACAGATTCGGCCACGAGGACAGGACTGAATGTTCTTTCTGCAGAAGTGCCGCAAAAAATGTGGAGCATACCTTTTTCTTTTGCTTGAGGTATAAAGTGGAGAGAATCAATCAATAGAGCAGATGATAAACGATAGGATGACGCCCGATAACATTGTGAGTCACATGCTGCAATCGTAGTTGGTGTGGGATAAAATGAAGGAATGGGCCGCGATAGCGCTCCAAGAACTTAGAACAGCAACGGAGAAATGAAAGGTCAGGTGAATAACTTTTCAGCTTGGCCGAGCGGAGTAGTGCCTAACGGCGTTCCCGCAGGGCTAGATACAAGCTACAGTAGCCGGTGTTAAGGGTTTTAGTTACCTAGGCATATTGTTTCGCAAGTCCAGTGTAGTTAAATAATATTATTTGTGCGTGGTCCCGAATGAGATGTACCTTTAGCGTAAGATACGAATCGTGCATGCCGCCCGGAAAAACGGCGGGGTCTTCCAAAGATTCCCCCTCCGAAAACAAAAAAACACACACAAACACAAATAATATCGATATTTATAAAAAAGTAAATGAATCTTATGACGTTATTAATGATTTAATATATGTACATATATATGTACATGCTCGCCATTAACAACTGTAAGTGGCACGTTTTAAATTAAACATTCGGGCTGCGTTTACTTCATATAGATAAATTATCTAATCAATTAGTATGTAGTTTTCATAGATGCGAATCAACAAATTATACATCAACTATTAACAATAAATATAACTTGAGTGCGGGAATTCTCATGCGAGTGTATAAACTACTAGTTAAGAAGCGATTATAAAAAATATTCAAAGTGGAATGGGGGAAATCATTAAGTACAACAAATATAGATGTTTTTCTCTGACTATTTTAATTGGGGCAAAATTTTGAAACTCATTCAGAGTCAGCGGATTCGTTGCCGCCTGGGACTTACATCATTCGATTTGGGGCAAGCGTGATGATGACATGCAACCGTCGTGTCCAGGCCATCTAAGTGTGTGAGGCTTTTAGATTTCAACTGCAATGAAGATAAAATGATGATTAGTTCGAAATTTAGTCGATCAAATTAAATCAACTTGAAATTTATTTGCAGATCTCTATATATGTATGTATACATATGTATCTATGAGTAAATGTTATTCAATATATCCAAAAAATAACCAAAAACATATTATCAGTAATACAGTTAAAATAACAAAATGGATTAAAATTCGAATTTCAAAAACTATAAAAATATATAAATATGTGAAATATATAAAGTAAACATAATTTAGTATTATTTTCAGAATATCTAAGAAAGGAAAAATTAAAACATGGCTTGGAAAGGATGTTAATTTTCACATACTTTCAAAAAAGTTATCGCCGGGCAAATTTTAAATCAAAGACCTTCACAAAAATTGTTATATTCTGTGCTTTTTGAGCTTTTAAGCATTTTTGAGTGTTTTAAGTATAGTCCTAAGGGAAGTTGTCAAAGCACCATAGAGTGATACATTTCTCTTCTCTCTCTCAATTTTATTTTGTGAGCTGCCTGTCGCCTTGTGTGCTATTTTTTATTGCAATATATTTTTTTTTTATTTCAATAAAATACTGATTCCTTCCCAAATCATTATAATTGTATTCCGTTTCCAGGTGTTTTTTGTGAAGTACTATTCGGTATTGCCAAATTGGTTCTAAGCAATATATTCAACTTATTTTGCTACACACAAGAGCATATTTAAGTTATTTATTTTTGAATCTGCTCTATGTGGTCAAAAGCTAAGAAACCAAGTACAATATAGGGACATTGTTTGCGAAAGGACTAGCATTTTTCAATCTTTAAAATGGCGAGGTTTGGAGCACTTAAAAATGTAATTTAAAATATATTGAGAGTAATATAACACGGAAACGATATAAAGTACCAATAACCGTTAATTTATTTTTGTGAATTTAACGGTTCATAAAATAAATTGTAACGTGCCAGCACATTCATTAAATTTGTTTTAGTCCAATATTCAGTAGGTTTCTCTTAAAACGCTCAATAAATCACGTATAATCAAAACCTGTTTATTGTTTTCTAAGGCATTAAAATGAATTTGAAAATGACAATACTTTGTATAAGCGCTGCCGTAAAAAGCATTTGGTTGCACAAATACACATACGTTATATTATATTATATACGTAAGGAAATTGATGCCTGAAATTTTATGCGTGTTTGTCCACAAATACGCTTCCACGTCGTAGATTTTTCTTTCTCTAAACTAGTTAACTTTGGGCCGACACTCCGCAACTCTTCCAACGGCCCTGTTTTCTTCATAAAAATTATACACCTGTCTTTATGAAAAAAAAAAAAAATAAATAAAAAATTAGCAAATGTAACTAAAAAATATAAGATTTACACTCCCAATCAAAGTCACACGGAAGGCCATGCGTAACATAGTTCCAGAAGAAAATAAATCATTTTCAAACCGGTTAAGCCTGCTAAGTAAAATGAAACATATATAGTGCCTGCGACCTTAGGTCTAGATATATAGTAGAATACATATGAATCTCTACAGTTATTCCTAAAGCGGTTTTAACCATTTCGATGAAGTTTTGTGAATGGATATTGATTGGTCATATAAGGTTGTCATCGCGAGGATTTACGAGTTATATAAAATATATCGATTTTAGTTTGGCCAAGTTGATTCATTTATTTTACGTCAGCAACAAAGATTTGTAGATACAAATGCATCCGTACATAGCTAAGTCTTTGTGAGAATATTTAATTGAATTTCGTCTCAGTAGGATTAAAAACGGAGAAGGGAAAAAAAAGATATCCGATGTTTGATGGATTATTTTCTCATTAAAGTTTATGGTCTTCTTGCGCTAGCAGCACTTTTATGCCCTATCAAATGGCAAGTAAACTTGTGATTTAGTTTGTTTTAGTAATAACGCAATATAAATGATTAAGTTGAATGTATGTACATACACAAGTATATTTGGTGCGTATTGGAAAATATATAGGTTTGCTAAGTCTTAAACAAATTTTGCTTTATGCATTTGTGAAAGGTACAACTTAGCACACGATCAGTCAACTGAAAACGAGACAAAAACTTAACTATGTCCAGCAATACAAGAATAATTTGCATATGAACATTAACATTTACATGACGGCCGGTCAGGCCAAGTAGCACAAGGAATAATTCATAGCCTTTTCTCAATTTCAAACAAAGTTGAGCAGAAAATCGGAGCGAATGTAAATTGAAGAAAAAAGAAATCACTATAATTCATTAAAAAATCAGCTTGAACAATTACCAAGCAAATTACGCAAATCTCTAGTAAAACAAAGTCCACAACAACGTTAATAACAACAACTAAGTTACAAAGCAGAAAGTTTGAAATGCAATACGTGGTAACAACATAATAATAACACCGGACAAAACAATGTTGAGTAGCGGCTAGCGATAGGGCAGAGTAGGTGGTCCGCTGACACGCAAACGGCAAATGGGAGCAAAAATTCGTTAACATTTCACGTAAATGGTCCAACGGGAGAAGGAGAAATCTCAGCGGAGTGGTTAGCAGTGCGTACTGTCATTCGGAAGGGTCGGGTTGAAATCCTGGTGTCATACTAACATCCAAAAACTTATAGGAAATTAATGTAAATAAAAAAAAAAGTTAAATTTTTTAATTGTGGTCGCCCCTCGGCAGGGAATTTCAAGCCCTCTGAGTGTATTTCTGACATGAAAATCAAAAGCTTTTCATAAGAAACCATAAGCCGTTCGGAGGCGGCTGCATCAAGACGCAAAACTACAAATTGGAGGAGGCGCTCCGGCGAAAATCGATTCAGCGGTTACAAAGCGGCAATCTTATATATATATATATAAATATATATTCGTGCTTATGCACGACTTGCTAATTAAATGAAATATACAAAAAGGGAAATTATATGTTTTTATTTCAAAAGTAGTCTAGTTCTATCAAACACATAAGGGCAGTACTGAGCTGCTAAAAAATTTTATCGTTTCTCGAATTTAGTTGTGAAATTGTTAAAAATGTCACACGTAGTTCTAGTTTTTAAATATTTTTTTGCGTATTTCTTTGAATTTTGCGATATTTTTGGTTTGAAGGATTTTGTTAAATATTGACAAAGTTTTTTCTTATTATAAGCAAACCTATGTACATATAATATATTTGTATACAAGTTGCTCCAACAGTTAATAGAATGTGCCGGAAATGTTGAGCAAACGGAATTGACACTTCCAATTTGACCGAGCTCGATGGAGCGTACGTTAGATAATTTAAAATTTAAGCAATTTATTTATAAAATTCAATAGCTACAAAATGATGTTGTATACAAATACACATATATATATTTTTTAAACATTGAAAAATTACAAATATATTAAAGAATTTACACTTATTTACTTAATTTTATTGGAAATATAAATTCATATGCACTATGCACCTACTCGTGGCCATGTAATATTATATTTTGATTACTTACAACTGAACGAAGATCCATAAGAAAGCTTTGACGAATATTCCTTTTCAGTTTAATGTCTTTATCTTCATAAAAAATAGGTGATTTTTATAAAAGAGTAAGAGTCAGCATTTTCAATTTTGCAACAATTCCAATAATATTGGATTAGAACCCGATAATGAAAGTGATAACTGCTATCACAGTGCAGCGTTCTCGATTGTATTATCTAATATATAAAATATTCGTTATACAGTGTTTGTAACCAACGGAATGTACAGACCGGGAAATTGACCAGGGGCTGACCTATTCCGAAAAATTGTATTTATGGAAATGAAGGTAAAATTCATTATAAGTGGTTATTGAAAGTATGAATTTTGCTCAGTTTACTGATATGATTGTTATCCTACAATAAGTTCGTTATCATTTTGCATGACTAGTATGTTTGAAAAGCTTCCAATTTACTAAGTTTACCAATAACTCTAGTGAATTTGTAATTATCACACGAAACATTCGCAATCAGCACAATTTGCAGCAGCGTGTGAAAATATACGAGATTGAATGGTATTGCTGCTTACTTGCGTGACATTTAATTACATACATTATAAGCGCAGAGTAATTCTATGTTTGTATGTTTGTATGAGACTATTTACTTCTAACAACTTTGTATGAATCAAATTAATTTTTCAATGTAAAAAAATCACTCAACAAAAAGTGCAAAATTTAGTGCGGCATAGAATGTTATCAAGAGCTTGTTTCACCGAAAACGGCTCGGTATAGCTTAATAATAATTGTTACTGCCTATCAGCGCATGGAACAGGACTTATACCTGTTCAAAAGTGAATATTTGACAAATCACCAATAGTCATAGAAATAATAATATCCAGTCGAGAAGGGATATTTTGTCTATTGTGAACTAAGACCAACATGTGGCTTTAAATAAAAGTCAAAAATGAACTAAATAACCTTTTTTATTTTAAATAAATACTTCTAACGAAAATACTAAACTTGTTCCATGATTTTTGTTTATTCCAATTACCAACGGGTGCTACTGGGTCGATGAGAGCGTCATACTTTTGATATGCAAACTTTTCAATAGCGACCTGTAAAAACTCCTCCATTATGGTAAAGTTGAGGATGATGCGCATGACCGATCTTCTTGACAACCGCATTGAAGCCATTGTGATCATCAGCTGTATACTCAACGACGCGAGTGGTGCCATCGGCTTCCTCCAGGGTATAAGTGCCTACCAAAGGCATACATAATTCAATTTTGACGTTCAGAAAATAGTATATTTGCCATTTTACACTTACCTTTGACATGGTCACCATCACGATGTTCCCATTGGCTCTTATGATCACCAGTGTGTGCGTCCTTCACACCATATTCGAATGAGTATTTTGGATAGTGATGAGGTTCGTGTTGATGCCCGAGATGATGGTTGTATTCTCCGTGGCCATAATTGCCGTGACTGCCATTTTCAAGGGCGCCTTGGTGGTGGACAGTATGTTGCACACGTGACACGTAACTGGTAGCATGTCCAATGGGAGCATATCCTGCGGAAGCAATTCCGAAAAGTGCTGCTGCAATTACGATGCCACAGGAATGGATTTGCATTTTGTTTTTTAGTTTTAAATGTTTTGCTAATGACTGTAGTCTTTCTATTGAACTTAAACTCTTAACTGATATAGATCAGCTGCAACGGCCTCCTTTTATACTTTACTATTATTTTAAAACTTTTAAATTGAAGTATCGCATAACATACACACATATGCCCATATCTTTAGGGAGGTTTACTAAATTCTAAGTTTACTAATACCCAATTAAAAAATAATAAATGAAAGCAAAAATCAAATGGACACCTTTGTCTGTGGTCTAATTGAAATTACCCAAGAATTGCAAGGCCGCTTTTCGAATTCCGGACTCACAATGCTTACTAGCCGCAAAAGTCGGTTCAAACTTTTAAGCAACAACAAGCAATGTGAACGATCATATTAATACACATGTGTTCGATACTTGCTTTTAATCATAATTATTTCATTTGATTTTATTCGTTCCTTATAATATTATTTTCGTTTTTGTTAGATTGAAATACGTACATACACGTACATTCACATATACACATATAAATAGTCGGATTTTTAAAAATATAATTTAATTTTTTGGAAAGTTGCACAAACTTACAAACAAACAAGAAAGCAAAAATCGGCCAAAGCTGGATCGAACTCTTAGAAAACTTCGAATTAAATTATCTAAATTTAACCACAAAAGCTTAGTATAAATAGACACTTCAAACAGCCCATTGTTATCGATTGCTTATTCAAGTTCAATATTGCAATAGCAGCCGTTTGCAAAATATTCACAACTAACGAAAAATCCAAAATGGACACCTTCTCGAGTATTATCCTAGTTGCCCTAACGCTTTTCGGAATTGCTTCCGCAGGATATGCTCCCATTGGACATGCTACCAGTTACGTGTCACATGTGCAACATAATGTCCACCACCAAAGCGCCCTTGAAAATGGCAGTCACGGCAATTATGGCCACGGAGAAAACAACCATCATCTCGGGCTTCAACACGAACCTCATCACTATCCAAAATACTCATTCGAATATGATGTGAAGGACGCACACACTGGTGATCATAAGAGCCAATGGGAGCATCGTGATGGTGACCATGTCAAAGGTAAGTGTAAAATGGCAAATATACTATTTTCTGAACATCAAAATTGAATTATGTATGCCTTTGGTAGGCGCTTATACCCTGGAGGAAGCCGATGGCACCACTCGCGTCGTTGAGTATACAGCTGATGATCACAATGGCTTCAATGCGGTTGTCAAGAGGATCGGTCATGCGCATCATCCTCAGACCTACCATTACGGCAGCAACAATTACGGAATTTGGTAGTTGCATAAAAATCAAATATGGGCCGCAGTGAAAATATTTAAATCTTACAAAAAAACGATATGAAAGATAAGAAGTAAATACTTCATTCAAATAATTCTTTTGTAAAATGTATTTGTTAACTTAAATGTAAAGAATTACATCTTGTTTTAATGAAAAACAGTGGGAATACTTACCTAGAATATACATATGTGATATCGAAAAGGTTTTGGGGGTACACAATTTTATAGGGAAAAATAATATATGGAAGTTTGCAAGCAGGAGTAGGGATATCGGTTGACTTAACATGAGAAAATGTATAACATTACAACAAAAACAAAACTTAATCACACTTAAATGATAAAGTATCTTCACCTACGAAACGATCTTATTCCTTCTTTATATCAAAAATTTAAGGACACAGCTACGTTGAGGAAACTCGACTGAGCTATGATATATGGAAATTAGTAACCAATCCATTATTAATATAAATATCCCTTATTTTTTTAAGAAACACACATAAACCTAAATATGTGTTTGGAAATATCTTACGTTAAATTTTTATGAAGCATTTAATTCAGAACTTAATCACTTTTTAAAGCCTAACTGGCAGTAAATAAAAATAAAATGAAAAAGAAAAGAAAATTTTTGTAACAAAAATATATATTGTTTTATTGGTACTGTTGGTAGAAAGTAATTAAGAATAACAAAAATTAATCGCAAAACTCTAAACATTCCTGTAAACATATACATACCGCTGTGTGGATAGGTACAATTTTTGTATCCGTTTTTTATTTTATTATGTAGTCGGTGGAATTTACCTGCAATTTACTGTTCGGCGGTGAGACTACTAAGCAAATCTTCATCGTGGCACGCAAGAATTCCTCGCGTTTTGCTTTCAAGTCCTGCGGCGCCGCGATTGGAGATGTAACGGCTGATTGTTTTAACGGTGTACGCTTCACCGAGCTTCGGGTTATGCATTCAGGAGTTGTTGCTCTCACGGTCGTCGTTGTAATAGTATTGTTGTCATTGCTACATTCAGCATTACTAGATATGGGCAGGAAGGGATTCAGGCTCTTTATACAGCTATTGCTGCTGCTGCTGCCGGAAGAGGAAGCACATGGTGTGGACTTACAAACAGAAGTGGAAGTACTTGAAGTAACTTGTGCTGGTTGTTGTTGCTGTTTGTGCGACGTCTGTTGATGTAGCAGGTGCCGCGTGGGCGAGTTCAAGATGAATAGCTTGCGGCGTTGTCGGCCCGGCGTTGATGATGCAATGTTGTTAATAGGACTGACAGAAGTAAGTGCTACAGGTGTACAGCTACTAGCAGAATTCGTTGCTGATAAAACACTTTCGCTATGTGTGGACTCTTGGGAGCCCGCCCGACTATAGGATGGTGTTGGCAGTTGTGCAGAATGCGAGCCATCGTTACTACTTTTAGCATTAATTTTTTTAGTATCCACATTCGGATCGCACTTAATCACCGTCACGTTGTCGTCGATTGGTTCCTCGCTGTGATATGTACGTGCAATAATTTCGGGAAGAAAGGGATTATTCGGTGATGTTAGCGTGTATTGATAATATGAGCCAGCAGCTTCATTGGAGTCAACACGCTTCATCATCGGATGCGATGTAGTGTATGTTGCATTGGAATAGTTATGTTGTGTCGTAGCAGAGTCGTTGTCGAAGACATCTGATTCTTCTGGAAAGCTGCCGACATAAAAGTCAGCGGCCACATGACTGCCACTGCCGCTAGTTGTAGTGGGGCCCAGATTTTCCCATTCACCCGAGGAAGAATTATGGGACGAAGCTGTAAATCCCTCATTTGAATGGGCGTGGAAGCTTTTTGAGCTCTCATTACTGGACTTGAAAAGAAAATTTTGCAGCCGTGTCAGTTTCGTTGAGCTACTCTCACTGGTGATGCTGCTACCACGACTTGCTTGTTGCTGCTGTTGCTGATGTAAATCACTTTTGCTGCTGCTTTGAGATTGCAGTTTTTGCTTTTGCTGTCTTTCAGTATGGACGCTGAATGTTTTATGGTCAGAAGCGGTGCCATCACCGCTTTCATTATCGAAACCACTTCCCACCGCTCCGCTCAACCCTCTTTCTGTTGTACCGTTTTTATAATTCGTGCTTACCTCACCACCCATGGAGGAATTCGATTGTTGCCACGCCCAGTAACTAATGCTCGATAGCGATGATGTACGTTCGCCGAACTCACCAAAGTTGCTTTCTAAAGAGGTGCTCGAATTTGTCGTCGCAACACTGCTTAAGTGATGATATGCATATTCGGGTGGTGTGTCAACATCGGGACTGTCCAAAAGCAGCGCTGGGTTGATGTGCCCACCGCTATTCACGCTGTATACACTACTCCTGCTGCCACTACCTGCCCCGTTGTTTCCACCACTTCCAAGCCCAGGTAGATGAGTAAATGAAAATATTGATTGCGAACTACGTTGGAGCGGATACAAAGAGCGAATTCCAAAGTGTCCAAAATTAAAGTGGTTGTCAATAAGACTATTACAACTGCTATTTATTTCTTGAGGTGAATACTGTTTTCCAGTGTGATTAGCACTATTACTATGACAAATTGGTCCCTCTAGTCTATGCTCATGAGATTTGATCTCAAGTGACTTGTGCTCGCCGCGTCGAAAAGAACGTCGAAGTTTCTCTGCGAATTTTCCGCGCGATTCTTTGGAATCCTTATTTTTTGCGGCTGTCGAAGTTGTGCGAGCATTTAATTTTGTCACGGCAGCTTGTTTATCTTCCTTCTTTGAGTTGTTTATTCGGGTAACCTTCTCTGGCTGTTGGTCGTCATTTTCCGTTTGGATATTGTCCAACAATTTTTCCTGCATTTGCATTAATTTATTTATCGCCTTATGCGCTGATGTTGTTTTGTTCTTTTTGTCTGTTGTGGTGATGGTTGTTGTCGCTGTTGTAGTTATTGTTGTTGTCAATGTAACTATGACCACTGCTTTATTCTGGAGTACGTTGCCTTCGTCTGGTATTTGCGGTTGCAAATGTGTAGCTGTTACTGCGGTGACTGCTGCTGCTGCTGCTGATAATGCTGTTCTTGCTGGTGGTAGCGCTAACCCACCGCCCATTACGTTTACTTTGTCGTCCTTTACGCGCCCACCTTCATCACTTGCTGTTGTTGTAGTTGATGTTTTTGCTATTATTGTTTCTGCAAATGGAGCTTTTATTGAACTGCTATTATGGTCGTTTAATGTTGTTTTTGTTGTTTTTCTCGCAGTGCCAGCTTGTAGTTTTAAAGCGGCCGAAAAGGTGTTGCCAACACTTTCTGTCGTGCGAATTAATTTATTTCGCTTCGACAGCTGTACCGCTCTTTGTTGCTTATTACTTTTACTATATATTTTCTGAGCATTATGCGTTTGTGATTGTGTTGTTAAGTTTTCCATCGGTGTTGTGAAAGGCTTCTCATTAAATTTTCCACATCACTTCCTTTTGCCTTTTGATTTGTTTACAATAATCACGTCTTATATATAGATATATATAATAATACACATATATATAGATATATATATGTATACCCATGTTTCTTTATGCACTGATATGTTAATTTAATAAAAATATATAGAAGCGTTTTGAGTTTTCCCCCGTTTCAATTGATTTTTTTTTTAATATAATGTTATTTTTATTTATGGTTTATAGATAATTAAATAATATGTTAATTTCAATAGCTTTCCAATTTTTTAATTGTTTGTTAATTTTTTTTAGAAATTGCTTGCTTTTGTTTATGCCTTTCTTTGAAAACTGAGTATTATTTTAATACTATCAAGATGATAAACTTTACTTAAGTATTTTTTATGTTGTAGTTAGGATATATATCCGCGTTACCTGCAATCAACGGTGAAGAAAACGTTAAAATTCAATTAAATTTCAAAGTCGTTAAGTTTAAATATAAATAATATTATCATAATATTCTTACAAATAAGCATTTAAGTCGAGAGGGCGGGTTGGAAATAATTAAATAAATTTTGACAATAGATATGACCCTCAATTATGCGAGGTATTTATCATTGATGAGTAGAGTGACGTATTGCCACATACATAGTTTTTAACGCGGTAGTTCCACAATTACGGGCCATTGAATTTTGTTGGTAAGTGTTAATTTTATCTCCATGAAAAAATGATACGTAAAAACATATTTTGTATCCATTTCTACTATTATTTAACGGGTTGCGAATATGCTTGAAGATGTGAGTCCATACCGTTTGCGTAAGTAGCATACACTTTTGGCTTATCCATAGCTACGGCATTTCCGGCGACCATAAAATACACATATTACAAATGTCATATTAAACCGCATTGAAGGACTAAGAGGGTTATGCCAATGCAATAGCAATAATAACATTGAACAATTTTAGGCGGCGAAGTGAAGTGCAATGGCCAATCATGGTCAACAATGACTTCATCTTCTGTTATAATCTAACGAATACGCAAATATGCATTTCAATACGTCCGTAAATATTATATAGCCAAAATGTTCGCATATATATGTATATGCATGTGCATGTGCTCATTTAAATACATGTGTAATTGATTTACCCTGATTTAGATGCGTTTATATTGCTCTCGTATTTGCTTATAAAGAGACGGTGATCAATCATTACTGACCAAACAAACATTTACAATTATTTACTTATTTACTAGGGTCTCCATTTTAGTTGTACCGCTGTACTAAGAACGTAAGAAATATCTAAATGCTACAATATATATATGAATATGTACGTACATCGCAATGCGGAGTGGTACTAAACAGTTAAAAATAGATCAAATGCTTTTACTTTACTGCTTTCATTATATTAAATGCTTTATTATTAGTAATGGATTTGATTGCTATTTGGAAGTAAAAGTAAAAACTGTTATATTATTAGATTCTTTCTTAATGAGGATATACTCGTATATATAATATATGAGTGTATGCATATGTGTACGAGAATCGCAGGAGCTGAAACTTGTTACTGATGTACGCAATTTAGACTATAATTCTCATTGTATGATTAATATGAGTGCATAACACTTTTCATCGTTATATATTACATACACTCGTGTAGAATAGATAAGTTTATGTTTTTAGATGCCTCATAGATTTATTTATAACCTTAAATCAGATTCTGGAACCAAATTTATTAACCACGACAACCTAATCCTGCCTAGTTCGGCTGAACTTTGCATACCGCCATCACAGTTTTGTGAAGTAAGTAGTACAAAATATTCGTATGCCAAGCAATAAGTGACGAGCGTGGAAGAAGGCTGATGTGGCAACGGCAAAAATATACAACGAGACATGGGAGATCAGGGATTCGATGGAAATAAATAATTGTATAAAATCTTGCAAACATTTTCAAAAGAATTTTTTCTTTTTCATTAATTGTATTTTGCATATTTTTAGGTATTTAAGTTTTGACACTTTGATGGATAGCGGTCAAAGTAAATACGCAAGTTAGCAGCAATAGCGACCGTAAGGCAGAAGCTTAAATGTGTTGAACACTTTGTTGGCTAATGTTTGATCGATAAAGTAACATATTTCCCCAAAGAGTTTGTGGAAAGAAGAAAATGCCAGATGCTTACCTATGTTGTGGGCCAATATGGAACAAATTTATATATATTTTTTTTTTGAAATCACCCAAGATATATTTTTAAGTTTTTACTGAAACTGAAAAGGGTTAAACTAAACGAAAAACTAACGCAATGCAAGCACCTTATGCAAAGTAGGCCTTTGGATGTTAAAAACTATTAACAAATAAAAAGACTCTTGAAATGTTTGCATTAAATATCTGCAAGTATACTCTAGGCCGAAGTATATTTGAACAGTAACATATCAAATAATGAGATAGCGGACGAGTGTTTAGACAAAAAGGAAACATCTAAACATACCCTAACCTTTTTTCCAGTAATTACTTGACAGTAGAACTCTTTCACTTACAATATAAATATCCTTTATCAGCTTAACTTATTGGTAACAACTCACAAGGAAAATTCGTTTAATTCTATGTTTTAAAATAGGCCTTGAGCAATACAATTACCCAATACAGTTAATCACTAAAAGGATTAATGTCAAGTCCCGATGCTAAGATACTCACATAAATGTCTCCCCAATGACTGTTTTATTATTTTTAATATCACAACTAAAGCCTATATAAAGCTGTATGTAAGTTCGAATCTCTCAGCTTAATTGCTTTTAGAAGAAGGATTCAATGAAATGGTGGTATATATTTACCTGGAATGAAAAGAAATATAACATTATTTAATGATTTCTTGGTAAATATGTTTAGTTTGATCTATTTACAATCCTGATGTAAATTAGCAGAAAATGATTGAAAATATTTGAAGTGCCAGTTGTTGGCATTCATTGTTTGTACTTGTCACGCACCCCAGAACATTTAGCCGTGCGCTAGGGGTATACGAAATGTAGCTTTTGCCGTTGTTTGATTTTTATTCATAACTTTTAATTGCCCAATTTATTTAAGAATTCTGACTCCTCACTATCTCGCGCCACCCACCCATTCCTCAAAAAGTGCCAATTGTAATAATTCATTTTGCAAACAACTAACAACATCAAATTCGCAGAGGCTTATCAACACAATTTAAATCAATCCGCATCTGCGAAATTCGTAATTGGGGATGTGTTTAACACCGTCAAATCAAGTGGTTCAAGTATTTGGATAATAACAACAACTTACTTAAATTTTAATGGTTCAACAAATTAAATATGTAAAACATACATACATACTCACATTTTATATCATATTGCTGAATATACTCAAGTACAGAACGGCGAAGATAACAGAGGCAAATATATGAACCTTTGGATGAATAAATGTATGTAAAGGGTGATTTTTAACGTTTGTTTCAGGATAATCTCAGAAAATTTTCGACATACTTTCAGAGCTATTTTGCTCTTAGGTGCGGCAATTCCAATTCAGCTAGCTGGCTTTTTTCAAAAATTTCAAAATACGATAACAGATTTGGAAATTTCGTTCATATTACAAGTTTTAATCATATTAAAAGATAGAATTTGCCTACGTAAAATATGTTTTCTTTACATTTGCATATATTAATTGTTATTCGCTTCGAAAAAGCCAATATTGAATATTTCTATATTCTGATTAATGGTGGTTATTGATTTTGACATAACTGCTGGCATGACCATGGGAATAATGTCCGTGGTCATCATATCCATGAGCTTCCTTTTGGTAATGCACTTGGGGATGATGTGCAGGACCGATCTTCTTTACGACGGCATTGAAGCCATTGTGATCATCAGCTGTACTCAACGACGCGTGTAGTGCCATCAGCTTCCAGCAAAGTGTAACCGCCTAAATTACAAAGCCATTTTGAAATAAGCTAAAATATACAAAATATAATATAATATAATGACCGTAATCATAAGCGCTGTAGTCGGCGTGGTGACGTATAACTTCATGCTGTACAACAGATGCGTAGCTGTTGGCATCCCCATGGGGAATATAGCCAGCATTAATAGTAGCGAAAAGTGAGAAGATGGAACATAAAACGAATTTCATTTCGAAAGATTAAAGTAAAGATTTTGTGGTGAAATATTTGCTCCAATGAATGCCAACTGGTTCTTTGCCTTATGTTTATATACGAGTACATCCACATAGTCAACAGAACGTATCAATATAAGTCAGATCATTAGCTCATGGTATATGCGTGCTAGCTATGTAAGTTTTAAGTATGTGTGTATTGCAACAATGCCAGAAGTATGTGTATATGTACTTACATATATGCATATGTTCTAAGTGAATACGCATATATACAAATTAACAAATTAATAATTAACAATAACAAATTAATCAATTAAATTGAAAGCAAAATTATCATTAAAATTAATAACGTGCAAACTCCTGAGCCGCTTGAATGGTTTAGGGCAAAATATACATGTAACTGAAGCTGAAGGATCGAGGAAGTAGAATTAAGTATTCGCTATTTACAATTATAGCCAATAAACTAATCCATATTTTAGCTAAAACATTTGCATTCAGTAATAAAATGGCAGAATGCGATAGTGTTTCTTCTGCTGTTTTGTTACCGGCGAAAACAAGAAGGCAGCGAGCCACTTAGGTGAAGCGTAGAGAATTGCGTGCTAGCGGGATACCAACGTACCATTGTAAGCATAAAAACTGACTTGGCGTCGAAGAGCGGTTCCACATGCTTGCCCATGCTTTTTGCCTTCTGTTCAGTCAACCATTTACGGCTTAGAAATTCAACCGACTACTAACGACCTTGCGACTGTCTGAGTAATCGATCACCAGCAGATCAGCATATACAGAGGTGTTAAGAAAAAACATATTATAACTTTAATTGCTTGTTTATTGGCAAGTTAGTATTAATAATAATAATATTTGAAAGAAACAATAAAATATTGCTAATGTGTTGAATGTTGTGGGGCGTGACGTGAAAGGTTCCTTTGTAGTACATTTGCAACAGAAAAGTTTTACTACAGTTTGTTGCTGTGCATGTAGATATGTATGAAGTATGTATATTTATTCTACAATAATAATATACGGACTTATATACATATCCACTTTTTTGTATTATTTGATATTGCGTTCTATCAAATAGTGGAAGTGCGACTTGAGGAAAAAGAGAATTGTACAAAAAGTTGAGCGATTTAATTTTGGTATAAATACTCCGTGAAAACTTCAATTTAGTATTACAACAGTTGAGCTTAGTCGAGTCTGTTGGATGAATAAAAAATCTAATATAAAAATGAAATTTGTATCTTGTGTTGTTGTCGCTATTGCACTTTTGGAAGTCGCCTGTGCAGGATATATTCCACATGGACACGCCTCCAGCTATGCTTCTGTAGTACAACATGAGATTGTGCCCCATCACAGCGCTTATGCAGTTCCAGTTAATTACGTCGTTGTAGACGACCACAAAAACGGACACTATGTGCATGAACCACATCACTACCCCAAATACTCATTCGATTATGGCGTTAAGGACTCACACACAGGCGATCATAAGAGCCAATGGGAGCATCGTGATGGTGATCATGTTAAGGGTGAGTGCGAAATTTCAAAACTAGAAATATTATATATTAAAGCTTTTTTAAAATTGGCTTCGTAATATAGGCGGTTACACTTTGCTGGAAGCTGATGGCACCACACGGGTCGTTGAGTACACAGCTGATGACCACAATGGTTTCAATGCCGTCGTTAAGAAAATCGGTCATGCGCATCATCCCCAAGTGCATTACCTAAAGGACGCCTATGGATATGGTGACCACGGACATTATTCGGATGGTCATGCCAGCAGTTACGTACAAATTAAGCAGCATAATTAAATTTATGTCAACCAAGAATTTGTGATATGATGGACGAAAATGATTTAATTGCAATGGGTCAACTCCCCGAAATTTGAAAATATACGGACAATGAAGGACGTCGATAAAAAGAGATTATTGTTTATTAAGTATTAAGAAATGAAACGAAAAATGTTATAGAAAACACTGCTAATATTAATATAAAATATATTAGAAAAGATGAAATGCTTTCGCCTGTATAATTTTTAATGCTGAGACATAAATTAAAGTTGATTTGGAATAATTTTGAAAGGCTCAATTAACGACTCACTTAAAGATGAGACATGTTTCAAAGTATTTTATTGCTACAAAGTCTGTTAAACATTTTCCAAATGGTTCTTACATATTATCTTATACGGCTTTTCCACTGCATCATTAAATGCATTGTTCGTCCTCTCAATTACGAATGCGAATTACCTCCATTCACACGTCATGCAATTTGACAGTTTTCGGATTCGCTTGTTTGTTCCATTTGAAAACGCATGGAAAATGAAAGATATTAGTAGAAGTTAAAAAAATCTTGAATTGAATTGGTAATGTAATGCCAGTTTCTTTAATAATTTCTCATTTTTTTCTTCTTAATCTACAAATAGTGCTTGGTTTCATATATATGTGTGAATGTATTACGTGTATATTAGAGTTTTCTTTTATGATATTCATCTACTTTGTTTTGATTTGTCAGCTGGTTTCGATAAGAATTAGAGAAGGCATCGATTTGGTCGTAATTCACATGGCAATTGTGAACGAGCTACCCACTTTTGCTGTAATTCGTTCACGAAAATTTGTATGGCGAATTATATAATTCGGCATGTATTTGGAGTGCGAATTACGAATAAGAGAGTGAAAGACGTAATTGGACTGTCGTGGAAATACCGTATTAGTATACTCAAAGCAACTTTATCAATATTTAGAAGAGTATAAAAGAGTTTTGATCCAGTTGGACCTCTGTACTTGGTTATATCTACAATATTCCTTCTCATAGCGCCTTGGCCATTCTATTGTGTTCATCGTCTAACCCCATATAAGTAGCGCCATGCTTCCTTAACCCAGAGATTTGAGTGTAATGGTCCTGTCTGCTGCATAATTTGTCTGGTTTTATTTCCAGCAATGCGATATCTTAGTTATGCTAAAGCTCTAGTTATCCGGGTATCGATCAGTGCGAGCAGCTCGATACTGGTTCTTTGTTAGAAACATTTCAATTGTCAATTTTATTTGTCAAAATTTCTTTAATATTTCAATGAGTTTTTCACTTTGATTTAACAGTTTGAAAATTACAGATAGAGGTTTCGGGGAAAATGTCAAATTTTTTGCTCAAAAGGTTCGCGGCGCTAGAACACGCTCTCGAAATGGACGAGTCTATATATATGTATTCGTTGTACAAATGCTCAAGTTGCTCGAAAATGTTGGAACAAAATCTTGGGTTCTGTTTTATTCCCAGTTTTAATTCCTCTTTTTTGCCAGCACTTTTGAAGTGCTTTTCACGAGTCCCTCAACAACATCTAACATAGCTTCACTAGTTATCAAATTGATATCGTTTAGGCAAAGGACTCACCATTTTAGAAAGGGACATAATCGCAGCAGTGATCTAATGAGTTACATACAATACATATGAATCACTGGTACGATCATATTGCTTATTGTCCAACTTATAAAAAATACAAAGAGTATCTTTCTATGTACTTCCGGAATGTGCAGGTGGCCTTGATATATTCGATTTAGTAATCGATAATCGCCACTTCAAACGTGTTGACCGTTTAGCAGTCGCTTAGGTAATTAAATTTGAAAACCCAAACTATTTTCAAGAAAATTAGTGCATAAACGTATGGCTAAGAATGTTACAAATCGAAAAAATGCCTTGAGATTGGGCAAATGAATTAAGTATATTCGCTTTTGTATTGAAAGCACTGACCTTTGATTAAGCAACAACAAATACTAACATGCTGCAGTATTGCTCGATTGCCAGTGACTGACATGTACTTCCATATCTATGTGCATACTTATTACACACTATTAAAAAATATTTCTAATATTCGTACATACATACTTATGTGTATGAGAGTATAAATTAAAATAAAGACGTTGACGGGTATAAATATGTAGCCCAAATAATTATTTGAAATCAGTTAGTTTGCACCTTTCAGCAAGGTATATAGACCAGCGTTACTAAATTTAGTTCAAAATAAATTAAGAAAATGAAATACCATATATGTATTGCTATCGTCACTATTGTCTTGTTCGGCATTGCTTTAGCGGGACACATTTCTCACGAGCATGCAAGTAGCTATGCATCAGTGATACAACATAACCATATCCCACATCATGATGCTAAGGATTACGGCAGTCACATTCATTATTTGTCGCAGGCAGTGAATGGACATGACCACCACGGTTACCATCATGAGCCGCATCACTATCCCAAATATATATACGAGTATGGTGTAAAGGACGCACACACAGGCGATCACAAAAGTCAGTGGGAACATAGTGATGGTGATCATGTCAAGGGTGAGCCAAAGAACTCTTTATTGAAAATATAACATATTTCAAATTATTGCTTTATCCAAAAGGTGGCTACACTTTGGCCGAAGCCGATGGCACCATACGCGTCGTTGAGTACACGGCTGATGACCAGAATGGTTTCAATGCCGTCGTGAAAAAGATCGGTCACGCGCATCATCCAGAGGTGTATCAACACGGTCATCATCACTATGGCGGTTATTAAGGAGCTACATAAATTTCCTCGTGATGTTACATAAGTTAATTAGGAAGAAATCTTGAAATACTGAATTTTACTAATTGTGCTCACTTGTCAGTTTTTGTTAATAAAAAAAATATTACGCTGAATACATATATACAAGTAAAATGTATATTTGAAAAGCAGAGTTTCTAAAATTGCCTGAGAATAGATATCAAGTTTGGTCATGGTTGAACAAAAAAAGGGGACATTAAATCACTTAAATTTTTTACCGAAGAGCTTCATCCATTGATTTCATTGACACTAGAATTTTTTTCTCAAAAATCAATCGTATTTACCAAGCTTAATGCAAACTTTAGGGATTAAATTCGGCATGCAAATAAATAAATTAATATGAGTTTAAACCTAAAGACCTCTTTAAAATAAATGGTGAAGATAAAAACAAATCGACGAATTTCTTCAACCTTATATGTATTCAAACATCTCGGAAGCCAGGGGTAGATTAACAAAACTGAAAACGAAAAAAGACTTATTAAGCATATTCAAGTTTATGGTGGGATTCGCAAAAATTATGGCTGTTTGATTTAATAATAATGAAATAGCCAACATTGTATCTGTTTACTTCTGCCCCGCATTTGTAAAGTATGCACATTCACACACTTAAAGCCAAAGAAATGTGCATGCAATGTTGTGATTACCAAACAGAGGGTGCAAAAAATTGCAGCTATATTATTCAAACATTCCTTGATTCTTCCACAACTACCTTAGCCTTTCGGCGCACTTGGCGTTTGAAGCTGGGAACATAATTAATTAAATATGCAATTAGCATCGTGAGAACTGCATAGTAGACAGAGAAGTGGTACTGTGTATGAGGGCGACGAATGAGATGAGATGAGAGATATGGAAGGCTAAAAGGCGGGGGTGGCGGTACGAAATGTTTTGAATTAGACCGCACATAATAGAATGCGGAGGTGGCGCCAGAGGTGGATATATGAAAATCACCATGTCAGTAGTGAAAGTAAGAGTGTACTCACTTGATTTTTGATTAATGAAAGTAAAGTTAGAGAAAAAGATGCTGGCCTTTCCGGCATTTGAATTGGCCACAGTAATCTACAGTATAATATAATTATTTGAAGTATAATACAAAAAATAAAAAAATATAAAAAAAGAATAAGATAGAAGTGGATAGAAAATGGCAATGAAAAATTGCGGCTGCGGTAGCCAAGTGGTTAGCATTGTATACTGCCAATCGAAAGGCCCTGGTGCGACGAACTTCCAAAAGTTATAGGAAATTAATGTAAATAAAAAAATAAGTTAAATTTTCTAATTGTGGTCGCACCTCCGCAGGGAATTTCAAGCCCTCTGAGTGTATTTCTGACATGAAAATCAAAAGCTCTTCATAAAAAAGTATAAGCCATTTGGAGGCGGCTGAGCATAAACTTTGTAGGTCTCTCCATTTGTTGGAAAAACATCAATACGCTAAACCACAAATTAGAGGAGGAGCTCGGTCGAAAATCGCTTCAGCGGTTACAAAGCGCCAATTATTTTATATGTATATACATGATAGAAAATCCTTTGCTACCGCTTTCAAAGTTAAAATAAATGGCTTGTATTATATCTATAGATACATTCGCTTTGGTTTTCGGGTGAGATTTATATGTAAAACAATTATTATTCTTTCTTGAAGAGCAGGACTGCTCACAACATATAGCGTTTATGTAACACACAAGTTGGATTAAACTACATGAGCACTGGGTTGCTTTAAGTCTTTGAAGTATTCCAAATTTCACTTAAACTTACAAATTACATAGTTTGAACTCATAGTGGAATTTATTTATGCATATATCTGCATGTTAGAAAACATATATATAAAACATCTGTATTAATAAATGACATTATTTTTGACCGAGACGATAGCAGTGCATACTGTCATGAGGAGGGTTATGAGATCGAGTCCCAGCCAGCTCAACATGTATAATAAAGAAAAGTAATTTTAAATTAAAAAAATAAGTTTGAGGACTTGTAGAATATTACAAAAACATCGATATATCAGCTCAGTTATTCCCAGTGGGTGCGCAAGCACTCGTATGTACTTAAACCAACTATTAAGAATATTCCACTCCTGTACGTATGTAGGAGTTTACACAATTAACTATAAACATAACTAAACACTTACTATTTCCGAGTGTTGAAAACATGCGTACGAGCAGGTATATGCTTAAGTGAATTAATCAAAAGGGAATTGTAAATATTTGGAATGGCACAAAATAGTCGTAGCACATACATATACTTATGTATGATAAGTATGTGAGTGGATAATGGAAGAGGAATGAAAGGAATAAGTAAATTGAATGCATTTTCACCTAGCCAATGAAAATACCTTCGCATGTGCACACATGCACAACGCTTAGAAATATTTATTCAGTGTGTGGGAACGTGATTGTATACTCATAAGCTTAAGTGCTGTTGTTGTATAAATGTCAGGGTAAAATGTAAAATGCATTTGTGGTCTGGAAATGAACCGTTGACATCCAATTAAATGCAGCCAGACAAATTCACCCAACCACTTATAAGCAGTGATGTATTTGTATGGACGTAAAAGTTTGTACCCTGCGGCGAAATATCAGACTGGTGAAAGGAATGCCAATTTACAACTAGAATTTCCTGAGGTATTCAATTTTGAATATGACTCAGGGCATTAAAAATATTACGATTAAAAATTGTATACTTAGTAATCTTTACTTAGGAATTTGTTTCGTAAATCTTCCTCATAAGAATATTTAAAACTTAAAAAGCCGACAACAACTCCAAATTCTGTCCATTTGGTTCTAGTAGGTCATTGTAATCTTTTAGGACATTTACGTTTAAGAATATCTCTTGTTGATATGAAAAATATAGGAGGCTCAATTAGTTGGACTCGCTTGGCATGCAAGTTTCAAAACAGTATCTAACTAGTCAATTTGACCACGTAGTAACCACATTTACTCAATCACTCAGACTATAAGCTTACCTATATCTCAAAAACAACACAGCAATGCATTGATTCCACTTTGTGCTAATGAATTTCCATAACCAACAATGGTTGGAATTTGTGGTGATGATGGCGCAGTAACCCACGTAAATGTGTAGGATGTGCCACGATTTCATAGCCAAAAGTCCGTTTTTCAGGCTGGAATTTTATTTACCTGCCACAAAGAGTGTCGTAAGGCAATACACTCAGCGTTAATTCGAGTTTGAGTGCTATCATTTGGATTCAAAGGACTTGTTAGCAAATCGCACAGGCGCTTTCATCAAATGCGGTGAACCAATACGCTAAGCGCATACTAAATAGTTTAAGGGATAAACAAGAGCTTTGACGGTCGACCGATTGCGATTGTGTGCTGGTAAATATTTACGTATCGCATGTGTTCAAGATTGAAATTCTTTTAACTAAGTAATTGGAAACCATTGAAAATTATATATATGTATGTGTGGATATTTTTTTTTTAAGTTGAAAAATATTTAATAACATTTTAATAAAAAAAAATTATTTCTACTCAATATCATGAAATAATTGCTATTGGATTAATAATATAATATACATTTGCCCCTTTGTAACCGCTGTAGCGATTGCCGATTCCGTCCGACCTCCTCCTTTAACTTATGGTTCGCGTTTTGATATTTTATCAACGAACAACAACATTCACTGCCGAGGGACGATCGCAATTAGAAAAATTTATTTAATATGGTATTTAAATTAATTTTCAATAATTTTTGGATGTTGGTCGGAACAGAACTAGATCTCTGATGCTTCCACTGGCAGCACGCAATGCTAACCACTCGGCTACCGCGGCCGTCGAAATCGAAATTCGAAACGCCGTAAACCACCTTATTAATAAAATACTTACAAAGGACAAAACCAACGTACACAAAACAAAACCAAACGCAGACAAAATTTTGCGGTTATTGTTGGTTCGTCGTTGCTTGACACAGTGTGTTGTGCAAGATTTCGTGATCACTGGCGATTGACCGACCGGCCGCCCCGCCGCCAATATTTCATATTCAATGCACAATTTTTAGGGCAATTGTGTTAACAATTTGCTCAAAATTCGCTATGTACGAGTAAGTTTATCCACATTACACATTGACTATCTATACCACTATAAATTTTTGTTGTTAGGCGTTGTGCTGTACACGAATCAAATGTGATTACGCCACAGCATTGTATCAATTGCACACACGTCAGTTTATAACTTTGTTTGTTTACAAGTTAGTTTGTACGAAAAGTGGTTTGGACAGTGAACCGTTAACTATGCTTTTATTTTCCAAACGAAACGTGTTCGAAATAAAATAGAGATAATTGTCAATTCTATGTGCATGTATGTGTGTAAGTATATAAATACCCCCGAATTTAATTTCAAACTTTTTGATGCATGTCCTGTTAATTAAGCTAAAGCATACTAAATTTATCAATTACGTACGTGTGTAAGTACATAAATTGTATGTATATAACAAATACATAAGTTTTCGATAGCTTGGTGAGCAAGTATAAAGCTCTGAAAAAGGAGAATGTAAATATAACAGCGTATCAAAAGTGCTCCAGTGAGAGTACTTGTTAGCTGCTCTCATTATCTGTTATTTATTTATCTTTTTTTGTTTGAAATAAGCACTTTAATAATATATATTAAATAGCGCTTTGTAAACTTTTACATTCCTATTTCTTATTTTCTAAAATCTATTGTATTTAATATTAAACACTTCGTCAGTTTCAATTGAAAACGCACTCCTTTCGGCAACTAGTCTCAGCCTACACAAAGAACCTCAGCTAAGGCGAAAACTTTCTAGCATTTGTGGTTATTATTGCTGCTGTTAAAAGTTGGTGAATTTCTGAAACTTTTATAACTACAGCTGTTATTATTTTATTACACTTGTATTCAATTAAATGTTTCCATTGTGATTGCTAAGCACAAGGATTCGAATCTCCCTTAAAGTCCTGAGCGATTTTGAAAATTTTACCGGAAAACAAATTTGATAAATTAAAGATTTAATGTGGTCACACTTACATCATAATAATATAATTTATATTAAATATCTGTAATCACCTTTTATTTCTTCTTGAATAGAATGGACTACAAGACATTAAAAATAGCATAAAATATATT